TGGTTTCTCTTCTGCCTTAGGTTTGGACACAAAGTGTTGTTGGAGCTGCGGTTGTGTTTGAACCAGCCACGGCTGCTTTTCCCACTGCATGGCAGTGAGCCGTTCTGCCCAAATGAGACAGCCTGCTGCAGCAGGGATTGGTATTAAGGTGTTTGAGGATAAGCAAAACCAGGCGCTCAGGGGATGATGTATGACATGCTGATAAATTTGATGTTGTGAAATTTTATGGGCTATTAACATCGCGAGTCTTGCCCCCTGCTTTCCCAAAGATTGAATTATCCAATAATCAGAAGGAAACAGAGACGCTATCCAACAGCAGCAGGATGGCTCCAACTGTTCTTTGGAACGGCTCCTGCTTTCCATTGCAGTGGTTCAGTGAAAACAAGACTTAGTACTCTCAAGTGATAATTACAACGAGCCCTATCATGTCAGTATAAATCTGAGGCAAAAAAAACGCATTGTTCTGTATTCAGGCCAAATGATTTTAGTCCCCGTTTTTGGAACCAAGTTCAATTTTTTTTTTCTTTCTTTTAAACCCACACACAAAAACATACACCTCTTTACGGTGTATCACCCCAGTCTGTAAAGCATTAGCAGCGCTGCAAAAAAGGCCATTTAATGAGCACCTCAAACAGGACCTCTGATGCACACACACCCACTCATCCATACACACACGCTCACATTCTTTGAGCTGCCGCCATTCGCGTTACTCCCCCTACTCCCACAAGGCATTTAGAATTAATCTCCTTGAAAAGCAAGGAGTTTTTAACTCTGACATCACACAAGCCCACACGGCCGTAAATCTAACTTCAAATCTTAGAAAGTCCTTTTTTGTTTAAAAAAAAAAGCGCCTCCACCCTCTCTCCTCATTCTTTCCTTCCACATCTTCTGCTGGATAGTCTTATCTTTGCCTGTGATGTTTCAGCAGGCTCACACTTGGAAGGGACTTGTAAGTGATGTTGAATAAATTGTGAAAAAATCTGACCTCGGAGAAAAGAGTCACTTCTCCCCACACGCAACACATCATCACTCTTGATGACTTGGGCTGTTTTCTTGTGTAAACTATAAGTACTGTACAGCCCGGAGGTACAGCCTCAGAGGGATATCATGAAATCCTTTTTTCTGACCCACCTCAGCCACCCACCGACACACGCTCGCACGTAAATGTTTGTTTGACTTTGCGTTGGCAGCTTTCTAAAATTTTAGTGACAAAGTAGCATTCACCAAGATATTCCTGTGAATGAACCTTTTGGATTGCATTCAGCACATATGCTTTTATTTAGAGCTCTCCAAGCTTTGTTGAAGGAATGGGAAGATGACTCTCACTTTTCCGCACACAGAAGTCCATAAGAAATGCACTCTTGATTTCAACAACTTCCAGTCAGCCACGTGTGTTTACTTTCTATAGCATGCCGTTGCATTTGTACTTTCCCGGTCTGGATGGGAGATGTGTTTCCTTGCCGACATGTTATTCAGCGTTGTCTGTCATCAGCGTCAGTGGCTTGGTTATTGTTGGAATCGTTTCAAATTCATCGGTTGGTCACAAGGTAAATGCATCTATCCGGAGTAGCCATCGAGTCTTAAAGCAACGTGTGGACCAGTTGTGGCCCAGATTTTCTCCTAACCTCCGCCTGGACAAAGTTAACTGCATGTCCAGTCTTTATGGGTTGATGCTAATCCTGTCCAAGAATGCAGCTGGTTACATCAGTGGTATGTACAGAGCTGTGCTCTTGCTTAACCCCACTTATGGCATGACTCTGAAAATGGCAGAATTGGTCAGTTGGAAATCGCCTGAAATGATCGAATAACTTGATGAGAGAGACTGGCAGATAACTCAGGTGGCCCCCAAACCTTTGATTGCTGCGCCTGAAAGACACCTAGGTTGATTGGTTATTTTGATTAGGACAGAATAACGATATGTATCTGCCAGGTTTGAATGGTTCCTAATCCTAACTGAGAACATGCTGTCCGCGAAGATATGAAGAAAAGTAATGAGTGCTTTGTTCGGAGTCCCTTTGTGTTCGTATTGAGTAAACGTGCACGCTGCTGGCAGTAGACTTGTGCAGGTTAAATATTATACAATGTCATATTTTGACATTAGGCTCTATTTTTATTCAGCATTGCATTGGAAATAGTCATATATTAAAAATGGCCTTTCAATACTCAACTATACCAACTACTATATATCTAGCAACTATCTAGCTAATCACCATACTTTGCAGAAACTGGCCCACTGACTAAGACTAAAGTGAATTAATGAGATGTTACAGGGAATGAAAGATCGCATGGTGGCTGTGCTTTCCAGTGTCACTAAAAGCATAGCATCACAGCTTTATTCTCAAATGCTGGCACCGCAATTCCATCAGCTCACAAGACTGCGCTTTATCAGTAATCAGGGTGTCAGACTCATGTTTGTCTGAATTTACCATACTGCCAAAAGGCAGGGCATTTCCCGTATAAATGAATCACCACATACCTCCAGTAAGTAGGCATGTTTATGAGTCACAGGGACTTGATCCTGGCATGTGACTATTCCCTCCCGTCCAAGTAATTGTTGACATTCATTCAATGTGTTGGTGCTGCATATGCACAGGGTTTCATTTATGGTTTCTTCAACAAGCACATCACCCTCTTATTCTTTTAGAAACTTTCTAGGATGGGTGATGACTAGACCTCTTGGGGATAGGGGTTTTTGTATTTTTTTTACATTATTTCTTTGCTGTTTTCTGTATTCAACTAATAGAATCCCCAGTAATTCAATGTTTGGCTTTTTTTGCTGACAAACCGCAATCCTAGTCTGATTTTATAAAAAGGATTTCGACTATTAGGACGACACTTAAACCCGCCACAACTATTAAGGATTTCAGAGCACTTTGCAGAACAACCGCAGAATCGTCTGTCGAAAGACGCGTCCCAAATTACTGGGAGGGAGAAAAATCTGTGCTGTGGACGTTGGACATATTCACACGTGCAAAGATTTCCCAGTGAGAAAGTCAGAAGCGACAAAATGTCTCCGATGTTTTCTCACACACTCCACACCCTACTTACACACCGCAAGCTCAACCGCGCACATGTTTGAGCAGCCCACAGCCGCCGTGCTGCCTTTGGCGGGGCGGCGGAGGCCGGGGGACGCGCTCCTGCTGAAGGAGAGGGAGCTGGCTTCTGTCTTCAGAGCAGAAGTCCCCCGATTTGTTGCTCGTTGCTCTTTTGGAAAAAAAGAAGTCACCGACGGAGTTTGAAAAGCTGTTAAATCTGGCAAAAAGAGAAATACGTTGAGGTGTGCGGCCATTTGAAAAGTGTGAATTGCGTGAGTCTTATTCTCAGTGGGGGAAACGGAAGAGCCCGTGTAGTAACGGGGCCTCTTTACAGCTACTGTCGCTGTGCTCACTGGTAAACATGTGGCCTAATGTATGTTAGTGTAGAACAACTTTTTCCTGTTATTTCATTTAATTGTTTTTGTACTTGTAAATGTCTATCACAAAGCACATGGAATCATTGGGTGCGAAATCTGGTTTTTATGGTCACACTGAGACACATCAATGTTTTATTTGAATCAACATTCAGGTAAAAAAAATCTAAGTTTAGTTGTGGCTAAAGCCAACAGGGACAGAAACATTTGAGCTGTTAAGAGTGGGACAGTATCCAAAACCTTCTGAAACGCAGGGGTTTGCTTTCTCACTTCTTTCCTATGAATGCCCTGTCCCAGATGCCTTGTAAGCCACATCAGAGGAGAGAGATCTTCAGAACAGCCCTGCTTTTATCTCTGTCCTTTGCTAACCGGGTCAGTGAGCAACAAGCCTCGTCTGTGCATTCCTCCTTTTGTGCCATTTGCACCTGTTCTGTCAGAGGTGCTTCTTTTGATAAGCCCTGCTTTTGTCCCTTATGCACTTAGTTAATCTGATCACTGTGCCCCCATGGAGTCCAGCACATTTTAGCCTTCTTCCTTTTCTTCCCGTTAAGGAGTGAATACAATTTACCTTCTGTTTGCCATTTTGGGTGAGCTGAGCTCTGGAGCAACAACTCTTACAAAGTTTATCATCGGCAGCCGGCTTTGGAACTTGAATATAGGCATTTGAAGCATTCGGAGCAGATCGTGAAACTTCCAAGCTGAGACCATGGCACATGAAACATCTCTAGGGAAATATCAGTGCGAGAGCTCAGTACAAAAGCAAGTGGGACTCCTGTGCTTACTTTAGTAGTTTGATTAATCAATTTGACACATTCTAATAAGGAGTTCAAATCCGTGTCTCAGCGATATTTTTATGTTTTTAAACCCTGCGGGGGCTGTTAAACAGTGATATAATCAGTACAGAGCAAAGGCAGAAGTTGTACTATTGTTTCAGGCCAAACGGCTATGCAGTAATAGCACCTTCCCCCTTTCCTGTGTGTGTGGTATTGAGGATAACTGCCTGTCATGCTGTTAAACTGATGCCCAGTAGATGTCTGCTTATGATGGGTTGCATCAGACCACCCAAGAGGACTGCTGGTGGGCCTCGGGGATGACAGTATACACTATTGACATATTTATGTGCTTGGGATATGGTGAGAAAGTGTTCTTCAAGAAGCTCTGTCTCTGACTAAATCAAAATTGAAGACGTGTTTGCTGGATCAACAATAAACATTCAAACTTCTGTCATATGTCTTGTGTTTGGGGTCTAATAGTTAACACACATTCACCAGCTCTTCATCTCCACACAGCTCATTTATTATAGACTACTCAATGTATTTAGTTTTTTCCTGTTATTAGATGATACGATCTGTTTTTTTTCCACGTCTACTAGTGCTGCTGAATAGAATCGCCTGCTCTGTGTGTGAACCTGCGTGTTTACGCCTCTGTGTGTGATGTGGTGGTGTCAGTGATCACAGATTTAGCGCCTCAGACATCACTGAGTGCATGTGGTTTAGACATGTTGCTCTGCTTTGTTTGCCACATGTTTATGCATACAGTGGAAGTGAACTTTGCGCTGCCCTCTCACAGTCTTCATGCATGCCTGTTGCAGATGTGGATGAATGTGCAACAGGCAGACACACTTGTGGACCCGAGCAGACGTGCTATAACACCAGAGGCTCCTTCATGTGCCAGTGCACTCCCGGCTACCAGAGAAACGGAGACCGCTGTGTCGGTAAGCCACAAGAAAACAACAAAAAAACCCGTGTGCCCACTTTATCTCAGGGATTAAATGGACATCTGGCCTCTGAGATATTAACAAATACTCTTTATCAGCTGCTTTTTGTGAGAAACCTTCCTGCTAACGTCTTCATGTACCTGCAGATAGAGATGAGTGCGCTCTGAGCCACTACTGTATGCACAGATGTGTGAACACCCAGGGTTCATACTACTGCGAGTGCAACGCAGGCCACATGTTGGCTAACAACAACCACAGCTGTGTTGGTAAGTCACTGAAAAACAACGCATACTCACATATCAGTAGTTATATTTCCATCCAGTTGTTTCCTATCTCTACGGATGGAAATGCAGAAAACCTGACAACATCTCAAAATAACAATGGCCGAGGTTTTAGGATTTGGGTTGGTGGAAATCTTGGCATATATCTAAAAGAGAAACAATATGTGCTAGGACATTTTGTTTGCCGACCCAATGATGACATACGGACGTCACATTGCTTCCTTGTAATTGTGCGATTAGTTCCTCAAAAGTCTCTGTTTCCATTATCCACCGTGCTCCCTGCACCAGGCTTTCCACATTGCTTATTGATTCAAAGTTTGCATTTCTTCTTTTGAGGTTTGACTGATGCTTTTCCAATTAATCTCTGGGAGTATTACTGCCCTCTCCCCTCTATCTCAGTTTAGCAAAGTTAAAACACAGTAGTTTTAGTCAACATATTAGTTAAGATTCTTAAAGTTAACTCAGAATTTACTACAGATGTGTGGTGTGTGTCAGCAGACATCGTGCGGCTATCTGCAGATAGACAGATATTCTAGCTGTAAGCGGCCATGGCCATGCATGTCCCTGACCCTCTCTCTTCCTGCTTTCCTGTCTCTCTTTTCAACTTCCAATAACTGCCCGAACCAAAATGAAAAACAAAGAACACCTGGTTTAAAAACTGACTGCCAAATTTGCTTGTCATTGAAGCGAGGGACATTTCGTCAGTGAAAAAGATGACGTGTGCTACTTTGAATGTACATGCACATATACGCACATATATATTCATATTTTCAGCAAGACACGGCCAAAAAACTAAAGAGTGGTGAAACGTTTTTTAAACTCTAATGATGTGCACATACAGGTATAGCTCAAGCTCAGAATATAATTTTTCTAAACAGCAATGGTATTTAAGGTTAAAAGTAATTTATTTCTATGAATATTGCAATTTTACACTTTTACCATTAAAATAACAGGAACGAGGGCTTATGAAAAGGGCAAGGTCACCTGTAAGTCCAAAAATAATTAGGTTGAACTTTGGGTAACACATTTGCTTTTCCAGATGTGAACGAATGTGATGTGCAGAGCCCGTGTCAGCACCACTGCTACAACTTGATCGGCTCCTTCCTCTGCCAGTGTGACCAAGGCTTTGAGCTGGCAGCAGACCTGGTCTCCTGTGAAGGTGAGCACAGAAATGCTCATAACGTCATACTCCTAATGAACGTTTTCCAGCATTTACAAGACGATGCCATAAAATCTCTATAGTCTCTATCTGCAGTTTCTGTCTGTGTGCACATCTTGCATAGATATCGACGAATGCAGCCTGTCCAGCTACATGTGTCAGTACCAGTGCATTAACACCCCTGGGAGTTACTCCTGTGAGTGTCCACAAGGATATCAGCTCCAGGGAAACAGGTTGTGCCAAGGTATATCGACTCCCCCTTTTCCTTCTATCAATCCTTTTATTTTTATTTTTAATTTTGTGTCGTTCTTATTCTCTGCTGTCTTTTCACACACAAAGTTCCAAAGCAGGTTCCCTTCCCTCCCTCCTTCCACCTCTTCAACTCTTTGAGTTAGGAGGAACTCCCTTCTATCATCGGCTATTCTAACTCTGGGGCAGGCCTGAAAGCCACTCTCAGCTGGCACTGTCATGGAAAGAATGCAGAGGTTGGGCAACGCAAACATAGCAACTTTGTGGTGCCCTGCTGAGCCACCTCTGTGAATTTATATGCATGATTCTGGGTTCTTGAAGTGGATTTATTTCAAGGTTCGGCACCCGCTCAGAGGGAGAGCTGTTATTTTTTCCGCTCCCTCTTGGTCAGGTGCAGGCTTTATGGAGGGAGTCGTGAATCCAGCTTGTTGTGTCAGAGGGATGTTGTGGTGATGAATCCAGGTTGCCGTGCCAGAAATAGCCTTGTGGTTTGAGGCTCATTTGATGGGTCTATTTTCATGGTGCTGCATGGAAAAAGGCGGATTAAGGCCCGTATGGGGTTGCACCAGGGGCTTCCCTCGACTATCTCAGCCGCAGGCTTCCCACATGTGCTGCCTGCCTCTCTGGTGCAGACCCCAAACACATGTTCCATGAAAGTACGGGACTTTGTAAAGTTAGAACGTGCTGCACAGTCATCCCACTGCTGCTTTCTGCTTAGCGCTCACGTCTGTCTTTCTGTCCCATCCATCACCAGACATTAACGAGTGTGAGACGGGGACCCATGACTGCCAAGATGACGAAATGTGCTGGAACTATTACGGAGGCTTCCGCTGCTATCCCAGAAACCCCTGCGAGCCGCCTTACACCCTGACCTCTGAAAAGTCAGTCATTGTTCTCTGTCTTTTGTGATATCAGTCACACACTCTGTCACGTGTGCGACTGGTATCACAAAGTTGTCCTTCGGCCAGCAGTCGCTGCATCTGTCGGTCTCAAACGGAGTGCCAGGGTCTCCCGCCGTCGATCGTTTACAAATACATGAGCATCCAGGCCGACCGAACTGTGCCGGCAGACATCTTCCAGATTCAGGCCACCAACGTGTTCGCCAACACACAGAACACCTTCAGGATTAAAGCTGGGAATGAGGCAGGAGAATTTTATCTTCGGGTAAGTAGATGGGACACAAAAATAAAACGTAAGCCAATTTGACGTGAACTAGCCAGTAAGAACATGTGAAATTAGCATTGCTGAGAGATTATTGATGATTTTATGACAGCACATTGTTAACAAATTACAAAGGAATTCAAGTAGACGAGAAAGTTAAGAATCCCTTTTTTTCTTTGGTGGTGATGTATTATTCATGAAGTATTCCTCTGATGTTTTAGTCCTTTAAAACCTGATCCAAGAAAATATCGAGAGGAAATATATAGATTTTGTTTTTGATGTCTTTATTTGGCCATTTAACGGAATATTAAAATAAATTAATCATTTTTTAATATTCACCATTTATTACTGTGAGTCCAAATGATTGTTGTGTAGTCTTTTGCTCTTCATCCGCACCAAAATGTGCATGGGGATCATGGATGTATGTCACTTATCAGTGCAGTGTAGTGAACAAAGGTGGAATTCAATCAAAAGTGAAACACATCTTTTTTATTTTGTTTATTTGCAGCGCTCCAGCAATGTGAGCGCCATGCTGGTGCTCACCAAGCCACTGGCAGGTCCCAGGGAGTACGTAGTGGACCTGGAGATGATCACTCACCACCTGACCATGAACTACCGCTCCAGCTCTCTGCTGCGGCTCACCATCATAGTGGGGCCCTACGCCTTCTAAGCAGCAGAAGTCCCAGCGGCCCGCATCAGCCTGGTTTCAGCAAACATAGCAAATCCCTTTATCAGCATGACATACTTTACATTTTCACTCAGTTCATGCATATAACATAGGCTGCCTTTGATTCAATCAGCAGTACAGCAAAACCTATATGCTTGCTCAAGTTACCACAGGGCATCTTTTTCTTTCAAGGTGCTGATTATTAAGGACCTTTAAACATAGGACATTGTTTTTTAATCTTTCGAACAGATTTTCACGAGGTTACCTGCACACGAGAGAAGCTAATTGTCGCCTACTTACTTGTCGAATTTCCAGAACTACTGGGAGCAGAGCAATGGTGCTCTGAAAAAGAGCTAAAGCTAACTAAGCTGAATTTTGGATGTAGCTGTTCCCTGATTGTATTGCTCTTTTCAAACCAGTTCTGTTTTCAGTAACCTGCTTGTTCATCAGTTGTTTAGAAGAGTGAAAAAATCTATACAAATATACACAACCAATACTCAGCATGAGTGACTTCTATATACAAGATTAATTTACACTTTGTAAATCACAAATGTTAAGGGGCTAGGGCTGCTGAGCCATGCTCTTTGTGCAAGTTTCTGTATAGTTTGCTTCATGAATTATAATTTCCAGAGTCCAGGACCAGTTCAAAAGTGTAAAAGGAAGTAATTAGCCTGTGATTTAAGAGAGCTCTTAATTTTGTGCTACAGCAGGCTTGATGCTCGTAGACTTGACTCACTGGAGTAAAGTCGTGTACATAGCTAGGTAACAAATCTGCGTGTTTGTGTGCGTGTGGATGTTGGTGTGAGCGGGTGTTTAAGTGTGTGCGCGAATGGTTTCGTTTATGCACGCAAGTAAAAGTAAGTGTGAAACACAGAGGGAGAGGAAGGGAAAGAGTGAGAAAGAGCTTGTTCTCTGCCTCGACTTTAGTGGATGTGTTTGAGCTGTTTATGCGTTTCTGTGATGCCATCCCAACAGCTTTCGGTCACAGAGGCAATAACAGAAATCTTTGAACTCGAGAACACATTCAGGAAATGACGGTTTTCATAACACACCTTGGCAAATTGAGCACTCACTCGTGCCACGGTTATTCTCCAGAGGAGTAGCTGGACCCTCTAATGTCGGTCCCAGTCAAGAAGTCACACTGGCACCAGACTGGCTTGCGTGATAAAGATAATTGCAGCGTTTCGCCTTGTAGCCGGTTCATGTGTGACACAGGGGATTATTAAAATGTGGATACAATGCCACCAGACTTTTGCCAGAATGAGAAACCTTTCAGTACCTGCTTTGCCTCTCATGGATCCATGTGTCTGCTCTAGATTATTGCAGAAACACTGTAAACTGTTGACACACAGCACTGAAAATCACTCCTTTCGGTGCAGACAGATACTCCCAGCTTTGGCTAAAATTTCCTTTGTGTGGTTTCAGCAGTGATCATGCCATAGTGCCTTTAGGTCTTGTAACACTAATTATTCATGCTGTCAAGACTGTTAACTGTCCTCAGTGAGATGCCTTATTGTTTTTTTTTCTTCTATTTAATATATATTTTTTCATATGTATCTTGTATTAATTGTACTCTGAAGAGCAAATGCTAAATTGTTAAATAAAACATGATGTAGAAATTGGGATTGTTTGATCTGCTGACTGTGAAAATGATCTTAACTTCATCTAAATCCATATACAATCAAGGGAAAAAGTACAAACCTTTTCAATGGTGAGAGTTTCTTCAATTTGGAATTCACTGTCTTAAATATGGATGATTAGAATCAGATACGAGCAACACAACATAATGAAACATGTCATTTATTCACCTTGAATCAAACCAAAATGCAGAATCAGCGTGAAAAACAAGCACTCTTACTGCTCCCATAGGATCTCAGACATACTCAGGCATAACTTAGCTTTAAAATGCTCTGTCTAAAGTATGTTTTTGGACATAAAAAACCACATTGGACTTGTTTGGCAGACAGAAACACGGCATTTCATCCCAAACATCTTAGCACAGTGGTGGAAGGGTGATGATTTAGACTTGTTTTGCAGCACTGGGGCATCTTTCTGTCATTGAGGCAGCCATTAAACTTTCTGCATACAAAAGTATTTGTGCAGTTTTGTATTGTTCCTCTCGAGGAAACATGAAGATTATTCAATCTGAAACGAACAATGGTGAATGCAGAAAAACATGATGCCATGGCCATCACAACTATCTTGTTTAAAGAGATCCAGGGGGATACAGTATTGTAGTGTGTTGAGTCAGTGTGTGCTGAGGGACAAATACAAAGCCTGTGTGCGTGCGTGCACACACACACACACACGCACAACATATTTAGATGTGAAATTGGATGGGAGTGGTTTTATGGTAAGTTGTTACTCAATCATACTGCTGTCGGGGGTTTTAGTCCGAGCAGCGTTGGGATGTGTAAGATGATCCATGATGTGTCATTGTTCCCCTCACCCCATCTTCAGCTCCCTGCTCATTGGAGCCGGGTTTTTGTTGTCCATGCATGATTCAACCCCCCGGAGAAAACACTGCTCACCCACTTTTTTTTTCTGTGAGTCAACCATTTGTTGGACCTCTTTAGAACAGCAACAATTTCAGATTCTTGTTCATGATTAATATTCCACTCAGGATAACATTGGGGATAATCAACTTAATCTTCCTGCATATAGCTAGACATCTCATTAATCACTGTTAGATTTATTGAATAGATCAAAGCACAAGTTACTGGCTGAAGATCACAAGAAAGGAAAGACGTCAAGAAAGTTCAGGAAGTTTAATCTTTGTTATCCTCTGCCATCCATTCCTTGCACTGTTCCTGTGATGTAATAGCTTTCCCCCCTTTAATACTGTTTTATACTTTACAATATATTTAGAGTCTTAGAACATTGTTAGCAACATGCCGTTGTGTATTGCAGTCTTTGCAGATGACTGGGCTCAGAATGTTTTAGTCAACAGCCTGAATCCATATCCATGGCGATGTAATGTGTTGAGAATTTTTTTCCTCACCTCCCTCACAGTCATTTCAGTCATTGTTTAAATACCACAGCCTATCTGAGAACTGTCATCGGCCATGTGCATGCCTTTAAGGACACAATTTATCTTCTCATGGCAAATTTCAACATGATAATTCACCATAAAGCCAAATTCACGTGGCCTCTCCAGTCATCTGAATCTAATAGAACACCTTTGGGAGTAGTGGAACAGGAGATTGGCTAAATGAATGTGCAGCTGACAAATTTGAAGAAAATACGTGACGCAATCATGCTCGCATGGAACAGAATCTCAAGAGAGTTTTTCCAACATGTTGTGAAATCCATGCCATGAAGAGCTGAGTCTGTTTGTTTTTTCTAGCAGTGGGAGGCTCAATCCAGCACTGGGGCATTCTGCGACTGTACATCAGCTTGTGAATGTCGAAAGACAATGTTAAGATCTTAGTCAGCTGATATTTATGACAAAATTGTTAACTTAAATGTTACGATAAGGGCTTCAATCCTTCAGGTCATACCAAAGCAAATGTCTAATATATAATTGTATAGAATAAAAGAAACATGATTCCTTTTAATTATAATTGTTGAAATTGAGGTGGTTTAAACTCAGTGCTTAATATTTTTTTGATGACATATTTCTTATAATCACCACAGAGGGGCAAGAGGTAATTTTCATGGTGACGGAAGACGCATGAATAAATGAATTAGTCATTTATTGGAGGTCATTTAAGAGTGGAAGGATAACATTTGATGAGCTCATTTGGCAGTGTCCGGGATGGGGGAGCACACCACTCCAAAAAAATTGCAGTGCTAATGAAAGTACAAGTCTAATGAAGAAGCAGAGGCATGTTTGTGTATGTAAACTGTAAAGTCAGCTGGCTGGTGCCACTGCATGTGGCAGCTGAACTCATGCCAGGCTGTAAACACTCCCCGCCTGGTAGCCAGCCTCAGATGTCTTTTAAATCAGCTTTCGGTAAGACTGAAAAAATAAATCCTGGAGAACCTTACCTGTGTTATTACATTCTCTAATTATAGTTTGGAGCTGTAACTCTGAGATGACTGAACAAGACGGGCCCTCAGGGTGTTGTGAATGTAATTATATCCTGACAATTAATAGGCCCGGTCCTCGGAGAAGAGTTTGCTTTATGATGACGTACCTGACCATTTTTAGATCATCAGGGAAGCCTTTGAATTATGACATAATTACAAGGGAAAACATGATATGCAAAGATGGTAATTATCCCTTAGAACTGTTACAGTAAATGGTGATAACTTTTATGATACAAGTTCATAACAGGGGGAAAGCTGATATTTCTGATACACACAGGGAAGTATTTGTCATCGGGGTGCAAATAAAAATATTTCTCAGTTGAAATACACAATTTAGGCTTCATCCAATTCTACGGAAGTGATTCTTTATTTAGAAATGAATTGATGTGCTGCACACTGCTCAGAATGCACACAGAATTCAAGTAAGATGTGAGTAAATTATTGCCACTGTATGCAAACAAGAGAGGCATGTTTGCAATAATACATGCACAAATTCAACTAACTGATACTGTTTTTGGGGAGTACGTGATAAGTGCAGGTTAAATGAATGATCAAAATTGTACAACTCCTCTAGATACTTTCTAAAAGCATTGGGAGGCTGCGTAACATGGATATAAAGGCTGATTTAATAAACCAGTGTCTGTGTCACAATAAAAGAGAGTGCCATCTGACAGTTTTTATGAGAATTAATCACTGAGAATTCCATGTGCCTGCTTTTTGTACATGTAAAACGTCTATTTTCTTGAAACATCTTTAACCCACATTGTGAATGGTATTCTGTGTCTGATGATCTCCATGTATGTGAAGATCACAGACATGTTATCTTGATTTACAGGTGAAATTCTTTGTACACAAATAAACCCTGATTTTTATATATCTCTGGTGATATTATGTATTCATGCTATGTTTAAAGATGCTGGCTGTACCACTCTTAAGGTAAAGAAGGTCCATCTTCATGAAGTTTTGCACCACGAACAAGAACAATATATTATCAACAGTCCAGCTTAACTTCCTTCCATTTATTTGATAATGCTGCAACTTATTGTGACCATTAATGAAACCCCCAGTTTTTACAGATTATAGGATACAATTGGCCTGCTAAGTGCCAAGTGCCTGCTAGGTGGGCTGTCATTGGTCTAAATCCAAGATGAAGCAGGAAATAGTTTAAGGGGGATAATCCTAAAAGGAAGGTCACTCTTAGAAGGGGGGCCTTTTCACACACATGCTACCCTCCTTTTCATACCCAGCAGCAGATCATTATCAAAGGGTATACAAATATATTTGAAATATCACCGTTTGAAGTATTGGCTCTTGAAATGTGAAGGAAACATTATGAAAAAACATTTTTGCTCTGATAATTTTGTTTTTCTCACTGCTCTCATCTCCCTCTATTGTTTGACATGCTCTGGATTTCTGAATTTTTTCCTTTTTTTCACTCTGCATCACTCCCAGTGCATCATGGGATGACTTGAGACAGCTATTTAATGGTTTTGTCTGTGTTTGTGCACTGTAGGTGTGTGAGAAAGTGAACATATGCACGTATGACAGCAACGAAAACAGGAAGTCGAAAGGAGGCAAGCGGTGGGCGCGAGCTCCTGATGTGCCAGTCAATAACACTTTTCTTCAGGTTGAAGTGCACGCACCAGGAGGGTGTGTTTCTGCTGGAAAGCTTCTGTAATGAACAGCAGGCTGGCTCGATGCCTGATCAAATTCCACCGCAGCCTCATATCTATCTAGCCTTCCAAAAATGTTCAGCATACCAGTGGGTTTTATTGACTTGTCAGAGCAGACAGCAGAGTGCAAGCTCTGCCTTGTAAGGTGTGCAGTTAACAGGTTTCTAACGCAGGAATGTCTGCTGATGACTTTTTTTGATCTATAATATTTCTGTGTGTTTTAGCTCAAATGGACGAGCGGTGATTTGAGTTCCGACATGTGCAAAGGCAGTGCAGACTACTGACCTCGGGAAGTCTCCACGGAGGACATGGCATGCATTCCTTCAAGATAAATTAGACCATAATTTGAGGTTTGTGTCTTTCTCTATCACGGATTTAGCTCACATGTGAGTCAGTACACATAAGTTGCTTTGCAGTGTCTGAAAAACGAATGCAATTGGTCTTAGGATATTTCCAAAATTCAGCAACACTTTTCAAACCTCAAGAATGCAAAATTCCATCAGGGGCTAAAGACCATTCTTAATCTATTCAGCAACCTAATCATAGGGGGAACATCACCAAGTTGATTTGCAAAAATGATGCGGCTGATTTTAAAGTGAAGCGAGTTCCCCTTTTCCACTCAAAGCAATAGCTTAAGGTTACCTGACCTGCCTGTAACCACGTTGTACTAAAACAAATCCTGTATTTCTGACAAAATATGAAGCCAAATTCATAAATCTGATATCTAATTATTCTTTTTTTGTCATGTAGCTTGTTTCTTTTTTAGATTGATGGATGTTTTGTGCAGCAAATCAAATATAATAACACAGCTGGGCAGGCATAAATCCACAAACCATCTTCCTTCCTAAAGAGGCTGCTCCATGTAATTTCCCACGCTTCTGCGGGTTGTGCACAAGCATTTTTACTGACTGAAGAGCGTGGCTTTGCTCTCACTGGTGAATCTGAGTCAAACATAGGAGGTATGGTGAGCTGCCAGTGCTGACAGATGCTGCTCCACTATCTCTCACATAATGACTTTAGCCTCCCCCCATTCTATCTGTCTTTCTACTCTTTCCTCTCACCTCGTGCCCTGAAAATACAGTTAACTGCATGACCGTCCGCGATGAATAGCTGCTAACAGCTGCCTGTTTTTTGATGGTTGCCTGTGAGAGCATATAATTGCATTTGGCCTTGGGTGTACATGCACTCATTAAACCAGTGTCAGTGCCCATTACATTCCACAGCAGTGCAGCTCAGGTAGACTCTAAGTCCCAGGCATGAGTGAAGAGTGCTCAGAGGGGGTACCAGAACTGAGAACAAGAGAAAATTACATCTAATCCACACAGAAAACCACAAGAAAACTAGTTAGAGTGCTTCTTTTCCATGAAAATTCATCTTTGAATTGTGTTGTTTAATTTTCTCATGTAAAATGTGTGAATTCGCTCAGAGAAACAAAACTTGATCAATTTTGTCAAGTGTATTATAGATGTTGGCAAAACACAGCCAAGATGTCGATTTTTTGCTGGGATAATTTAGCTGGTCCCAGTTGTTAGGGATCAGAGAGGATAAGATCTGCTATGTTGGGATCTGATCCACTCTGGGATCAGATGCAGAATTCCAAAAATGCCCATCAACATGCCAAGATTCAACGCTGAAGCCCTTCTGTTTTGCTGAGCCATCTCATCTGTTTGCACGTTGTTCCGTATCTCTGACCAAAAAATATCATCAATGAAAAAAAGAGAAACACTTTCCCAGCCCCACATTTCTGAGCACCCCAACTTGACTCTACTGACGGGAAGGAGGAGGTCTTTAGAAGAAGGGCAGGAGTCGATGGAAAATAAACTACAAATTCCTCAAAACCAGCTAAACAGACATAATGTTTTCAGTGGCTTTCAGGTCCTGTTTCCATCATTTATTGTGACGCATCGTGTCATGCTGAGTCCATTGTTACAGTCTAAAGCCTCTCTGCTGTGTGAGAAAAACCATTAGTCGTGCAACAACCAGTAAGGTGCACCGTCTGCCCGATCTCCACATTGTGCAGAGACAAAGCCGACATGACATCTCATGCAAGAGACTCCATCAAATGCCCGTTCCCCGGCTTGTTGATATGACAGATATAATACCACAGCTGGCACACTCATGACCTGAGTAAGTAAATGAACAACCGTCTGACATTTGTTTGGCCCCCACATATTGAACTTTACACATGTGAACCAATCAGAGGGGGAAGTCTGACACCTAGTGGGGAAAATGAGGGCTCACGTTTGAATGCACAGTCACCACAAACAAATACATGAGGATTTCGTTGATGGATGAAAAAAAAAGAAAGTCTACCCTCTGGGAGTGGGGAGCTGTTCATATTTTGCCTCATGATCATTCATGCTTTTGCGCTTTTAATCGTATTCAGGAGAATAGGGAGGGGGTGTAATGCTGTAAAGGGCCAACAGATGGCAAAACATGCCCAGTTTACACTGTTGCACAGGCCTTGTCCCTGAACGAGGCCTGTCTGCACACATTGCCATTATTAAACACCTCACGAGTAGGGGAATTGATAAATTAGAGGGAAAAAACCTAATTACTTGATACACCCCTTCCCAACTACAGGCAGCCACTAAACACACAAATCAAGTATATAACACAAGCTTTATCAGTTATAATCACTGGCTATTTCTCCACTCAGACTATAAAATCGCCATAATAAGATAAAAGCTGCTGTAAGCCAGTGGAGCAGGCTAACAAGCAGCAGGCCTTCTATACTTGGATCTGGGTTAAATCTGAAGGACACTGAGTGCTTAACAGTTTTCTGGTGACTTGAATGATAAGCTATAAAGATCAGACAAAGGGAGCGTGTGTACGAGAGTTGAAAAGAGAGCGAGAGAGAGAGAGAGATCCCTCCATCCTTCCTTCCTGGTGGGAGGTTTGAGATGAGCTGCGCAGACCAGTCCGCTAGCGACGCATCTTCCTGGCCTCCCCCCTCCTCCATCCTCCTCCCCTCCCTCTCTCCCGGTCTCTCTTTCCTCCTTTCCTGTGTCTGACTCCGGTCTACCTGAGGGGAAGTGCACAAAGCCGATAAGGAAATCTGGCGTGTCGGCGGGGCCCCGTGCTCGCTATGCTGCGGTGAAAGGCCGCCGTCTGCGGTGTTTACAGGGGATGTGGTGAGGGGGACACAGGCACCGCTCTCTCCCCCCCCCCCCCCCCCCCCCCCCCCCCCCCCCAGACGGACCGCGCCGTGTCTGCCCTGCTCTGCCCAGCCCGCCGTATCGCCGAGCGGCCTGCGAAGCACACAAGATGTCGACCAGAACGCCATTGCCCACCGTGAACGAGCGCGACACCGAGAACGTAAGTGCTGGCACACAGACACCGGCGGAGCGGCACCGGCCGTGGGAACCTAACAATGGTAGCCGGGGAGCTAGTTCCCCCCCTTTTTAGCGCGGTGGATAATGGCAGCGCTTCTGGAGGCTACCGTGCCGTAGTGCCAGTCGACCAATGAGCACTAGGGCTTTCTTTCCTCCTCTCCCGTTGTTGGGAATTTTTAAAAAAAAAAACCTGGATAACCGAGAATAAAAGTACACCTTGGTTACGTTAGTCCTAGTTCGAGAGCACAATACGGCTAGCCTAAACAACGCACTGCGTCAGTTCGCTAAATAGCGGTTCGAGCGAAGCTTCAGTGTTAATATCGAGAAATAAGACGTTCTCTCTTTGGCCTGTGAGAGAAATGCCTTGCTCCCCGCATGTAACCGGGGGGGTATTTTGCTATCCCACAACGTCAATATTTCGGGAGGGGTGGGGGAGGTTGTTGCCCTACTTTTGAATCGCAACGCTTGGTAGCATCGCAATGTGACATCCATCACCTATTGGGCCCTGTTGTAACTGCACATTTAGGGCCCAGGAGGAGGAGGGAGTGTTGTTATTCTGCCCCCCCCCCCCCTCCCCAGAAGCTGATGAGGAGCACACAGACAGGCATTTAGAACGGACAGCACTTAAATCACGAGAGAGTCCTCATTCACTGTGTGAAGGAATGTCTGTGAACGTCCCCCCAGTCCAGCTTCCACAGTGAGCAGCACAGGATGACATCCAACCTCTTTTGAGATGAGTTCAGCTGAAGACGGCGGAAAGACACCCTGCCTCGAAGTTTTGAAGTTTCATTATTGCTACGAACTGAGTTTTTGCGGGGAACAATGTTTTCAAGATGTAAACTTTTTGCCTCTCTCATCAGGTCATACAATCCAGTAAGAAACTGCATTTCCTCTCAGCTAAAGTTACGGAACTTATCAAACCCCAGCTCTACGTGATTATATTGCCTCTCAGATGTTTCTCTGGGGCACTTTCAGTCTTCAGTAATGCATCAGCTTTGGCTGCCTGCTTATATAAATGTCTGGCTAATGCTGTTCTCACAGATATGGATTACTACGTGGCTATTAAAGCACAGTCCGGGCATCGCTGGAGGTAGCCGGCCAGGCTCGTCTACTTCTGCACAGCTCCAGCTCGCCGCCTCAGGGCCCACTAGCAGCCCAACTGCATTGCATAACATCTTATTACTGAAATACATGAGTGGCTTTCAACGCTGGAAAATAGAAGTGGCTCTCTACTGGCTTTGATTGTTTTATATTTGAGCATTAAAGCATGCGTGTTTTATGTTTAGCTTAGCTGAAGACATGATGTCACTGGTTAGGGTTAATGGAAGGAGAAGGGGAAACGCACTTTGTGAGTTAATCAAGCACTGATGCTCAAAGTCTCTCATCCAATGCTGCTCCATTAATTGAGAGAGTACTGACTGTGGTTTGCATGTGATCTAAATATTCCCTGTCTTTGTCACAGCAGGCACACAGTTACTCTGGGGAATATGTGCTTGATAGCATAGCTCTGCCTCCAGGATGTGGGCCTGCTGAGGTGATGCACACCCTGCAGGGTGTAGCGTTTCTCCGGTGAAATGGGAGCAGGGAAGCCACGGTAACCAGACCATGGCTTTATTCACTGGCTGGGTGTGGTGCTTAGGAACAGAGGATCATGGGATCTTTGACCTGGACTGACATCAGCAGCTGTTGCAGAGGAGAGGAAAGAGACCATAGGAGGCTGTGTGATGCGTGTCCCAGTGTTGCACGCACAGCAAGCTGTCCTAAATTCACCTTCACATACACCTACTCAAAGGGACACTTGTTACCGGTTTGTGGCACCATGCGACAGATTTGAGGTTTTCTATAGGGCCTGTTGTCAGAAGAGTTTGCTGTCCTCTGTTGAACTTCACATTGTGAACGATGAGGCCTTTCAGTGTAGAGGGTATAGGGGGGGTTGGAGGGAAACTGAAACACCTGATAACAACCCCATTTTAGGCACCCTTTGTTTCATCTCATCATCATTTACTAATTCATATACCAGATTGTTCGACTTTTTATCAGCTTGTTGGATGTGTGTCCCGCTCTCAGTTATTGTTAGGTAAGTTGAGGTGAAGTGGATTTAAAAGTTTTGTACTTTGGTGAAAATGGGCACAATGTGCACCCTATCCAATTCTGTAGAGCGTTTTTTCTCACAGGACAAGTTTAAATTCAGTCGGGCAAGTGATGAAAAAACATCTTCCCTCTGTAAGGGGGTGGATTGATTCCACTTTGGGATTTTGTTGAAGCCGGTGGCAAATATTTGAAGCAAACGTCATACTGACTGGAGGGGGAGGGTTGAAAAGAAAATGGCTTTGATGACAGGATAATGATTCTTAGCAGACCTTAATATCCAAAACCTTTAGACAGCCTCAGGATGCAAAAACTCTTACGTTTACCTTACAATCACCCACTTCAAATATTCAAACACTTGAAACTATCCGTTTTGTAAGTAGTCCATCTTTTTTTTGAGACAATCACTGTGATATAAATCTTGATTGTCAAAGCCAAAGCATTTGAATGCAGATGCATATATTTAGACACTGAACACACAGGCTTGAACTTAATTAATGTGGTCATCTTTGCATTGCAGATATCTGAGTTTATTATATTTTAAATTCATTTCTATTTTACATCTGTAGCCCCAATCTCGGCGCTTCAAAGTTGCAATCCAATTCAAGCCATTTAGAATCCAGTTCCTTGTCATAGAATCATAATCCACTCAATTAAAGTGAGATAAATTCCAAAGTAGTCCAGTTCATCCAAAAGAAAAACTAAATGATGGCATCGAATCTTCAATCCAATCCCCAGTCCCGAGCAGGTTTGAGGCGTCTGTGGAATGCCAGCGCGGTGCTGATCACCAGTTCAGATCTGACCGGAGTGGTTCAGGGGCTTGTAGCATAAAGGATGCTGCTGATGTAATCCTGTATGGCTTCATTGCAGCACTCATCAGTGGACGGCATTGTTGAGCCTCCAGCTCCCCCAACCAAGTCTGCGAGTCGCCACAGCCTGCCGCGATGTCGCAACTCTTTCACCACCACGGAGGATCACCCTCATATTGGCAACTACCGCCTCCTCAAGACCATCGGAAAGGGGAACTTTGCCAAAGTGAAGCTGGCCCGACACGTCCTGACTGGAAGAGAGGTGAGACCGTGAGCCTTAGATCAGCAGTTTAAGCTGCAAAATAAAATATAATGCAGATTCATCTTCTCAGAGGCCAAGCTAACACACAGTTAGGTTTGGTCATTTTGTTGCAAAACAATTGCCCTTTCACCTGTTTTACGCAAAACTGCCTCGAGCCATGCATGATGAGACTATCCATTTCTGAATTTCAGATGCCTTTCAAATGCCAGGACACTGAACAACTAGACGATATTTTATTTTACCAGATTGGTTTTCTCAATCAGGTCCTGACAAGATTTCCCTTGCATGCCCAGTCACACACTGCAGACCTGTCAGAGTGATAAACGCCTCGCTTTGGTGTGCCGGTAATTTAAGCTCCTGTTTCCAGGACCCAAAGCGCTATCTGGAGCCCTGATCCGACTCAGAGGTCCTCTCATGTCTGTGTCTTTGCCACTTGCATCCTTTAATCGTCTGTGTTTCATCAAGCACAAGGTCTTCTCAGCATATTTAAAGCACACGTGCTCTCCCAGGTCTAAACAGCTGGGTTTGATCCATGTGGTGTCCTTTAATGTTAAATGAGTGGATTGAGTATGCTGTACCCTGTGCTGGCAGAGAAGGTCAGGCACTGCTTTGTGTGTCTGAGTGTTTGCTGGCTCATCAGAATGCAAAGACATGGACTAGAGTTGGGGAGAGGAGGCGGAAAGAACATAAAACCTGATGCTATCGTAGCATGGGTGTAACGGCTCTCTGAGCTATGTGGATTTGCCAATCAGCTTCTGCAGGTAAAGGTTTAACTCTAAGAAGAGCTCTGCTGAGGGAAAAGGTCAGGAAGATACTTTCAAGTGCCCAAATGTCCCTTCATTTGCCTAAGAGACAAAACACAAAAGACATACACTCATCAACACGTTGATGCTCAGCACAATGATGGATGATTGAAAATATTAAACTAAATTTCTGCTTATGCTTCTTCAGAGCCGTTGTGTCACATTGGATGAGATTTGTACAGACATTTATCATTTTATGAAACAACTGTTAGACAAAATATGTTAAGTTCTGTTGGAAGATGCTTGGTTATTTTATATGACTTGTATCTTCGTCTTTTTTTTATTTTATTTTTTTGCAGTCAAGGGAAATTAAAAGAATAATTTCTGAAGGCTTGTTAATGTTGCTGATGTAGAAAGAGATTTTCAACTGAAGCATAGATAATGAAGCCATAGCGTTGAAGGTGTTTTGGTTGAAAATTACGTTGTGTAACATTGAAGGGGGATCTGTTGATGGAAAAGTAGCTAAATATTTAGAATTATGTTTTCATTCACGTTGAATCCTGTGAAAATAAGAATCACCTTGGAAATGTGTAATCCACACGGTGAGAGAGGCGGTGTGGATCCTGTGTTGTCGCAGCATGCCGTTAATACGGCTGCTTTCAGGGACACGCCTTTAGCATCCAGCATGTCAATTGATCAACAAATGGATAAAACAGTATTTTTTGCTCCCCTTTGGTCATTTTTTGTTTTCTAAACCATTTTTGTATTAAAAGTTAACTGAACATTTTGTCTTACCAATCAGAACATTTTAATGTTCCAGCTCAAACAGATAAGCAGTCAGATACATCCATGTCAATTTCCTGATTATTGCGTCATTGATTTGTGGTTGGTTGTTGGCCTTTTGATTTGAACGTCTCCACTAAGGTGGACGTACAGTCGCTATTTGACAAATAAAGCTCAAACTGTATTCCTCCAGAAGCACATGATCATGGAACTCTGGCAGTAACGGCCTTTTTCGGCAGGTTCTAATACATTCAAAGCTGTAAAATGGATTTCAAACAGATCTGTCCTTCCTGCTTCCTGCCTAACAAGACAAACCTTTCTATTCTTTGAAAATGACCATAACAAACAAGAATAGTTCCCTTCTGTCACAGGAGATCAGGACCCAGGCTCAGGGGAAATCAGAGTGTAGAGGAACATGTAAAGCGCTTTGGTACACAAGTGTTGCTATGACTGAGTTTGCTCTCCACGTCCTCTGTCAGAATATTCAAGTTTTATGTGCGCACACGCATTGCAAGCCCATTTAGGGTGAGGAGCATATGGCCCCTGTGTTGTGAAAGTGCTGAATAATTAACAGTGATGCATGTTGCCCTTCTGTTGATGTGGAGTTGAATTCTTCACTCTTAAATCCATTAGTCAACATGCACGGACACTTTATGATATCATACAATCCACATCACTGTCAGATAAAGCCCAAAGGAAAGCTATTTGCTCAGTGTATTATCCAGAATGTCCTGTATTGTGTATAGAGAGCGCAAGTAAAGACTGAGTTGTAGAGTGAGACAGATGAGGACAGCCCATACACTTGTATGCATTAATACACACGCACACATCCACACGCATGTACATTCATCCATGACAGGAGGAAGCAGAATGGAGGGAAGCGACTGTCTGTGCACCTGCCCACCTAAGACCGGCTGCAAATAGACACCACCTGCACACAGTTTCTTCACGCCGTGAGCCTTTCTGCCGCTTCTCTCTCTGCTCCCGTTACCAGACTCTGCTCCTTTCACTGTCAGTATATTGTGTCATTATGGAGCATAGCTTCTGGCTTTGGATGAAATTAAAACTTGCAGGTCTTGGGGGAAACCCTGTTCAGGATGAATAACCTGCTTTATCTCCACCATGACTCAGCGTTTGCTTTTGGTTTCCCCTTAACAGGCATCTTGGGAATACAGCCAGAGCTTGCATCCACTGAAGCATGTATATTAAGCTCTCATGAGGCCTGAGTCAAACTAATCCTGTCATGAGAATTTGTAAATGTTATTGTATCATTAATCTCCAATGACGGTGTCCTCTCACTCACTTTGAACGTACACAATAGCAAAAAAAAAAAGGTCTTGTAGATTACCCCTCAATTAGAGTTTGGAATGCAGGATAAGGTCCTGTTTAAAAGGACAAAAATCATAAAATCAATGGCTGACACGTGCTACAAAAGCAAAACATTCAACAATACAATACGATGTAGATGTTTGATCTTTTTCTTGAATAGGGTTTGCACATACTAAAAAGAATGTTTGAGAGCTCATCTTCAGATTTTTGCCCAGTCACAATCTTTTCCTGAAGGTAGATTTCACAGGAATGCGTTGGGTGTGCAGCTATTATATGGTGAAGAACATTAAAAAGAAATGCCTCTTTAGTCGGAGACTGTTAGGAATGTCTGGGAGAACCCTGGTTGTCATTTCATGGTTGGCACCTTTAAGCTCCTGCGAGTTAATCCCCTCCATTCGGAACACGTTTCTGTTTCTGGTCTTATAATTTGGAGACTAGTGCACATGCATTTTCTCTTAATGTTTTATCAGACTTGCATCTGTGGAAAGTTTTCCTCCAGTGAAGGGTGACACTCCAGTGACATTCCACTCAGCATGTCTTCTTTTTTAGCCTTCTTTCTTTCCTTAAGTCACAAAGCATTTTTTTTGGGGGGGATGCAAAAGTTTTTCATCATATAAATCCTCACCGCCAGATCAAAGAGTAGCTTAATTACTTATTTATTTGCTGACTTAAACTCTGGGAGCTGTAATTAGTTTTTAAAACTTCCAAGTTGTCATCTGTCTTCAGATAACCATTTCAATCCAACCCTAACTAGCTGCCATTGTCTTCAACACATTTATTGTCTTGATTGCCTTTAGTCAAACAACAACACGACTGACATTGATAATAATTCAGTTTGAAAGCTGAAAGTTATTGGGGGTCGGATAAGCTGCGTGCATTTCACATGTGTTTCAGTGTAATTTCATTATAGGGTGAAAGTGCTCCGTCAATCACTTGAGCAGCGTAATGTGCAGCGTTACTGGTGACTGCAGTCCAGCTCAGCCTGTGGTTTTTAGAAAAGCTGCTGAGCTCTCAGAAAGTGAGGAGACCATGTCTGTTTTAGTGTGCACTTTGTGCTGATTATTGAGATGGATGGATCAGTCTGCTGCCAGCAGTCGATCGCTGAAATGCACAGTCATGTGTGCTGACACAGACCCGGCTGCTGCGCAGGTACAGCCCGCCCAAGCACCGCATTTAAGTTAGAACATTCCGACTTTTTGTCTTCACCACAATCATCCTCAGCTATTCACAGGCAACCAGCGTAAAGATGTCTTCAGACTGCATGGTCAGCTCTTTAAAACACAAACCCACGTCACAATTAAAAAAAAAACTGCAATCACTTAAAGTATCATTCTCTTTTTTTTCTCTCTGTCTCCTTCCAACTCTTCCCCTTCCTCTCTCTCCCTTTTATGTCTTTTCTTTCTCCAGGTGGCGGTGAAGATAATAGACAAAACCCAGCTGAATCCCACTAGTCTACAGAAGGTGAGTTGATGCTTTATGACCTCCTGGCAACACTAATGTCTTAGTGATAGTGCTCATGTCTTTTCCATTAGTCATTCCTTGGTTTCTGCTGCACTCTTTTTTTTTTTTTTTTTTTTTTTTCTTTCAACTCAGGATGTGCGGTTTTGTGTAATGTAATCATTTGTAGTCAGAAGAGACTGAGGCTTGTTTAAAGTCCAGCCCCCTACTTTTCATTCTTCACTCTATTAGTTTGTGGTGAAGAGCAGCTAAAAATACACTTGCCCGCCTGGTTGTCACTTACCCTTCTCAAGCAGTCACAGCCAATTACAGCAAAGTGTTGGGGTTGCTTCCTGAGTCCCAGTCCTGATCCTTCTTCAGATTAAATGCACCCACACAGATTTATACACACATTGTGTAATCCTTATGTTAAATTCATAACTCGTGGAAGGACAGGGGCTGCTTCTACGGTACGGACCAGCATCACATACTGTGGATCTATAAATAAGTCACATGTGCGGTTGGGTAGCTGAATTCTTCTCACGGTTGTGACATTATAGAGCTAGGCTCTTTTTTTTTTTCTTCTATAAAATTGTTAAGCAGCAACAGACTCTAAGCAGTCCTGTTTTATTGCTTTTTTGCAATAAAAATGTTTGCAAAGCTGTTTGGAAACCACAAGGTGAAAACAGAGTAGAACTGTAAGGGACGAACAGAGGGAGGAACAGATCTGAATCATTTCTGCGTCTGTGAGTTTATAAAACAAGCCTGTTTTTACCCCGATGGGACATTTCAGGCACTGGCCTGAACCATTGAAACACACAATTAATTGTTGTGAATCTTAATGGGATCCAACCGCAATTGTTGAGCAGATCAGAGTGATGACATGGGGAATTTATAGCTCTCTGTTCAATCTAATCTGACTGAGATACATGGCATTTCGCAACTACCCACTGTGTGACGTCTAATCTGATCCCAAAGCTGACTGATGAACATTTAGAAGCTTTTGTGTGTGGGTGTTTGTAACTTCACCAACCTGGGTCTTGCCGAGGTCATCGGCGGTTTCATATCCTGTGTGTTGTTGTGTGTTGCCTGCTCGGCCGTCATCGTAGTAGGACAGATGTGTCATGTGACACTGTAGGCCAATTGGGATGGCTGTGATCAATTATTCAGGGTTCTTTCATGTGTCCGCTGCACTAGGTTGGAGAGGGTCAGTGTGGAAAAGTCTTGTAGTTTTCCATGGGAGATGGACAGCCATTGGTCCAGTAGCAACCATGCCCATAAATCCATGTAAATGGATAGATGACGTTTACTTTATGCTTTTGTATTTAGATGAGTTGCATGGAGCACTTATGATGCTCAAACATTACGGTGCCCTCTGCTGTATGCTTTTCCTGTAATGGTATACAGATGTGTCATCAGCAAGGCAGGAGCTTTTCTTGTGATGCAGCAGTCATTTCCTGGATGGAATCGATTGTCTCACAGGCTCGGCGAGCCCCTTGTTATCCTTGTGAAAGCTTTAAAGATAATACATTTAAGTGAGCGTTTACCTTGGTGTAGTTTTCACTTTTTGACTAATCTCAATGGTATCTGTAACAAAAAGCACAAGCCTGCTCAGAGAGAGGCGGAGTCACGGACTGGCGTTGATCTGCCCTTGCATCAATGTCCCAAGAGGTAAAAACCATTAAAGGACGTCTCCTTTTGTCACGTGTACCAATATCTGAATGAGAGTCAAAGTTTCAACCTGCCCAACCCACCAAAAAACATTCGGGTTCTGCCATGGTTTCATCTGCAAATGAAACCCTTGCTTTTTTTTCTTGGAGTTGGAGTTGTTTTCCTTTAGAATATCCTCCTGAAATATTTACTTAATTTAGAAGTCTGGTATGTCTCCCGCTCCAGTCCCTGAAGCTGTTTGGGCTGATTCGCTTGCTTTTTCTTATTTTGTTCTCACTGTGACCTTTTATGATGGAAGAGCACCAATAAGAATATGTAGACCTTAAGAGGCTATACTCAAGCTTACCCACTTAGATCGGTGATGCCTTTCATTGGAATACACCAATTTGTACGGCTGGACAGTTATGAAAAGTGAATAAATGCCAAGTAACCAATATAATGAATGTTGGTGTTGTGCAAACACAGTTTTTTCAGTCCAAAATATAATTCAGCCACTAACCTTAAATGAAAAGATTTACTTTTGTATATTAAATGACGGAACGTCCTATTTACCGTCATTATTCTCGATTAAATGCTTACCCAAGTGTTCAAATAAGTAGCACCAATTGAGAAGTAAAAAACCTTTAAGTAGTGGTCCTGAGTTTTCCATCTCGCTTCAACCTTGACACGTCAGGCTGTGAATATTATTTATTTGGCTGTGTCGGCCCTTTTGAGATGGCCTCTGAAGACTTGACACTTTATAGACACTCAGAGTAGGTGGCAGATCTGAAATATGGAAGTACTGGAGGATAAAGGGTTCTAGGTAGCGTCTCATTTTCAGCAGCCTTATGGAGTTGTCCAAGGCTGTTCTGTCTCATCTTGCCTCCTTCTGGTGCTCTGACGTTGCATCAACAAGACAATTTGTATTCGGGGTGAGTTTATAGCAGAGCTACAGCACTGATCCACTCTGCTATACATTAAAAACAGATTCATAATAGTAGGCCGATTTTGAAGTTGTGATTCTATTTGAGGTAAAAACAAAGAAGAAAGAAGTGAAAATCTGATTTGGCCACATCACTCCTCCAGTCAATGTCAACATTTACTCTCTCATGGTAGCCTGTCAAAAAGCCACTGATCTCTGTTTTCACGGTCTCTCAGGAGTCAGGCTGCAGGGACACCATCTGGCACTGTAGGCAACGCCAGCACTCCGGCAATCCTATACAGCCACATTCATGCCGCCATGTGCATGCACACACACACACACACACACACACACACACACACACACACACACACGCAAAGCTGCATGACACATGCAGACATACGCAGTAGATCATTTGATTCATGCAGATGGCTTTAGCTGACACTACCTCAGTATTATGAGCTCAGGTCACCTTTCGCACAAGCGCACACTTCCCTGCACCTGTGTGCAGCCTTTTATTGGGGATCAGCATCCTATACAGACAAATATAAGCCCACTTTATGTCCCATCACCAAGACTAAAAGTAATTCCATCTTAAATGACATTTTTCTGTATTTAAGAAAAAAAATGAAAAAATCTTTGACTGTATAATTTTCCCTCTATTATTTGATCTTACAGCCAGTTAAACAGTGAGGCATGAGATTTTGGTGAGCCCCTGGTTGGATCCGTTATGGCTCACTGTTGCCACTTTGTGGCAGTTTCAACCAAACAGGAAATGAGTACAGCTTAACTTCCAAAGCACCTCCTTGGATCCACCACAGGAAATGCATCACATGTCGCCTGTGGTCAGGCATGTTGATGGTGTCATGTTTTTGAGGCGTTCCAGCTCTAAAATAGGCCTTTTATTTAATCCTCTCCTCCACTAAACAAACACTGCACTGATCCCAGCACCCACTGCACTCTTGTCGCCTTCTAATCTCATCTGTAAAGAAGACTTGTCTCTCTTTGTGTTGCCTAAACCAAAAATCTACAAAAACCTCAAGTCTAACCTTCACGTTTCCTTTCTCACGTCTGTGATTTATTTTTTGGACGATTTCTTGTTTCAGATTGCAGGAAGTGTTCAGAACAGCATAATCTGTATTTTCCGACAGTTGAAAAAGACCCACCATGGGGTCAACCTCTCATAATGACTGTTGTTTACGTCTGTGTCTCTCCTGCCACACAGCATTAGCCAATGAAATGCTGCCGAGCCCAAGGGTCAGAGGAGCTTTGGTCTTGTTCAGATGAGTGGAATGTGATTAGCCGGACGGCACTGTTGTCTGAGGTGAATCATATTACAAATAAAATGTCTGCTCAGAAATGCAGACTTCACATGTCTTGTTATATTGTTAAGTGCTGCCTGGCTTAAATTAGAATAATTTAAAAAAGTTCTGCAGGAAGAGATAAGTGTGTTTTCTCATAGCGTTAGGGCAACGAACAACATGTCTTTGCTGAAGCAGGGAGAGATGGAGACAAAGAGATAAGCCACTTCTTGTTGGAGTTATTTTCAGCAACACAGGAGTTGAGGACAGGGCAGGAGAGTTGGTCTGAATGTCAGCCACGCCGCTGCCTGTGTATTGGTCCTCGTATCTGACTGGTCTGCCTTTCTTTGACAAAAAAAACCCAGCAGTGGTGGTGTAATGATACGCTGAATTCGAATCACTGATTAAAAACAGGCTAAATATATTGCGAGCACATTCTAAGTGTGAGCGATTGCAGGCAACGGCGACCCGTCCTATCAGCAACATCCACGTTGAATGAGCAGCTGTGCTGCTGGGACTGAAATAGTGCAGCCAGTTCCTGTAAGTGTCCCCTGTCAGATATCTGCTGTTCTGCTCCTTCTGCATGTGGACTTTGTGGTAATTAAGGCTAGTTCGGCAGTCTGGGTGCCTCTGGGTGGCTGGAAGTAGGTCACTGGCACAGACTACTGAGATCCAGGCGCATTGAAATCTGTGTGTTCTTGTGTGTGATGCAGTTTTTTTTTTGTTGTTGCTATAATTGTATTCTGTTACTATTCATTTGCGTCAATTACTGTCTCTGCTCATCAGCTGAAATGACCATGTTTGTGCGTTTTAGTTTGAATGACTGTCGTTTTGCTCAGAGGGGATCTGCTCCAGATAGCATTACTGACCGAGATGCCATGCACACCTTTAAGGCTGCTTTATCCCACACTGTGACTCCCCTCTACGTTTAGATATTATAGATACTAACAGCAGAGTGGATCAAAGATCTCAATCTCATTATCTCCAGTCAATCACTGTGGTGGCTCCATCCCTATTGAGCGTACATTGGCATTCTGTGTTTGTTGTCATTTTCCACTGCCCCGCTCCGATTTGTTCCAGTTTTTATTTCCAATTGGCTGCTTGTTTGCACCCCATGAGAGGGTCTTTAGGGCAACGACGCAAACAAGACCCAGAGGGGAAAACAGGAGGAAGAACGCTGACTCTTTAGGCCATCACTCATCCATTGTCATAAAGAATTTCCATCTTGAATGATTCTTGCCATTTCAAAGCATGCGCGGCCAAAGATGAGAACCTGTCACTGTGGCTCATGTGTTTGACATCTATTGCAGGACATTTTTTGGTTATTGTGTCAGATTGTTTCCACTCTAACAGCCTTTGTTACCAATGCAGAACCTCTCTGGCCAAAAGAAGCAGCTGCTGAATATGCAGCAGGGTTTTTCCAGAGGAAAAAATGAAAGACTTGTACAAAATGTCCCCTAAAAACAAACCAAAGCCATGAAAATATGTTATTGATGTACGGAAATTGGAAATGTCCAGTTTAAAGAAAGAAACGCAAGACAAAAAAACAGAGGACGTTGCTAATCTTAATTAGGAAATGGGAAAATTCAGAATTCAACCACATCAGTCCAAATATAAGCACGGATGGTTTGAAACTTAAAGAAACAAAATATTTATTGGGGTAAGTAAAAATGTTAGTGTACAGAGATGTTTACTTCCTTAATATTTGTTCAGGACCTTAAGAGACGGCTGCATGAACACGCTATTTTTATTAAATGTGCTGTTGAGGTTTGTTCAAACTCTCATTTCTGTTTGATGCTTTCCTTCACTGGTACAAAGACCATTTGCTTTTTAAATAAAAGGCTGTATTATGCTAATTTAAATCGCTATAAATATTTTTTATTCAAATGACATAAATTGCTCAATTTGGTTAAATAAAGGTTCTTCAAACGTATACATTGGTTCACTTTTGGCAGGCTGGTCTAAAACATCCCTTCTAAAAGCCAGTCTGCTCTGATCGTCAGCTCATCCATCAGTAGAGCGATCATGCCTCGTGTGTGTGCATAGACACGTTCAGCAGGAACATGTAAAGGCCAGGGTTTATCGAACTGATAACAAAATAAATTGTGTCATTATTTTTTTACTAATTGGTCTAGGGTTTCCTGATTAGTGACCATCACTTTAACCATATCAGTGGAACGTGTTTGACCGAACTGCAGGCGAGGGAAGTGCTAATATTTAAGAGCGCCAGTATCAGTCTGGTGTCCAGGCTCCGAGGCTGTTTACGGTATGCTCTAATACCTTATAACATGCTCCAAAGGTTATTGATCTCACAAGAGGCAGACTCTGCAGAGGAGAGGGGTGGAGTGAGGCTGGCCACCCCACACACTGAAACTGGCCAGTCTGAATCATGCTGTAAGTCTACAGTATTTTAACCAAAGCATGTCACAGATATCACAGTAAGGAAAAAGGGGAATAACAAGGAAATGCTTTCCTTTAAAAACAGCTAACAAAAACCTCTCTCTGTAGATTTCCTCAGCTCCAGAAGAAAACACTCTTGGTTCTCCAGTGAGTTTTTGTTCCATTGAGTGGATTGTGTCAAATTCAAACTACAGTAACAGAAATGTCCCCATGTGTTGCTCACTGAAGAGAGCCTAAGGTTCAGCATTCGTTTCCCTGACAATAAGCAACATAAGAACCGTTAAGCTGTGCGCCGCTGCTTTTTTCCACTCTGTGTATTTTGGTTACATGAGGTGAGAGCCGTCGGAAAGAAAGGAAGAGAGAAGCAGGCGAGCAAGTAGAGGCAGAGAACAGAGGAAGGAATTAGTGAAACCGAGTACCTGCATGAACTAGATCGTAGCTGAGAGGTCCCACAGTTGGGCTTGCTCACACTGGTATAATAGCTGTGTTTGATGACCTAGAAACACACTGTCCTGGGGCTTATGTAAGACCCCCTAAAGGGCCTTAAAGAAAGTTGCATGGATACGCTGGTATATATACTCACACACACACATATACATGCTCGCTACATTTCAAGTGTGGACATAATTACAGTTTTAAAAAAAAAAGGCTGCATCACTTAGACGGAACACTGTTGCATCCAGTCAGCAAATGGCCAAAATCTGTGTTCTCTCTTAGGTGGCAGCACTGTACTGTAGGTGAAAAATCCCTGTCAAGTCAGTGCTGAAATATGACCCCCGAACACAGCCTCAGCACGACTCGGCTGGGAAATCAGCAGAATGTAAATGATTCAACAGCACCTCTGTGTGGCTGCAGGCGCTCGGCCGACACGAGCAGTCACACCAGCAGCCCTGGCTCTCAAAGAGCGCTCTGCTTCTGGACTCTGCTCTGTTGCACATGCAGTTCTAGTAAAAAAACAAAGGAGGATGTTGTTTTGCTAACAGGGCGCTTCTACTGAGCCCAGATAAAAAAAGGTGGCTCTTTGCAAAGAAAAAAAAAAAACACATGGAAACTCACCTCTCGCTGCATTTATTTGTCTAGAACTACAGGCAGCAGGATTATTATGCCTCTGTTTGTGCGCGTCCATAAAAAGATGAATGTGTCAGGCCACAGGCCGGAGGCCTGAGTGCTGAAGCTGTGCTATGGCTGGCCGTGAGCTTTCCTGCAGCTTGTCAGCGGACTTGTGATTCGGTACCTTATCTGTGTAGGGCAAGGTATACCACCGGGTTCCTGCTGCTGCTTCGGTCAAATTGCTTTCCACAGCACAGAAGTGTCAAGCTCCTCAGCTCCATTCTCTGCTGTAATCCAGTGTCGGGTGCATGCACTCTACAGGAGTTTGTGGAGGCTCCCTTCACCTGATTCCTGTGTCGGTGCTTAATAACATTTGCTAACTGTACTTTCCCAGCATAGAGCTGACTCTTCACCCTGTGCTCGGAATGTTATTTAAGACGATTTTAGTGGATTAAGGTTGTGTCTTTATTTCCACAGCTCTTCAGGGAAGTCAGAATAATGAAGCTTCTGAATCATCCCAATATAGGTGAGTTCAAACAGGAACCTGCTGCATCTTCTGGTGAATTAGGACTAATAAAATGAATGAGCCAGTTTAACTCCGGTCAAATAAACTTAGACCAACTCAGAACTTCAAAAATTTTGCTGATATATTTTATCATCCCTCCTTATTCTCTTTCTTTCCCAAACTTGTCTTTCAGTGAAATTGTTTGAAGTTATTGAAACGGATAAGACGCTTTATTTAGTGATGGAATATGCCAGCGGTGGTAAGTGAAAACATGAATACAAAAATAAATTAATAGTTATATTGATATTTGTGTACATCTTTCTTATTCTGAATTTTTAGGATCCCTCATATGACATGTTCATTTCTTTTTTTATATATATATATATATATTTTTTTTTTTACAATTCTGTAATTCCAGCTGTCTGTAATAGTTACCAGCCCAAAGCATTCATGAATGCTTGATCATTAATGTGTGAACTAAAGATACAGTTGGAGGACATCATATCTTTCTTCTTTCTGTAGGAGAGGTATTTGACTATCTAGTGGCTCATGGCAGAATGAAGGAGAAGGAGGCGAGAGCCAAGTTCAGACAGGTGAGTCATCAATACTGCTGCACTCGTACTTCCGTCATTCCATTACTGTTTTCAGGAGGAAGACTGCATGCACCAAGATTAAGCTTCGTCACTGACTGCAGAGGAAAGGTGGAGTGCAGATATCTTGGTCCTAGCAGCCAGCGTCCTTGCAGAAGCTGCTCTGACACCTAGTGGTATTACCAAGTCAACAAATTCCCGGCTAATCTTTTTAGCAGTGATATTTTCTATCAAGCTCACCTTTTCCCTAGAAAAATCTATAGATCTGGAATTTTCTATAAACCAGGCTTTTTTGTTTGTTTAAATCTCTCTTAGTCAGATGAGTCAGAGACACTGTGTGTGACACAGTGTGGGCAGTTTGTGTGTTTGTGTGTGAGGCACAGCACAAGCTGAAAATCCAGAAAGGTAATCGTGTTCACGAGTACGTGCAGGTGGGCGGCTTCTGTCAGAGAAAGGCATGTTTTTTGTTTTTTTGTCTTTTCGATCATTGCTATTCTTGCATATGTCAGGGATATTTCCTGACAGCTGTGTGAAAGCAACTGCTAACCGCTTTGGTACAAGATGCGTTCGATCTCATGAACCTTGAATTGTCAGTTCTGATAATTTTTCTCTAACTTGAATACTGGAATACAAAATGCTTTGCTTGCCATACTCTACATTTTTAGATGCCTGTAGTGAGCTGTGCTGTGTGTTGCTGTTTCAGATTGTGTCTGCAGTGCAGTATTGCCACCAGAGGAGGATAGTGCACAGGGACCTGAAGGTGAGGACACCCTCTGATCCGTCCCCTCACTTGTGTGGATGTGTTGGTGAACTCCCATCAGAACAATCCGTTGATCTGTCTCTCTTCTCGCCGCAGGCAGAGAACTTATTGTTAGACGCCGATATGAACATCAAGATAGCCGATTTTGGCTTTAGCAATGAGTTCACTGTGGGGAGCAAGCTGGACACTTTCTGTGGCTCCCCACCGTACGCCGCTCCTGAACTCTTCCAGGGAAAAAAGTATGATGGCCCTGAAGTAGACGTCTGGAGCCTTGGGGTTATCCTCTACACACTGGTCAGCGGATCACTGCCCTTCGATGGACAGAACCTAAAGGTGGGGGTTTGTTCTAGGAAGCTTAACTTTATGATCATGCTAAGAGGTGGAAAAATCCCAGGAAAAGTGGGTCAACCTTAAAACTGCTAACTCATCATAAGGTACACTGGGTTTTTTTTTTAAACTAAAGTGCTCCAGTGCTGGTTTTTGTGGCTAAATTAGAAACTTATCAAAAATATTTTTGATACTTTTCCATTAGTAGCAACTCGGCTTCTTGAATGATTACTCAACTCGGTTTAGGTCGGCAACCATATGCAGGCTGAACGTTGGTGGACCAGTGTTGGTACAAGTGTAGCCATTTACAACACTGATTATCACAGAAATAATGTGTTTAGTAATTTTTAATGCGTTTTAACCACCTAAAAAGTTGACACCTCAGCATTCATGTGGACTGGTGCAGATTTCTTTGGTCTTCATTCTGTGTCACATTAAACCACTTCCACCTGCATAGACACTTAAAAGCATCTTCAATTAAATTCTTAATTCTGATTTCATTCTGTTTAAAGGAATCCAAAAAGTGAATTGTAAACCGAACAATTCGATTTAAAGTTTACTTGTCTTGTGTAGTTTGCGATGACGCTGTGCAGAGAGGCATCGACCCTGCTTTAATAATGCAAACATTGTTGAATATTTGGTTTAGTAGATTTTTTTTTTTTTTTTTAATGGATGCCTTGTCAGAGCTGGGTTGAGTGTGTTATTAGTTGCACCAATCAATAATTTTAAAACAGCCATTGATCATGTAACTGCATGTAATGTGAAAGGGGCTGCTTTGAACATTCCCTTATGTCTAGATGAGCAGCAGAGCTAAAGGAGAATCAATATTTAGCCTAACGTCCATCTGAAATATGACTCCAGGTGAATCTTCATGCTGCTAAGCCAAACTAGCGCATGTGAAGCTTTAGACAGCATTCATGTGTTTACAACCTTCTTCTCTGCCTCCAAAGAGCTGAAAGAAATGAGTAACACTCCCCCATTGCTGATGGTTTTTGTGGCTTTTTTTCTCTGTGATGTGCAGGAGCTGAGGGAACGAGTGCTGCGAGGAAAGTACCGCATTCCTTTCTACATGTCCACAGACTGTGAAAACCTGCTGAAGAAGCTTCTTGTGCTCAACCCCGTCAAACGAGGCAGTTTGGAGGTACTGCCAACGTTTTGCATCTACGCTGCATTTTTACATCTGTACCGACTCTCAGAGTAAAACGCTTTGCACGGCAGCTGGTTTGATGTCAAGCAGTCAGTCTTAATGATTTACAGCGGGATGGCTGTGCTCTGCGTGGAAGCCCCTAATCACTGCTGTTGTTAATTATGGACAAAAGGCACACTTCAGTTTATGGCCTGTCAGATGAGGATTAGATTGGGAAACATTATTTGTGTGATCAAAGCCGGCTCTTGTCTGATTATTTGTTGGAAGCATTCAGAAGCGATCAAATCAAGGACTGCATTTATTGGTTGTCTTTTAGTTTGCGGTCTCTGCTTCCCGTACTCGGGCTGAAGTTTTTTTCCACCTATTTCACTCGGTTTGAAGCTTTCACTTCTCCCCACTGTGTGCGCAGTCAGCACGGCCCCTCCAGTCAGAACTGGACCGACTGCAGACAGTAAAGATGTCTTAACCAATAGCTGATCACGCTCTTGTAGTGTATTTTTCTTCTTACTGCTGTCAGTTACAGATGTGTTGCCATGTCATGTCCTATGATTACCAGAGGAGTTGTGAATGATCAGCCATTTGAATGCATGCTCCAATTTTTCTCGCCTCTTTGTAAGCAAATCATGAAAGACCACTGGATGAATGTGGGCCATGACGAGGATGAGCTCAAACCTTACATCGAGCCTGAGGCGGACTTCAGTGATACATCCAGAATAGGTGTGTCTCGGTTTGTGCGTTTTAAGGTGTGAGCAGATGCTATTATTTCGAACGCCAGCTGGTCAGATGTTAATTCTTGTTTTATTCCCCCTCACCCCTCCCCATCAGAGCTCATGGTGACGATGGGCTTCCCCAAAGATGAGATCAACGAGTCTTTACAAGGCCAGAAGTATGATGACGTCATGGCAACCTACCTGCTGCTTGGCCGCAAAGCTCCCGAGGTGAGTTTTACTTTGTTTTAAAACTTGTTTTACTTTTTGACCACATCACCACCTCCTCTTATCTGACCGCGCCCCCTCTGATTTTTTTTTGCAGTTTGAGGGCAGCGAGCCTCTGACCAACAGCATCCTGGCTCAGCGACAGCGGCCAACCAGCGACATCAACAACAGCTCCAGCATTTCTCCTGCCCATCCCAAGGTCACGCGCAGCATCTCGGCCAATCAGAAGCAGCGCCGCTACAGTGATCATGGTGGGGATGATGATGGTGGTGGTGGTGGTGGTGTCGTAGAGAAGCCAAGTAAAGTAACGTCGTCCTTCCCAGCTCTGAGAGTGCAGCTGGCTGCATGTTTTGTAGCGGGAAGTTGCTCATTGTCTCTGATGATTGGCTGCATGATCAGACGAGGTTTTTGCACGCTGATGGCCCTCTGGAAAAGAAAATATAACACTTCCAGCTTCTCCAGCTGGACAGAAATGACATTTTATTTTGGATTTAACAGCTGTGGTGCTTGCATAACTCGGCTAACTATTTCAGTCAGTTAAATGCAAATCAGTGACTCAGCCTGAACCCTGCATTGGTTGTGTGGCAGCTTCCTCCCATCTCATTTGAAGCCATCGTATGTGGCGCCATCTTCTGGCTGGCTGCTTTCCTGCAGCTCCCTCTGGATCAGCACCTCAAAGCATGAAGAGGAAACCCTAACGCTTCCTAGCTTCAGCTTCTGTATCTGTTCAAGTTATGAAACAAAGTGTTGCTCTCATGTTTGACACCTGACAGGTTGGATCATGTGTAAATCCTGGCTTTGAGTGGCTTTGCTTGGTGCTAGCGTTTCAAAGACACTTTCATAATCTGCTTTTTTTCCTTCTTTTTTCAAATGTATTCTTAGAAATACATTATACAAACTTTTGTTCCTATGTGTGCATCCATTTTAGTGGGTCCGTCTGTGCCGCCAGCGGTATCGTACTCAAAGCGGGGTCAGGCCCTGAGTGTGGAAAGCGACCACAGGGAGGAGTGGGACGGGGCACGTCGGCTAGAGCTCAGTACTTCGAAAGGAGATGTTCCCGCCTCACCGCTGGGGGTCCAAGAGAGGAAGAAAGTTCCGAGCGCTGTGGGGGTGAGGAAGCGGATTCAGAGAGTGGGACTGAAAGGTTCCAAGCTGTGTGAAATGACCCACAGCCCTGATTTCTTATTGACTTTTTTCAATGAATTGAAAAAGTGCCACCTGACTGAAATGACAAAGAAGTACTTAGTCAGAGCCACATTGCTTTTTCCTCATTGTTTATTTTACACACTCCTTTTTAAAGCGACTGTAACGCAGTATAAAATGTTATATTTTAATACTTAAGGATGTGATCACATGTTTTTCTTTGGTTTTTATATTGCAACTCTGTTACTACTGAACCGAAAAAGAGGCAGTTTGAAAATCACCCATTTTTCTCCCTTTATTTTCATCATTACAGGGACTGCTAGTGTAACTTCACGTAGTGTTTCTGTTATTTGAAGTTCATCGAGAGGTTTCAGTTTAAATTTTTACACTTGAATATATCATGGTTTTTTATGTCTCTCTCCACAAACAGACCAATGGCTCAATGACCCGCAGAAACACGTATGTGTGTGAGCGGTCATCAACTGACCGCTATCCAGCTATCCCCAACGGCAAAGACAGCAGGTAAATCTTCATCCTCACACTTTTCTGACTCCTGACACTCGGTTTAGCATGTTGGAATAGACAACACGAGCTGTGTTTGTTTATTTTCGCACCGTGTAAACATATTTCGGCGTGGCATTTGGCCCTTTTTCGGTAACGCTGCCTGCCCTCCACCCTTAGTTTAACTGAGGTGTCGGGGAGCACGCCATCGACTGCAGTGAGCTCGACGCGGCCGCGCCACACCAAGTCCATGTCATCGTCAGGGCATCCTTCAAAGAGCACACTGCCTCCCATCGATGACAACACCGAGCTTAAAGCCAGGTAAGCAGCGGGTTTCGACGTTTGCTCTGATCTCAGTGGGATATTTTTACTTAAAAGCGCACATACTGGGATGCTGGCCCTTTTGTGATGTAGCAGAAACCTCTGATGCTCCCGCTGATCATTTTTGGCTCTGTGTGCAGCTCCTCCCCGCGCGGCCCTTCCACCTCTCCCTCTGCACACAGTATTAGCACCCCAGAGAAGAACCGCTTCCCGCGGGGAACCACCAGCCGCAGCACGTTTCACGGAGCCCAGCTCAGAGACCGCCGCAGTGCTACTTACAACGGTCCTCCAGCCTCGCCCACGTTGTCGCACGACACGGGGGCTCTCGCACAACAGCGCAGGGGAACCTCTACAGGGATCATCAGCAAGATCACCTCAAAGTTTGTCCGCAGGTCAGAGAAGGCAAATGGCCGATTTGCTGGTTGTTTTCATACAGTTTCAAAGACTTAGTCGTGATGGCCTAAAAAGCTCTGTACAGGGCTACTTTCTGCTGACTGATGCTCCTCATCCAGTTAGCTCCTTTTTTCACCTTCAAACTGGCCCATCTGCTAGAAGCTCACAGCTTTCTCTCCTTTTCTCCCTGCATAGAGCAATGTCTTTCAGGTCAACCCGGAGGTAGGAGAACATAAGCTTGCTGCACCTGTCCCCTTTCTGTCCAAAAGAAAAAAACAAACAAAACTCTGTGCCCACTATGATCCCAGCCCATGTGTTCTTAATCCTTGCCCACCACACCACATCCTTGCCAACTGACACCCTTGTTATGCCATGTAATTCCTCCCCTTGTGTCCACTGCCTTTACAACCAAACCTCACGGCTCACCAGCTTGTTCTCTACTAAGCCACCAGATATCTGCTTCGCAAGTGGCAGGCTGTCCTCTCCTTACTTACCCCATCTTCGTGCTGAGCTTAAGTGACGAGATCAGGCAAACGATAAAAGCGGAATCAAACCTTTTAAAGCACCGTTCCACTCTTGACACATCAGTGGGGATTAAGGAAAGGTATGGTGCCAGATGGGATAGGATGTTCCTCAAACGTTCACCTCATTGTGTGCTGAGCTCTGACACCCGGGACTGTGGATTCTTTCCTGGCATGATGCCTGACACCCTCTGCTTTTTCCACTGATGACATGGGTGGTGTTGGTTGTGGGCGGGGGTTGTATTGGCTCGTGAAACGAAAACTGTCGCTGCTTCATTTCAGGGTGCCTAGCGAGGGAGAGGCCAGTGCGCGGACAGAAACACCCAGGTGAGAAATCGAAACTGATTTCATGGACACTCTGCGGCCATCTTCTGAGTCCTCTAACAACGCCGCTCTCTCCGTCCCTCTGCCCCCTTTGTTGATGCAGGAGCGCCTCTGGGGACCCCAAAGAGGATGGCGGCCGAGACTCCAAGCCCCGCTCGCTGCGCTTCACCTGGAGCATGAAGACCACCTCCTCCATGGAGCCTGCCGACATGATGAGAGAGATCAGGAAAGTCCTGGACGCCAACAGCTGCGACTACGAGCAGCGCGAGCGCTTCCTGCTCTTCTGCGTCCACGGCGACGCGCGCCAGGACAACCTGGTCCAGTGGGAGATGGAGGTGTGCAAGCTGCCCCGCCTCTCTCTCAACGGCGTGCGCTTCAAGAGGATATCGGGCACGTCCATCGCCTTCAAGAATATCGCCTGCAAAATTGCCAACGAGCTCAAACTGTGACGGCAGATGGAGGCCCAGTCGGTCTTTGGTGAGCTCTGGTTATAGTCTCATCTCATCACTGGATTAGTGTTGACGTACAGGACAAGATCAGCACTGAAGGTTCTCACCACGCAGAATCGGGCCGGACTTGGCCGGCAACGTCCAATTCTGGCCACGAATGTACTGTACGGCAGCGGATCTGAGAGATGCTGCAGAATTGAACCTGCCTGACGGGCAGATGGCAAAAACACCACGTCCTTTCTGATTTTTTTTTTTTTTGTTTCTTTTTTTCCTCCGGCCGTCCCCTTCTCTCCCATCAGTCTGCTGCTCCACGTCAGAGGATGCAGTCGTGTAAAACATGCAGTATGCAACTGAAGAAGCCCATCCTGCAATAAAGTTTTCAGTCTGTTTTTCTAATCGCCTACTTGGAAGTCTACTCTTTGCTGAATAACCATTAGAATTACTGTAAGCTAAAATAACCGCTTTTCCACCTGTGCTAAGGCAGTATATAGATCAGGCTGGAGCCCATACTAAAACTATGTAAAAAGAGAATTGTACTGTATGCATAACATCTGCAGGTACTGTATTGTATATTGAGTTTGAGTTCTGTACAGAATTTTCCTGTTAATACTGTCTTTTTTCATGGGATTGAGTTCTTTCCTAATATAATTGATGTCTCTTAGAGCATTTTTCTTTCTGTCCGTGAGGCTTTTTTATTTTTTTATTTCCCCAATTTTTTTTTTTGCAAGAGCCACTGTATGGAAAATAGTCTTTTCAGTTTTATTTAAAGAGCACTAAATTATTTTGTTGAATATGAAGGGATTTTTTTTCCCTTGCCTTTTTTTTTTTTTTTTTTTCTTTGGAAAAAAAAAAAAACACTAAGTTGCACCACATAGACTTGAGTAGTAACTTCAGTTGAAACTGAAAATGTGTTCACTTTATTTTCTCTCCGCAGCAGGAAGAGACGATTTGGAGATCTCCGCTGCAGTTGCACAAGTATTCCAGGGTGATGTGTATGGACATGAGAGTATGCACCTGTGTTCCTTTCATGCTAGTTTGGTGGTCCTCAGTTGCAAGAACACAGGGTTTAAATCGGTCTAACTTAGAAAGCCGCGGACTGGACGTTGATCCAAAGGACAGAGGATGCATGAGAAGTCGGTGGCTGTGGAGCCTTTCTATGGAGCCTGATTTAGTCCTGCTGCCAGTGTGATTGTGCAGGTACTTGTGTATATCCTTGCTTGTAATTTTTTCTTTTTTTTCTAATTCAGCGGATTTTATTGTATTTATTCCATTACGTTGTAATGTGCTGCTTTGTAGATTTGAGGCGTGCACTTTGTTGGAGAAAATAAAAGGATTTTATTTGTTTGTATTCATTCGATTTGATTTCCTAGTCGGCAAAACGTCCAGGTCTTTAAATAAATGCGCGCCAATGTGTCCTATTGATCCATGGAAGCAATGCCATGCTACACAGCAGGGAGCTCAGACGAAATATTAACCTTTATTGACTCAAAATAACATGACATTAGTCCTACTCATGACACAAGTGTATTTTGCATACATGTTAGTTAAAGATTATGAACAATATCCTCTTTTTTTTTTTATCTTGGTACCTTCAAAGTGCCGAAAATAGTCCCAGTTAGGAAAAACTGTTAAATACTTTAAACATTATATAAACTAATAATGATAAAAATGTAAGTTGCAAGGATATACAGGTATAATCTCACAATATCTCATGATATTTTCCTAAATGTTAAGCATAACTTTCTGTCATCCTTGAACAAATATGAATCTGACTGCCATGGTCCCTCTTAAAACTTACAAAATCTTAATTTACAAATCTTGTAGCATACAAATGGAAAGAGAAAAATGTAAACATTTCGTTTTGGCAGATTGGTTCAGCTAAACATGTTAACAGGTTAAAAACTACAACTTTATTTTTGTAGATAAATATATGAGATTAAAAACGTATAAACATTATGCCAGATGACGAAAGAAAAAATAAAAGTTAACACTTCTGTCAGAGGTAATGGTTAACTGACAGCCTGTGTGGGGGTCTTCATGCATAAATGACTTGAATGAAAACTTAAAACGCACGCATCTCGGACATATTTGCTCAAGATGCATGCTTGTGTCTTGAAAGTTATCATGCATGACTTCAGTAGTTTTCAAAAACAAGGAATAATGCCTGCTGTTCTCGAAATGGGATCGACACTGAGTGTTGTAGCACTAAACGTGCTGGAATGGCCTTCAGTTACCCAAATCACGAAAATAACTATCCAATTGCCCAAAATAAAGAAAGAAAAAAGAAAAATGCTCCTTCAGTTGCTCAGATCAATGACCTTGTGCTCGTAGATCTGAGTTTTCCCTTTAAAACTGGAAGCCAGCAGGAACTGACGGTTGTCTATGGAGACCGGAGAAAAGGCTCTCGGCGCATGGATGTTCAGCTCTTGGAAATGAACAAACTCACCCTTCTTGGCGTCCCAGCGGTACACCTGAGTGAAAGAGTAGTCGTTGCCCAGGACGGCGTACTGCCAGCTGCCCACGGCGAAGGGCTGGAACACCATGGAGCCTCGGGAGGGCACGCTCTGCAGCTCTCTGAAGAGGGCCCCGTCCCAGCGCATCACCTTGGAGTCCCCGATGAAGCGCGTTAGGCAGATGAAAAGCTCCGACTTGACCTGGAAATGCTTCACGGCGTAAACGTCTTCCATCTCCGGGATGTCGGTGCGTCTGTCGAACTCCTTTGTGGACTTGTTCCACTGGTAAATGACGGGCCTCTGCGAGCTGCTGGACAGGATCAGGTGAGGTTTGGAGGAGATCTCCAGGAACTCCACGTCGGTGTCGCGATACCAGGGGTGGAGGGACTGATGGGAGTAGAAGCCGTTACCGTTCCACTTGTAGATGGTGGTGGAGCCGGCCTTGGAGCTGTCCGCGATGACGAAGAAGTACTCCCCGTCGATGCGGAACGTCTCGATATCGTTGGGTTTACGAATTCTCAGGATGTCGATGCCTTGCAGCTTGATGAACTTGTTGGCTGAGATGTCCCGCTTGTAGATGTGGGAGCCTCCAAACAGCTGAGCCACCACGACAAAGAGCTGGCCGTCGATGATCAGAGGTTTGCAGATCACCGTGGATGTGCCTGGGGAGGGGCGGGGTGGTCAGAAAACATGTCTACCATCTGGTGTCCTCCGCACCAAACTCACATCTCCTTTAAAACAAACGCAATCCATTCAGAACATGAAACCTGCTTACTGTCGATGTCGTCATAGTTTCTGAAGACCATCTCCACGTGATCCCACTCCAGAAAGCTGCACTTCCCAATGAAGGGCTGGGCAAACACCACGTACTGGTCGTTCCCAAAGGAAAAAGCCTCCACCGATATAGATTCAAACTTCAGGGACTGGTATGAGGCGAATTCTGCGGGAGAAACCAAAAAGAGCACACTCAAAACAGCTCGCTGAGCGCGAGCAAAGCGCTGGAGTCCCGGCTGGGTTCGGTACCGCACCCGTGGTGATGCAGTCGAAGGACTGCGGCGCCAGGTCGTTGACCTTTTTGTCCACCTGCGAGGCCGGGCCTTTGCAGTAGATCTGATCCACCGTGGCGTTGGTGTTGTAGATCCACTCCACCAACCATTTCAGCTTACAGTCACAGGTGAACTGGTTCCCACGCAGGTCTCTGCGGGGAGGACAAGCACCACGCTCAAAGAGCCGACGGGAATCAGTGAGTTTAACTCTTAAATGTCGCAGCGAGGGAGGTGAGACTGTCCTTTCTGGCCGAAGAGGAACCACAAAAGAGGTTCTGAACATCTTCACCCGAAAACAAATTGCCAACCGTCTCCCTCTCTCACCACCGTATGTAATTTTAATGGGGTTAAAAGCACCAGCAGCCTATGCATTTGTCAAGCCTTGGCTGAAATCAAATAAATGATACACTGCTCTATATTTAGAAGGCGCTACAGAAAGCTCGTTAATCACCAGACTGGAGAAGAAATGACCAGTAATGTGCTGTAAATCCAATGTGATGACTTGCTTGTGTTTGAGTGTACTCACACTTTTGTCAAGGCCTCCAGACCCTTGAACAAATCTTTGGGCAGAGTCTCCAGATTGTTGTAAGCAAGACTCCTGATGAAGAGAAGAAAGGGTTTTGCTTAATGTTCAAATTTCATTAACAACTGTGTGTTTACACCTCGTTTCCTGAAACCACTCCATTCTAACGCAGTTACGCGGCCTCGCGTTTCACTTAGAGCGATACCTGCCGGGGAGAGTGCGCGCAGACTGCCATGCTGAAAGTAAAAGCGGGAACATTGCTTATTGAGTTTGAGGAAACATTAAGCAATATTTAGATCTGCCTTCTCAGCCACTTTATGGCTAGACCTCCCTGTTAAAAAGTCAGTCATGTTTATAGCCTTAAGTATTTGGCCATGCTAAAATATTTTTCTTTGATTGAAACAAATCAAGTTTAATAGGTAAAACAAGACATTTTCCTGACTGTGTGTAATCTGTAAGGATAATCCTTGTTCTTTGAAACAGGACTTTGACAGTAGCAAGACATGTTTTGTAATCATGTAATCATATAAAAAGCCGCACAGGTTTAGGAGAAATGTGGCGTTTCTTTCTTGCATTTGTATCTGAAGAAAGATTAGACCCTGAAGCAACTGAAAGAACTTCTTGATGAATAATGTTTCTTGCTTTTGCACAGTAAGCGACATGTTTGTACTCACAGATGCACTAAGGTTTTCAGTCCACGGAAAGCGTACGGGGACATGGACTTGATTTGGTTGTTTTCGATGAATCTGGAAAAATGGAACGAAAGCACGCATAAGAAAGGAGAATTTCTTGTTTATCAGGAAAAGCTGCGGGATATTGTACCATTAACTCACAGATATTCTATATGAGGAAGACCAAGGAAAGCGTCCTCGTTTATGGACTCCAGGTTGTTGGCTGTGAAGAGGCTGTGCAGAGAGATCCTCAGGTTAATGTCTCACAACAGTAAAGTCTTAATGCTAAACCTGTCGTGTTTGCTTTCAGGGACGTTGACGCTCAGTCGGTACACATAAGGCAGTGGGACACAGATTCCTTTCTCAAAAGCATTTAAAGTCCTGGAATACATCTATCTCTGAGGCCAGGTCTGATTCACACATTGGCGCAGATAAATGTAAGGCAAGACTTGGATGAATGCCCAACTCTGTGATCCAGCTTCCCATAAAACATTTAAAAAATCAACTAAAGATTCATTATGTCATAGCTTCCGAATCTCTAACTTTTCCACGGCATTATATATGCTGCCATGAGTGAAACAGTAAAATGCCTTGAACATTAAACATGGCGTTGATCAGCTCAGTGGGGAGTGAGAACATGCAATAAAAAGACGAGGGAACAAAAAGCTCCGGAGAGGTTTCTCACAGGAGATGCAGGGCTGGCGTGTGGATGAAGCTCTCCTTTGGGATTTCGGTGAATTCCGACTTGACGAATGATCTGAAAGGGGGAAAAACACACACAACACACACACACACACACTGTTCAGAAAGCAGTTCTTGCAGTCTGTTCCTGAGACGTGTATCACTGTGTTACTATGCGGAGGCAGCCAACAAATACAAGTCTTAACCAGCACACAGAACCCAGCGCGGCGTGTTCTCTCTACATACCTGCAAATGAAGTCACTGTTTTGTTTTTTGTTTTTTGTTTTTTTAAAAACAACTCCAACATAAATTTGACTTACAGTGATATGATATCGGGGGGGAAGCTGCGCGGGATGGACCCTGCGCTCTCGCACAGCGCGTTGTCTTTGGTGCATGTGCACGATAAGGGGCAGCGAGGCTGCCTGGCTCTCCTGCTGTCCGCCGAGAGGAGAAGCGACGCCAGCACCAGCAGCAGAACGCACAGCCAGGGGGGCGCGGGCGTTATCCTGCGCGCGGTTCCCATCCCTGCGAACCGCTGCGGGGCGCGTCCCAAGGCCCTGCGCACGAACCGGGGTCGCTGGGGGTTTTTTCTTTTGGGGTTCCCCCGGGGGCCACGCGAAGTCCGCTCCCGGCAATTGTATCTCCAACCGAGAGTTGCGCGCACCGACGCCGCTCCCGGCAATCGCACGTCCCCCCACGGCCGCTGCAGTCAGCCGGGCACAGAACGAGAACCAAAAAAAAAAAAAAGAGGAAGATCTCTATCCTCTGTGAGGAGGACAGTCGAAAAGGGGCCGGTGGTCTGCTGCGTTGCGTGGCGCACGGGAAGACGCCAGCTGGCGGTGTGACAAACGCGGCGTGGTGGAGGCAGGTGGGGATCCCAGCGGGAGCAGACGGAGCATCTCCATCCAAAAAAAAAAAACAAAAAAAAAACACAAAAACAAAAAACCACGCCTCTAGTTTCAGACAACTCGCCGCGCTCCGCGCTAAGCTCCGGGAGGATTCAGCCCAACAGGGCCAGCGAAATTGTGCAATTTTTTTCTGTGAATCAGCAGGAGAAGAAGAAAAAAAAAATGAAAAAAATGAAGCCCTGACATGAGCCAGCGAATGGCTCCCCGGTGGCGCAGACGCACACGAGCCGTCTATGCGGGGAAAGCGGGAGGAAACCGACTTTATTTTTTAATTCCGGGGTCTGGAGACTGGTCATGAATGCGGTTTTTGTCTCATTACGGCACGTTTGGTGCAAATATTACACGATACACGCACATTTGAGTGGGTTTCCTGGTTTGTCTGCGGTTGCCATGGTGACTCCTGGATGCACCACGTTTGGGACCGTCATGCTGGGGTGTGGGGAACCCCCCCCCCCCCTCCCAATCCATGTCATCCAGACATCTGCTCGCTTTTTAGTGTAACGGGGCCCATCCTCCTCCCCACTTTGACTCCCACACAAAGCACAGGTCGCCCTCCTTACTCTGCTCTTTTTTTTTTATTTTATTTTTTTTATATAAACCCACCACCTCCTTGCTTCCTTGCTGTGGAACATTTACCCCTCACACTTTTACTGCGGTGCTCTTCACTTCAGTGCCAGACATGTGTGCACCAGAGTCCTCTGGGAGCCCTATATGGCATTCTTCTTCTTCCTCCTGTGATTCCAAACAAAGACGCTGTTCCCCTGTCCCACTGCCCCTGATTTGATTACGCCTTTTTGATTTCACTTTACCATGATAAACCAGTTTACCCAGATCATTTCATTTCACTAATAGGAATTAGATCAGGGCATTCCGAGGGGGATCATGCTCCGGGAGACTCTGCGGTATGCTGGTGTATAAGTCAGAGGGAAGGCCCAAAGAATGAAACTAATTCTTTTGAGGGAAAACATGGTTATAAATTAGAGAGGCTGAAAAGGTCCCAGAGCAACAAAAGTATTTTCTCACAAGCATTTGTTCGACAAAATGCAGAACACTGTATATTATTGTCATGCTGATAGATGATGGGTAGTGCTTGTGGTCCATGAATGTCACTATTCATCACCAGAATAGAACACAGAGTGTCCAGTAAGTGCGCAGCCACAGGGAGCTTTCTGTCTCTCCTTTTAAATGGAATTTTGTGATTAGTTTCCTGTAGCCAACGTATGAATATTTAAAGATGAGACATTAATATGGTTCTTCATGTCGAAATTAATGAAACCAAAAGATTTCCGCGTGCTGTAATTGAATTTTTGATGCTGCACAATGATCTATTCTGACGTATCACCTATTGAGTTTTCTCCCTCTGAAGAGGTAAGTTTCACTCCATGAACAAAGTATGAAAAGACACAGAAGAGGAAATCACCTCTCTCTGTTCAGTTAAGCTACAACTCCACATTAGAGTTCTGATCTGGGACAGAAAAGTGCTGAGCTGGAATAATCATCCAATCTGATTGATAATAATATTTCGTTGGATGAGTGAAAGCTGGTTTTCAAGCAGAACAACTGACTAACTTCTTCTAGTTTACAATAAGTAGGTGCACAAATCTTGTCAAGCCCAGTGAGGGAATCCCAGAGTTGATCTCTAAAAGGAGTACGGCAGTCCTTCTATGAAAACAACTTAGAAATTGGCATAAAGGGATCCCTGTGAAATCCCATTGAATGTAACAGTGTCTTAGTTATGACAGCTCGATATGCTCAGAACTCTAAGAATTCCTGAATTCACTGAAAACTTGTCAGATATTGTATGGCAGCCTTGTTGAACTATGAGTATCAGGATGGATTTCTTTCTAAGGTCCAGTTATCACAAAAGCTATTCTTACCCAGGGCATGTTATAACTCAAAACATTATATAATGGCAATTACGATACAAAGACAATAAAGATTAGAAACCCAAACAAAACTTCAGTGATATATTGAACATCAATTTTGGTTTGGAAAACAAAATCTTCGGTATTTGTCCTCACTGCGTTTTAATCAATAAAGTCTCTTAAAAGCAAAAAAATCAATGGGTACTTTTGACAGGTCTTAACAATGTGCTTTGGATCATTGTCAGGCTGGAAAATGTCTTTTCTGCCAAAGTTTGGGAAACAGGAACTTGTCTTTTCAGCCAGTATTTTGTGGAATTCACAAGCAATCATTTTGGCATCTACAAAAGAAACTCCACAGTCTTTTTTTTCTCTCTTGTTACTTAATCTTGTTCACTGTTTTAGTTTTCACAGTGTTTGTTCTGCACACCCTGAACCCCATCCAAACCCCCCCATTCATCAGAGGACTTCTGTAGCAGAGCTGAACTCCCTTATGGATGCAGTTTGGCTTGCATTTTAGATTTCTTAGCTATGTCAGAGCCAAGAAATATAATAACTGGACATTATCTGTGAACATGCCTGACTTTTCTGATGTGTTCTCCATAGTCTTGATTGCTCTGTAAAGTTTTCTCTTCCCATATAAAATCTTTGTTATATGTTCCAGATGCATCATGCAATCCTTCAGCTGACCAACAAAAACAAAACAACAAAAAACACTCTTTTCCTCTGTGTGTGTTCATGGCCTGTTAACTGCACTTTGGCAAACGCTGGGGTTCAATGGCTGATGCTGAATCAGCAGAGGTCATATTATGATTTAACCAATGCAACAAAGTGGATGCGCCATTCTTCAGTTTTGAGTTAGCTATTCTCTTATTTCTAAATAGCATCATAATATTTATTATAATAATAAGACCTACAACCAGAAAGAAACAAGACATACTCAGAAATGTTTCAGCAAACTGGCAAATGAACTCTGGAAACCACTCAACAACTAAATCTTAAATCAACCTTATTGCCCTAATCAAATTTTTTATTTATTCTATTATGGTAGAAATATATATTACTTTTTATATTATAAAATGTCATATTGCAATTAAAAGGAATGGAATTGAATGGCTGGAACATTTATTCTCAACACACAGAGTAGCTGGCAAATATCAAGCAGGAATAAACACACACCATCAGCCCTGAGCTGCCCCGCTGCGTTCAGGTTGATTTGGGACAAGATAACATATTTCGTACATGTACTTTTCTTTTTAAAGTAACCTCAACCCCACTAAAAACTGAAAAACTCTCATGAGATCACAAAAGTAAATGTGTTTGTGGAAATGACCAGTAGAAGATGAGTTTATGTTCATTAGTCCATGTGTGCATTTAATGACTGAATCTTTAGCACATGGGGGGGGTCCAAATAAAACTCAGTGAACTGAAGTAAACAATCGAAACAACTCAACACAACAGTTTCTTTTTTTAACTTGAACTGCTCTAGAACTTTGGGGACAAAAACAATCCTTTTGAAGGCGTGGAGCCGGGGGGGGGGTTTCCAGGGCGCTGGGGTCAGTCCTGACAGCTCTCCAGGTGGTGCAGCAGCTCTCGGTAATGACTGGTGGGGTACTCGGCCTGGCAGCTGGGACACTCCAGGAGGCTTTCATTCAGCCCGCTGCTGCGAGCGGAGGAGGCCGCTGGAGAGGAGCAGGACGCTTGCTCCTCGTCATGTGAGTACTGGTCCTGCTGGTTTCTCTAATATAGGAAGCATTTTCCAACAGTTAGAAATACGACCATGGTTGAACAAGTTCTCCACACATGACTTAAAGCTGCACCAGCTTAAAATGTAAATTCTACAATAGTTCTTGTTGACCTGGAGATATAATAAAAGGACTAAATAAATTACTTTGGTTTTCAAATATGGCACTTTGCAAACTTCAGATTAAAGTAGCAATAACATCTGAATGTAGCATTACATTTCATCAGGGATATAAGGATCTTGTTGTTTGGTCTATTCGTGCCAACCTTTGAATGTTTTGATGCGTGGCCTTTTGTTTTTGGCAGCATCTTCAGAACTCTGACCATTTGCTTCTTTAAATATGAACAGTTCTGCTTCTCATCCTCAAGATCCTGTGAAGAAATCTTCATCTAGAATGAAAAACAGTTGCCACAGCAATGAAAGCTGAATAGAATGCAGCAGACTGTGCCATAGGAACGTCTGAGGGCAGAATGAAACACACACACAGTCTATCCTTTGCAGACACACGAAGCTGCACTATCACTGAGAGGGGACGGTTTAGAAAAAGTCCCCAAACTAAGAGGATCAAAGATCCAAAGTGGGGGTGCCTGTCATACCTGTCTTGTCAGCTCTGCAATCGTTTCTTGATCTGCATGGTGACGATTGAGCATATATCTCTGAAAGATACTTGCCTGAGAGAAAGAGTTGTTTGTTGTGTTTTTTCTTTCATTAGTATGATGGTTATCATTTATGTTTAAAGACAGTTTGATAAAGATGCACCTGCAGCTCAAAGTTGGCAGACCGCCGCTTCTCCTCGTTCAGCCTGACCTCCAGATCTTTGTTCTCATCCTCTGGTGCTTGCTCCTCTTCCTCTGAGTAATGAGGCTCTCCTTGTGCACTTTCTCTGCTCATATTAGAAGTTTGCAGCAGCTGCCTGAGCTGCTCCACCTCCTTCTCTCTTTCCGTGCACCTACACATCAACTTGTCATATAGTTTCACATTATCAGCGGTTTGCTTACTCTTTTTGCAGTGGACATACCAGCTTTCGGTCATTTTCAGGCTTTGACAGGTGTCTTCCAACTGCTTCCTAAGCTCCTCCTGCTCCTCTTTGGCTTTCTGCAGGAGGCTTTCATAGTGCTCCTGCATCTGGCTCTGTTGTTCCTCTTAAAGAGATGTACGAGTTGAAAATGAAGCGTATAACAGAGGAAAACATTATATATTCACTTGCACATTCAAATGTGGTAAATATAGCCTAACGTCATGCTAACTGATCGCTAGCAGCAGGTGCAACTCCCTATCAGACAAACCATAAAGTTCATCGTTCTGTGGTAAAAAAAAAAACGACTATAGACAAGTTGACCCCAAGGTAAAGAACCAAAGAGCGACACCTCAGGCTCTCCAGGCCTCGTAGCACGTTTAAGTGGATGGCAGTCCAACGAAAAAAAAGGCCAGCATTACAAAGGTTCGCCCCCCCACAAAGGCAGACCATGCAGCTCAGTTTAGTTTTGCAAAGCAGCATCTGAACAAACCACTGCTGGAGCAATGTTCTTTGAGCAGAACAGACCACAGTGGAAATGTTTGGTGGGTTTGAGGAAAACCAAACAGCCTGTCGGCACAAACACGTCATACCAAGTGTTGACCACATTAGTTTAAGGGACGATGGTTTGAGGTTGTTCTGCATCCACAGGCCCGGGGCATCTTGGAGGCATTGAGAAAATCCTCAGTGTACTAAAGTATGTCTTACTCAAATGTGAGGCCATCTGTTTCACAGCTAAAACTGGGCTGAAACTGGGTTATACAACAGGACAATGAGCCCAAGCAAAGCGGCAAGTCTAGAACAGAAAGCTGGAAAAAGAAAAGGATCCAGGTGTTGTTGTGGTTCAAAGTCTAATACCTGACCTAACTGAAAAGCTGTGTTGAGACCATAAGACAGCTGTATTCAAGCAACTGCCAAATGGATATGGAGGGGGTATGGAAAAATCAATGGATGTTCTGATGTGGAACTTCTTAGAGTACAGAATGAAGATCTCTTATTTTTCTCTTACATCCAAAATATTGGACATGGTTGAAATATTTGTCTCAAGAGGTGACTATGGGACACTTAAAAAACCTTTTTGTGACAGTCTGTTGCCCCTTATTGCCCCAGTGGTGAGTGTCAGCTGCCCACTGTCCCTCTGGCTCACCATCTGAATGGTTGTCATTGTGTTGCTGGGAACGGGCCTGATCGGCTTCTCTCAGCTGCTTCTCCAGCTCTGAAATTCTGGCCACAACCGCCCTTACGTAGGCCTCTCTCTGCTGGTCATATTCCAGCCACTGCTTATTCTTGTCCAAGGCCTTTAAGGATTGAAGAAATGAATGGGAAGCAAATGACAGGGAAAGACAGAAAGAGAGTGGCGCCAGAGAAATGACTGCAAAGTGAAAACACTCAGCAAGACGTGGACTCCACTCAGCTGCACATCTTTACAAAGAAATGAATTCACAAGCAAAAAATGCAAACTCGCGTAAAAAAAACACACAAAACACTTGCATCTGTGAGCTGAGACTGAAGGTCTGAGACTGCTCCATCACTGGTGGACCCCTGTTCTGTCTGTTTTTCACAGACCTTTGAGATAAAAACAATAACATTAGTGTACCACACATCTAAAGAAAAATAAATCATTCATATGACATTTTGTACATATTAAGCTGCAATGACCGAAGACCCCAAAGGGAGGCAGCAGGCTGTTTAGTGACCCCTGAGACGCTCTTCATTTGGAAGTCTATAAATCTCCTGGTTTGTTGCCAGTTCATTTGAATGAAAGAGAATACTCTGACTCAACAACAACTGCTGCCATCTAGTGGCCTAGATGGATGGAGGGTCATTTTTTACATTATATTCCCCTGCTGACTGGCGGAGTGTCCAGGGTGTACCCCGCCTCTCGGCCATTGATCACTGGGATAGGCTCCAGTTCTCCCCCGCGACCCCATTAGGGAATAAGCTGTAACGATACTGGATGGATGGATATACCCTGCTATAGCTGCTTCCCTGTGATATTTCTCTCCAGAAACCGACACCTAGCTGAGATGGCCAACAGCCTGTTCTCAGCTGGACGTAACTGGATGTGTTCTGCTCTCTTCTCATACTCACTCCTTTCGATGAGTTTCCTTCTTTTGGGCACACCGCCTCATTCGACAAAGTAGCTTTCTCATCTCTTGCTGCCGGCTGATGACTGCCCTCAAGCCTAATGGTTTCAAGGGAGAGGAATCTCTGCAAGCAAACGCAGCACATCGAAGTACATTAATTAAATAAAGCTGAGGTAAAATACGACATTGAGAGGAGAAGAAGTTTCAACGGAATTAAGTCAAATTTAAGAACTGTAAATCCCTTGCTACTGAAGTCTGGGTTACCTCAACAAGCTTGTTATGCTCTGCGTGATGACGGGACAGCTCCGCCAGAGTCTTCTTCAAATAGGAATTCTCCTTCCTGAGATTGATAAGAGTCCCACTGAGCTCTGAGTTGAGCTTTTTCTTCAGTGTAGGCTTACATTTGGAGGCTGCCATCTCTGCCACCTGCAAACAAAACGTACAGATAACAGAAATTTCTAAATGCTGGCTCCATATGATTAAATGCACAACTTTAAACATAAACATTCTGAACCACAATCAGTTCCAGCCTTGACATTACTGAGACTGTACAGTTGGATTTAAGGCTGGTTTTGTGAGGTTAGAAGAACAAAGCCCTCTCTAGCATTTGCAACAATGCAGTATAATTACAAAGTGAACAAGAAGTGAATAAGAAGTGTACAAGTGTAGAGCACGTTTGTAAAATGTAATTATTCACACTTCATCGTTGGCCATATGTCCTCCTCTGAAGATGGACCAAAACTGGGGCAACGCAGCTCTAAACGAGACAAAGTCAAAGATATGAACCTAAAACTTTTGGCCAGCTGCTCCTGTTTTTCCGGAAAATAAAATGAATATTGGTTCACATGCTGAGAAATGGCCAAAATATCTCAAATGCTTCGTTTTACTAACCTGGACAGCTAATTACTTTTAAACTTTAAGCATTTAATGCCCTCTTTACGTATTAGCTTACATCAGCTAGCTAAATTAGCCAACGTTAGCACTAATATAACACTGACAAAGACATTGTCTAATATCGTATGTAGCTTTTATTTGATAAACATATTCTTTGACAAATGTACTTTTTTTGGGTGTTAGTCAATGGGTTGGTAAGTCAACCAATATTTTATTAAGAAAAAAAAATGTAACAAAGCACTAAGTTAATGCTAAACATGTTTCTATTTCTTATTGCTGGACAATGCCCATGCGTACTTAGCTAAGATTTTGTTTCTTAAAAAAAAGTTAAGTTACTTAATTTTCAAACATAAATTTACCTAAAGATGGCGTTGGTCCTCAAACTATTTCTTCTTTGCTGCTTCTTCTCATCTCTGGACTTAAAAACTCAACACAAAAGAGTCCAGAGAAAAATAAGTATTTTAAAAATACCTCGGCTAGATTTACGCATGGACGCTTTCATGAACGATATTAATATTCATGAACTGTAATTTTAAGAATTGTGGAACAACTTGATAAAACAGTAAAGGCGGCAGGGCTCGCTTCACCACTGGGGGGCGCTGCTGCACACGGAAAAAAAGTTGTTTCGAGCATGATTCCATCCCACTGTTGCATGCTCAAGCAATATGAAGTTTTTAAATGAGTCATTTAAAAGTGTACAGGGTGGCTGCCATTCTCAGGTCATTTTCAGTTCCTTTTTTGGTTGGCTACCCTCAAACTGGGTGTCTGTTGTGACTCACACGTGAGGCTGTCCTCCCTTATCCGCTCGTTTCCTCCACAATTCTCAGTTTCCTCTGAGGCTTTCCGTCCCTGCGGACTGTGGGATATGTCTGAATAAATTAGGATTTTTCGTCAAAATGTTGCGGGTTGTTGTCGAGTCCGCTTGTGGAATACCCAAAAAGAGACTGGGAAATCCAGATCCAATTACTGGCGTTGCTTTCCGAGGTGAGCATTAATTCTGACTGTTATTTTCTTCTTCGGTAGACTGAATAACAGCTGTGATTGAGTGATGCTGAGGTACACTTATTATTATTATTATTATTATTATTATTATTATTTATTTTTTTAATGGATGTAATCTCTGTCATCCTTTTGTAGGCAGTTACTCTAAGAAAAATATAGGTTAAGTTTTGGGTATGATTAACAGAATAATGTTGTCCTTTTAAGGTCAGGGTGCTGCTATAGGGGAGATCTTTTGCCAGGAAGTTTGCTCTTAGTTTTATTTGTGGACATAAGATGTGGGGACTTCTGATGTGCTGTGTGAAATGATACCGTTATGTGGATTACGTTGGAAGATTTGTCCAACGTTTATAGATAGCCCACAAAAAAGAAATATGCACAACACAAACAGACATACGTCAACAACAAAGAGAAAAAGAAAAGCCAGTCAGAAGATAATAATGTCCAGCCAGAACAGAAAAAGAGAAAGAAAATAATAGATGGGATTTTTTTCACTCCCTTTGCAGGTGAAAAGAAGAAAACCAAAGTAATTGACAATGAATTAAATCCAGTTTGGAATGAAGTAAGTAATAACATGTGCTTATTTATTTCTGTAAAATCATTGCTTATATGGCAACTGTGTTATGCTGCTGACTGCTTCTAATTTCATCATTACAGATCCTTGAATTTGATCTGAAAGGCTCACCTTTGGATGCATCTTCTTTCATTGATGTGGTTGTAAAAGACTACGAAACCATTGGGAAGGATAAGTATGTTTAAGAAAAAAATCTGTCAGAATCTGTAATGACTGTGTTGCTTAGCAGCATAACACCATTGATAGAAATGACATCATCTTAGTTTTCCAAACTTGTGTTCAGTGAGTGAAGACATGACCATCATGTGTGTTATGATGTTCCAGTGTGACAAATGATTGATCATTTTTATTCAAGGGGGTGCTCACTGAGTCAACAACTTCCCTATGAGACAGAAAAAACACCCCAAAACACATTGCATGACAGGCAAAGGCGAAACTTTATCCAATCTGAAATATTTACCTTCTGAAACGAAACATCATTAACTGTTTCTGTTTGTGGTTACATTCAAAACTACAATTATGCACCCTGCTCTTCACCTATTGTTATTGTTTAGAAATCATGAACAAGATTTTTTTATGATGAAATTTTTCTGGGGTCTATATCTAAAGCAATCACTGCAACCATGTTAAGACTTGCCGTGTTCGAAGAGAAGGTGCTTTGTCCTCATCATAAGCAGCACTACAGCTGTTTCAGGAATGCTGCCTTATAAGGAAACAGCAGCTCCTCTTGATTTATTTCTTAATTTGGTTTTTGCCATCCCTATCTCATATTCAAACAACCATAAATTGTGTTATTTATTGTTTTGCTTAATTATCTGCATTTCTATTTGGGAGAAACATGAGCTTTTGGTCCTTTTTGACGTTTTAAAGAGAAGGCAAGAGGGTTGACCCAGCAATAACATTTTCAGTGAGTCACCACCACTAGAGCCTTTTTGTTAACAATACAAATTATTCCTGGGCTGGTACGAGGGGTGGGGGCGGGGGAGGCAGAGGCCTGTCCGCCTCAGCCACGCATGCAGTTAAAAAAGATTTTCCATCATCACTTTATGAGACTGCACGAGAGAAGTGAATAAGAAGACTTGTGCTGGCTTGTCGTTGGCCCATCTGGAATGAATGAAACACAGCCAGTAATGAGAGTGTGACTCTGGGAACAGTTTTTTTGTTAGTGCAGACTGAACTGAGCCAGCTCTCACCAATATCAAAAAATCAGGATAGTCATGAGAAGGCATGCGACTCTAAAAGCTTGTGAGGGTTTTTTTTCCAACAGTGCAATCAAGATCCTGCCTCTTACCTGGCAGCACTGACTAACGAGTTCTTAAAAGAAACTTCAATATCTTTGTAGATCTGTTTAACATGGCATGTTAAAAGGGAAAATGTAGAAGAAGAAAAAAAAATCACACATAAGCCATCCATGAACACGAGGCTCTATACCTGTCAGAGTGGTACATTTAAAATGTTTCTGCTTATTTGTTTTCACAGTTCTCTTTCCCTAAGAAAGAAATATAGAAAACTACTTCTTAAACTCACACTGCTGTCGCCATAACTGGTAGAAAGCAGTGGTAGGATATGTGATCTCATAGCTGCTGTCTTTGGATTCAAATTACACAGGATTTATTTTTTTCGGGAAGGTTTTCTGAAAAAACAGTTGTGTGGCAACAATGGATTGTGATCATTAATCACAGTTTGGGGCTTCTGCTTACAGTGTGGGTGTTAGTTATTCTAAATGTGAACAAGGGAAAGAGGGAAGTTATGAAAGCCAAGCTGAGGTTAATGCAGTGGAGGCAAAGCATTCAGGCTTTTGATTCTGTTAAAGCAACAACAGTTATTTCTTTATTTCATTTTTGACTTTGACTGTGATGTTTGCTAAGCGTTAATTGAATGTCATTACTCTGCAGGTTTATTGGCTCTGCAAAAATCTCATTAAGGGACCTGGCCAGTGGCCAAGTGAAGTCCCTCCCTTCTAAAAACGTGCCTTTGATCAATGAGAAACAGCAGGCTGTTGGGGTAACAACATTTGTTTCACACCATAATTCCACATATGTTTACGTACTTTAATTTTATCGAATTTTTTAGATCGGATCCGCATTTGTCCATAGCAACGATTACCTTGGTTACAATATGTTGCTCTACGTTCATTATTCACATATGCAGTAGATCCAGTGTTACATGCATGTTCATTTTGTTTTTTTTTTGTCAGGCAACTATTAATTTGCTCATCGGATATGAACCACCTGCCAACAATGCTTCAAATCCAAATGATCAAACAAATGATGATATGTCCCATGTTGATGGTGGTAAGAAAACTACAGTTAATTTATTAGCTTAATTATGAAAAAAAACTTTTTGAATCAAATGTTTTCCTTTTCAATTTATGAAAAATGTAACTTACAGGTATGTCATGATATGTTACAAGTGTCAGCCATGTTGACTGTAGTTTAGAGTTAGGTTTTCTGTGATGTATGTGCTTAGTGATTATTTTCCATTTAATACACAGGCGGCAGTGAGGAGGATGACGAAAGAGAGGGCGACATTGAGAGAGGAGGCAATGTTGGCAGTGCAGGAGTTCCGAGTTCACCAAACCAGCCTTCCAAACCCAGCAAGTCCCTCCGTCTCAGCAGAAAGAGGCACAGAGCTCTGGCAAATAAACCACAGGACTTCCAGGTATTGTGTGGGTTTCGATTGTTCCTGAATAACCAAAATATGCCAATTAAGAATGACTGTTGCTGATAAGAAAGATATCAGACTTCACCTTGTTGAAAATAAGCCGAACACTCTTCAAGTGAATGTGTGGTGAATCGTAATATTTATCCATAAAGCCAGAGAATTCTAAACACGGGATCTCTGTTAGGATTAACATTTCTGAGCCTTTTCTCTGGAAATGGCTCCACCCTAAGTTTACTGCTATCTATCAACCACAGTGATCAATACCTTCTTTCAGTACAGTACATCTTGATCGTTCAACTGTATTAATGTCGTTTGTGATGTCCAGATCCGTGTTCGGGTTATTGAAGGTCGACAACTGCCCGGCAACGACATCAAACCGGTAGTGAAAGTGAACGTGTGTGGACAGACCCACAGAACTAGAATCAGAAGAGGAAACAATCCATTCTTTGATGAAGTAATAACCCTTCATCCAACAAAAGCACCTTTTTTTTGGAAGTCACTCACTTTTTACTCTCACCTAGTTAAACCATCCTTTTGTTTGTCTCTTCTTTTGTAACTAAACTCAAACCCTACAAGCTTCTATAACATTTTGACTGAGGTATCTGTATCAACAGTGACAATACGGCCATTTCAAAGCTGTCTTCTTTGGAGACTGAAGCGTTTACCTTCACTTTTTTCTTGCATCTTTTCCCCATCTAAAAAATGTTCTCCTCTGTCAATTTGAACTAAAGTAAGAAACTTAGCTTTAAGGCTTCTGACATCCAAAATGGGTCACATGTGACCAAGGAAAATAGATTCATTCTGAACTTTTGTTTCCATTCCTCAGATGTTCTTCTACAATGTTAACATGCTTCCCTCAGAGCTGTTTGATGAGAGCATCAGTCTTCGAGTGAGTAGAGAGCTATTTTGTATGTTAATGGATGAAACCTTTTACACTTTTTACTCATTCAGTTTTGTCTGTTCCCTTCAAGGTTTATGACTCCTTCTCACTCAGAGCCGACAGTCTAGTGGGAGAGTTCAAGGTATGTCCATTGATCATGTTCTATTGATAACATTGTTTTTATTTATAGAAGAATTAGCTTTTACTGGACAAAAATTGATATTTGAATTTGTTATTACATTCCTAGCTGGACGTTGGCTACATCTACGACGAACCTGGTCAGTTCTATGATCTAAAATACAGATTCTGTCTAATTCCAGTTGTCTTTGTAAAGTATATATCAACATACTGTACTCAACCAATTGCTTTTTGATGTCCAGGTCATGCCATTATGAGGAAGTGGCTCCTCCTGAGTGATCCTGATGACACCAGTTTGGGGGCCAGAGGTTACCTAAAAGTCACCATAATTATTGTGGGCACTGGAGATGAACCACCGGTAAACTTACTTTCTCACTTCCCATCAAACTCTTACTTCTAAGACCCACTTCCTCCTCTGTACCCTTGTTCTTTTGGGGATTATGGTGTACTGGGAGTTTTGCCTTTAACACTGGTGTTAAAGGCCTTTGGATGGCTTGACTACTACTACTTAATGCTCCTACATCTGCAAAATGGAGGGCAGGACCACATGGTTCAACTGGATATACGCCCGACAATACTGTTAAAAAGCACCATGAAAACTCTCATCTCTTCTTGGCTGCAGACTGAGAGAAGAGTGTTAAGTGAGGAGCTAGATGACATAGAGAGCAATCTTTTGGTCCCTACTGGTATCTCAATGCGATGGGCCACCCTGAGCCTCAAAGTTTATCGAGCTGAAGATATGCCACAGAGTAAGTATCTTATGCATACGTTCATTCACATCATTTTGCAGGCTTACATACGCAGGTCCCTGCAAAAAATTCTCTTTGGAAATGCATCTTTGTTACAGTGGATGACGCCTTTGCTCAGAACGTAAAGCAAGTCTTTGGAGGGGAGGCAGATAAGAAGAACTTGGTTGATCCATATTTGGAAGTCAGCTTTGCGGGGAAGAAGGTATTTAATGTTAGACTGTAAAAAAACATTTTTACATTTATAGTTAATTTATAATCACAATTTCAACACTGTTTTTTTCAGTTGTGCACCAAAACAATTCAGAAAAATGCAAATCCAGAGTGGAATCAACTTATCAACCTCCAGGTCAAAGTAAGAAAAATGCAAATTACAAAAGTGTTGTGTGTATAAAAGAGTTCAGAGCAAACTTTTTCTGCCTTTGCAGTTCCCATCCATGTGTGAACGCATCAAGCTGACCATGTATGACTGGTAGGTGCTGTTTTTCATTTTGAAAAAGCTTCATATGTGGCTATATCAACAAATAACATGTTACATGCCTGTTTAAGGGATCGTCTAACAAAGGACGACGCCATAGGAACAACCTTTTTGAATCTGAGCAAAATGTCTTACTCTGGTGGGGATATTGAAAGTAAGTGTAGAATTTCTCGTCCATCTTTTCTTTTCTATATTAAACCTTATTTTACAATTTGACATTTTACACTTATTTATTTATCTGATTTGAAACAGACACACGGACTGAAGCTTCCGATGAAGTTTTTGAAAGTATGTATGAAATTGTGGCATCTGTTGTATTTTTTCAGAAAATATCATTTCTTTAACTAATGCTACACTATGAGATTAACTGAATCATAGACATTATAACAGGACACATTTACCAGGTTACTAGTTATGTAGACTGCCCTGTCTCACACCAAATGTACAAGAGCGTTTAGTAAGGGCTGTTAATATCTGAGATGCGTACATTTTTAACTTTTTTGCGTCACCATCATCGGGGGACTCTTATTAGTGACACAATTGAAGAATCTGAAATTGTCTTTCCAACAAGGTTATAATGCTGCCACGTGAGTGGTGTGGTAAACATATGCTTATGTTCATGTGCTACAGTGAACACTTCAGCATCAGAGGATGGGTTTCTCCCAGCTTTTGGACCGTGTTATGTCAACCTGTACGGAAGCCCAAGAGAGTTTACTGGCCTGCCTGATCCATATGATGAACTCAACTTAGGGAATGTATGATCCTACCAACCTACCTACCTACCTACCCACTTAACTACTTACCTACCTACTTATATATACATATATATATGTAAATACGTTTTGATTTTAACTAGGGAGAAGGGGTGGCGTACCGAGGGAGGGTTCTTATTGAACTGGCCACTCACTTGGACGGAAAGGTTGATAAAAGTGTTGATGACATCTACAGTGATGATATTCTTGTAGCACAGGTAAGCACTACATACTGTTATTTTCCCCGGCAATTTGTCTCCCGAAAACATCCTAGTGGTCTTTACTTTCTTCTCATTAAAGTGTCTATGTAATATTTTAGTTTCTCTAACATGATTTCAGGAGAGAGTAATAATATGCCCAGGAAGAACAACAGAATGGTTTTAATAAGTATGTAAACAGTTAAGCTGTTTTCCTGCCTTAACACTCAACACTCCCACTTCCCTTTTAATTGCTTTCAGAAATACCAGCGGAGAAGGAAGTACTCTCTGTGCGCTGTGTTCCACAGTTCATGCATGCTCCATGAGCCGGGTGAGCCGATCCAGTTTGAGGTCAGCATTGGTAATTATGGCAACAAGCTGGATTCCACCTGCAAGCCCCTGGCATCCACAACCCAGTACAGCTTTGCTGTATTTGATGGTATGAAACTTACAAAGAAAAGTAACAAGCCATTAAGACATAGCTGCTGTCTAAGTATAATTCATTATGTCAGTGTGAGTTCAGTATATTCTTATTGGCATGAGGGCGCAACAAAACATGTGTTTAATTTAATTGTGTATATTTACAATGACCTCCACAGGTAATCACTATTATTACCTCCCCTGGGCTGACACTAAGCCTGTGGTGATTCTAACGTCATACTGGGAGGACATAAGTCACCGCTTGGAAGCAGTGAATTCTATCCTCTATATTGCTGACCGATTGGTGAGACCGCAACACAGCGCAGTATACAGCTAAATATTGAACATGTTTGCTTTGGTTGTGCTCCTTCGCTTTACTGTGTGATTAATTGCAGGAGTCCCACCTCACGTCTTTGAAATCAGCCATCTTGGCTAAGATGTCTGAGACACGTCTGGCAGAGATTTGGTCCAAACTCATCAGCCACATGATTGAAGATTTGAACAAGTCAGATATGACCCGACTGTGCATGTTGTTAGGTCCAACGCGTTTGCAGTGTAGCTGTTATAATTCAACTACTGGTATGTTGTTTTACAAATGAACAGTTTGCAGCTTCCAGCCCTGGAAGGCCAGTCCAACACTACTGCGCTGGATCTCCAAATAAAAAATATGCGTGAAGCAGCTGTTGCCAGCATCATGCAGATGGCCAGTGACATGAAAAGAGAAGCCACAGATGTCAGGTCCACCGTTGGTGACATTGAAGACTGGTTGGAGAGAATTAAGCAACTGGCAGAGGAGGTCAGTGGCACCATTGTCTCACTTGTAAAAATATATCAGGTTGCCCAAAAAAGATGCCTGAATGAATCAGATTGTGTATTTGTAATTTGTCTTAATCAGCCTCAGAATAGCATGCCAGATGTGATCATATGGATGCTGAGGGGAGAGAAGAGAGTGGCTTATGCTCGAATCCCAGCCAACCAAATCCTCTACTCTAACTTTAGTGAAGAGGCCCGTGGAAAACACTGTGGAAAGACTCAGACCATCTTCATGCAGGTGCAAGAACTATCAACACACAACAAAACCAAATTTGGACACCAAAATACCATACAAATCAATTTAGTCATATATTCTTGCTTTGGCAGTATCCCATGGATAAGAACAAAGGCGTGAAGATCCCCGTTCAGCTGCGCGTCAACATGTGGCTCGGACTCTCTGCTCAGGAAAAAAAAATTAACAGCTTTTCAGAGGGAAACTTCAGTGTCTATGCTGATCTGGTACAATCTTGAGTAAAAATATCTGAAAACATTCCTGACTTAGCAATGGGTGAAATATCGCTTTTAGACACACCTGCTTTGTTTCTGCAGTACGAGAACCAGGCTCAGGTGTTTGGGAAGTGGGGAACCACCGGCCTGGTCGGTCGCTACAAGTTCTCAGATGTGACTGGAAAAGTGAAACTAAAAAAAGAGCGCTTTTTGCCTCCACGGGGATGGGAATGGGAGGGAGACTGGTTTGTTGACCCTGCCCGATGGTAAGAAACTCGCCCACAAACGCACATGCACTCCAGAAGTTTGTTTATACTTCAACATCTATAAAAGGACAACTCTAAAACTCTGCGTGCAACTGCATGTTCCATCATAAGCTAACGGAAATAAACACGTCAGTATTTACATATGTTGCTTTCCTGTTTCTGTGACTACTTTAACTGCCTCACGACTTTTGTCATTACTTTTCAAATTCAAAATAACCTTTCATATTTCTTGTTTTTATCATTGTTACTGTACGTTGTCAAGTTTGAACCATTTTTTAGTTATACATTGGTTCATTGGCTCATGATACCAGCCTCTGCATTAAGCAGACCATAACCACAATCACAGGATATGGGTAGGAATTTGGGAACCAGCCCATGTTTTGGATTAAGGTCAGCCCCTCCCTTTATTCTTCCGAAGTGCTCGCATTCTCTCACCAGGGCTCATGTAAATCATCTTAACTAAATGAAGCACTTCTTCCTCAACTGCTCTGTTTTGTTTACCACATTTCCACAGCCTGTGTCTGAGTCACAGGGCCTGCAATTAACCCGCCTGCTGTTGTGCCATTTTTCTACAGTCTGTTAACAGAGGCAGATGCTGGCCACACAGAGTTCACAGATGAAGTTTTTCAGAACGAAACACGTTTTCCTGGCGGGGAATGGAAGATGGCTGCAGAACCATATACAAACGTGGTATAAACAACAAAATCTTTTCTCATAACAGATTTAAATTGTCCAAAGGATCAAACTTTCTAGTATCAATGTGATTGAAATAAAAAAAGAATTTGCAACATAACAGGTGGTGTGAGCCGAATGCTACGCAATATAACCAAAACACATCCTGGCAGAGTCTGTGTTTTGACACAATTGGTGCTAACATGTAAAATGACTCTTTAACAATGATTGTCCTCATGTGAAGAGGTTAGATCACTTGTATAGTTTGGCGATAGTCTGTTGTTACAAGGTTTTGTGAGGGGAATTTTGTGTTTGAAATAACTGAAACAACAAAAAGTTTGTGTTGTGCAGAATGGAGAAAAGGCCTTGAGTCCAGGAGAGTTTGAATGCCCACCTGGATGGACTTGGGAGGATGAATGGAGTTTTGACAGCAACAGAGCTGTAGATGAGAGAGGTAATGGTTGTCCCTTCAAGACTTTGAGAGCCTTTTTACATTGTTAATGGATGCTTGAAATTCTAAGTCTATTTGCGTCTGTGTGTTTTGCTGCAAGGTTGGGAATATGGAGTGACGATTCCGCCTGATGACAAACCCAAATCGTGGGTTGCAGCCGAAAAGATGTACCACGTCCACCGCAGGAAGAGACTGGTCAGACCCAGGAGGAGAGCATCTGCCAAAATGACAATATCTGAGGTAAGACAGAATTAACTGATTAAGGATAGTGGTTTCATTATTACAATGTCTGTTTTTTTTTCTTATTATCATTTTCTTTTTAGAGACAAGAGCCAGGGGAAGGCTGGGAATACTCTTCCCTGATTGGATGGAAGTTTCACAGAAAAGAGCGCTCCTCTGACACATTTCGCCGCCGCCGTTGGAGAAGAAAGATGATCCCATCAGACAGCATCGGGGCCTCGGCCATCTTTAAACTGGAGGGAGCATTAGTGGGTTTCTCTTAACTTCTTTAAGGAATAAGGTTAACTATGTGCACAACAGAGCAGTTGCCATGACAACATGAGTTACATTGTGCCTTCTGTGTCACATCCTCTCTTTATTCTCATGCGTCTGAAGTTGGCAAATAACTCAGGATGTTTGATTTACTTCTTCATTTTCTTTCTTCTAATTGTGCCCATATTTCAGAAGAAGAAATTTGGGGCTTGCGTAACATGGAATGTGTTTTTTTTAACAGGGGGTTGATGTTGATGAGAAAGCCAGCAAAACGGAAGCCGCCAAACCTTTTGGTGCCAACACACCCACTGTTTCCTGCCACTTTAACCGTAAGTTTCAGGGTCAGTTAAAATTGATTGCCAACCCACTGATGCTGATGAAAGGCTATTTCAACACTGCATCCTGGCTGTGAAAAAACGCTGATATCGTGGCTTCAGTAAACGTCAGAATTTTCATGCACTTTGTTAGATTTTCTACTCTTTTAGCTGTCATAAAGTACAACATCTCTCTCCAGGTTCTTACATTTATCATTTGAGGGTGTATGTCTATCAAGCAAGAAATCTCTGTGCCATGGATAAAGACAGCTTCTCAGGTAAAAGGTGTAAGCACCGTAAAGGGTAAAAAAATGTGATACATTTTCCCAAATAAATAAGATAATTATACCTGGATTCCTGCAGATCCCTATGCGCACGTGTCATTCTTACACATGAGTAAGACCACGGAAGTCATAAAAAGCACACTGAACCCCACATGGGACCAGACTCTCATCTTTGAGGACATTGAAATCTATGGAGACCCACAGACCATTTTTCACAACCCCCCCGATGTTGTGTTGGAGCTGTATGACAGTGACCAAGTGGTGCGTTATGTAGATAATCAGTTTTTCTGATCATTTCATGATAATATTCAACTGAATCCTTAAAAGCAATTAGAAGCCATGGTGTAAATAATGACACAGATAAGTATCCACTGTATCTTATCATCTAGGGCAAAGATGAGCCCATGGGTCGTTGCACGTGCCCTCCTGTGGTAAAGCTGAACCCCAGTGTGGCTGTCACTCCGAGGCTGCTTTGGTTTCCTGTCACCAAAAAGGGTCGCACAGCTGGAGATGTGCTGCTTGCTGCTGAGCTTCTACTGAAAGACAAGGTAGTTATACTGTTAGCCTTAAAGAAAGAAAGAAGAAAGTAAAAGAAGGGTGTAACTCTCGCTCACCCTCTAGGCAAATGACGGCGACCTGCCACTGGTGCCTCCTCGACGTGGAGAAAAGCTCTACATGGTCCCACAGGGAATCAGGCCAGTAGTGCAGCTAACTGCCATTGAGGTACTATATCAAGTCATTCCGTTCTGCAGCCAAGCCCTATAATGCTCAGACTGTAACATGTTCAGAATGTAACATGATGTAACTTGACTAGACCAACCAATAAATCACAACCTTACTTTATTTTGCTTGTTCCCTGATAATCTGTTAGCAGGTTTCGTATTTACTCTATTTACGGAAGCATTTTTTTAAATGTGCAATGATGTTTTTGTCTGACTTCAGATCTTGACTTGGGGCCTGAGGAATATGAAGACTTTTCAGCTGGCCACTGTTTCTTCCCCCAGTTTAATAGTGGAATGTGGTGGTGAGATTGTGCAAACAGCTGTGATCAAGAACTTCAAAAAGAATCCAAACTTCCCTGCATCTGTGCTGCTTTTGAAAGTGGTACAGTCCTTCAAATATACTTGAGAAGATATATTCTCTCAAATGGTTACAACTGATGTTATTATTCTATGACATTTAGCTAAGCTTGAACGGGAATGATTCAAGTGAACACAGTACTGTGTTAAACGACTTCTCTTTTTCTGTTCACTAAGCTTCTTCCCAAAGACGAGATGTACACCCCTCCCATTGTGCTGAAGATAATTGACCACCGACCCTTTGGCAGGAAACCTGTGGTGGGGCAGTGCACTATTGACTGCCTGGAGGACTTTCGCTGTGACCCGTATTGTCGAAACAGGGATGTCTGCATGTCTGCCAGAGGTATCGGAACACACAAGTTTCCTGTCGAGGATTCACCTTCTGTTTCATACAGTCAAGGTTTATTATGTCATTCTTCATTTGTTGTGTAGTGGCAATGATAAATGCTTCCCAAGGAGATGTTGTCATCAACATTGAGGAGAGAACAGTTGTGAAAACTGAGGTAAATTAAAAAATTTTCCTAAATATTGTGATTTAGAGATTTTTAGATATTCATTTTCCTATATTTGAAAATATTTATGTATGTTTTCTTTACCCCCTCTCCCATTTTCAAGCCTAAAGAAAAAAAGGTGAATATTTATTAGAATTTCAAACGACCCACAGATATGTATAATCTCTAAGGAAATGTAATGATAATAATAAATGGAATGTCTTGATTTTGTGCAGGAGGAAGAGACAGTGGACTGGTGGAGTAAGCTCTACGCCTCTGTTGGCGACCACGCAAAATGTGCGCCTTACATGAAAAAGGGATATGACACATTGCAGGTGAAACCTTTCACAAATCCTCATACATATACACATGTGAAAAGCTGAATTTTATCAGTATCTGAGGTTGTGTTTATTTAAAAAGCAAGATTATAGTAACATTCTCTGATGTGCTGTTTTTCAGGTCTACAACTGTGAACTAGAGGAGGTCAAAGAGTTCCAGGGCCTGACGGATTTCTGCAACACTTTTAAGCTACAGCGAGGGAAAACTGAAGATGAGGAGGATGATCCCACAGTTGTGGGAGAATTCAAGGTGAGTTGAATGCTGACTCGACAGTCGTATAGCATTCAATTTCAACATATTACCAATTACCTTGCCTTGGTTTGCCCTCTGGTGGAGAGAATTAAAAATTCCATTTGAGTTAACTATTAATTTGACAGCTACAGTTACGTATATAAATTTGTCTTTAGAATTTTATCCCAAAGACAAAGAAATATCTATATGTAAGATGTTATTATTATTGCTTTTGTCATTTAATGTAAAATGCTTAGAGGTCTACATACTTTAAATTTGATTCTACAGTATGCTTGTCTGTTTGGTTTGAATATGCTGTAAAGTTATATTTATTATACGTGTATTATACGTGTTGCTGTACTTTTTATTCATTGCTGTTTATCTTACCCTCCAAATAGAATGAAGACTCCGGAGTAATTTATGTCTACAGTTCAGCACTATAATTATCTTTGTGTATGCAACCAAAACTGGTTTTGAGAAGATGTGCCAACTAAGCAGGTGTTCTCTTTTTCTTTTCTTTTTTTTTGTTGCTCAGGGCTCATTCAGGATTTATCCGCTGCCTGATGACCCAGGGGTGCAAGCCCCACCTCGCCAGTTCAGAAAGCTTCCAGAGAGTGGACCGCAGGAGTGTCTGGTCCGAATATATGTGGTGCGCTGCATTGACCTGCAGCCTAAGGACACAAATGGCATGGTGTGTGTTCCTGTGCAGTTTAACCTCTTAACCGCTTCTGTGACTGACAAGTTCCTATTCAGAGGGGTTTCACCGATTTGTTTACATTTCATTGCCCAAAAAAATAGCTGAATCAATATTTATAATAATTTGTTTGGTCATTTTAGTGTGATCCATACATTAAGATCACGCTTGGAAGGAAAACAGTGGATGACAGAGATAACTACAAACCAAATACCCTCAATCCAGAGTTTGGAAGGTGAGATTATGATGAATGACTTGTTGAATACAAAGCAACAGAGATATTTTAAGAACTGTGTGCTCTACTCTGTAGGATGTTCGAGCTATCCTGCTTCTTGCCTCAAGACAAGGATCTGAAGATTTCCGTGTATGACTACGACTTGCTGAGCAGAGATGAAAAAGTGGGGGAAACAGTCATCGATTTAGAGAATAGACTCCTCTCTCGTTTCAGGTCCTCCTGTGGCCTCCCGCAAACGTACTGTGTGTAAGTGTGTACTCTTGTACCAATACACGATGCATGATTCGCAAACATATATAGCAGGTGTTTTTTTTGCATGATGTGCACTGTTAATATGAATTTTTGCAGGTCAGGGATCAATCAGTGGAGAGATCAGCTGAAACCTTCTCAGATCCTCCAGAATTTGGCAAAAGTGAGGGGAGACCTTCCTCCACACATAGAGACAGATGGAAGCTCACTGTCTCTGTCAGGAAAACAATACTACCTGCAAGATTTTGGTACTTCTGCTGCCTTATGGCCAGTTATGCTTTGTCTCCTGATTTAAATTTCTGCTTTGTTGATGTTGACCATCTATGATCTGTCGCATCCTTTACAGAGACAAACACTGTCATCAACCCACATTTAGGCCCAGCCAGAGAGAGGCTTGCCCTGCATGTTCTCAGAAACCAGGGCCTGGTACCAGAACATGTGGAGACCAGAACTCTGTGTAGCTCTCACCAACCTAATCTGTCCCAGGTGAATTAAAAAAGAAAAGAAGGAATTCTGTCATTTCTTTTCACGATTAAGAATTGACACGGTTTAAGGACTTAACACGTAAAAGATGTCTTAAAATTGCTTTTTTTCTTCTCCACAAATGCAGGGAAGAGTTCAAATGTGGGTTGACATTTTCCCCAAAAGCCAGGGCTTGCCTGGGCCTCCTTGTGACATCACTCCACGGAAAGCCAAGAAGTAAGAAACTTAACAAATGATTTGTCTTATAATGTAAACATTGGGATATAAATCATATCATTTGAAACAGGTACTTCTTGCGAGCTATCATTTGGAACACAACTGATGTAATTCTGGATGAAACAAGCATCACTGGAGAAAACATGAGTGACATCTATGTTAAAGGGTACATAATTTATCCTGTCTTCTACCTTAACCTTTCATCTGTTCTGAGAAAGAACATTTTAAATAACCTCACAATAACTCACACGTATGCATCCATTCATTTTCTATACCTCTTATTCCCGACTGGGTTGCGGGAACTCACATATTAATCATCTGAATTTTTAGATGGATGCCAGGAATGGAGGAGGACAAGCAGAAGACTGATGTCCACTACAGATCCCTGGATGGAGATGGGAATTTTAACTGGAGGTTCATTTTTGGGTTTGAATACCTGCCAGCAGAGCAGCTTTGTGTCGTCTCCAGGAAAGTGAGTGAGACTAAGCATCAGGAACAAAATAATGAGTGATTCTGTAACTTTATTTTTTCCTGATTATGAGGTGCTTTGATGCAATGATCACCATGATTTCTGTTTTTCTTTTATTAGGAGCATTTTTGGAATCTGGACAAAACTGAGTTTAGGATTCCTCCAAAATTGACCATCCAGATATGGGACAATGACAAATTCTCACTGGATGACTATTTAGGTGAAAAAATATTATCTTTACTTCATTTACATCATGGCCTTACTACATATTAGCCTTAAAAGACATAATGCATGAAATACATTTTGTGCCATGTTTCTGTAACAGGATCAGTTGAGCTGGACCTATTCAATCTAGTCCCCCCCGCCAAAACTCCAGAAAAGTGCGACCTGAAGATGCTTCCAGGGATGATGGGGTCCTCCTCCTCTAAGAAATCCATGCCCAATTCACTCTTCTCCCAGAAGTCTGTCCGGGGATGGTGGCCTTGTGTAATTGAGAAGGATGGAAAACCTGAGCTTGGAGTATGTCTTTGCAAAGTATTAGCACACTTTTTTTCCTTTCCATTGATTCTAACAATGGGACTTTTTGTTGAAATCTAATTTTACAGGGCAAAGTAGAAATGACACTGGAGATATTAGAAGAGAAGGAGATGGAGGAAAGACCAGCTGGGAAAGGCAGAGACGAGCCAAACATGAATCCAAGACTGGACCCACCTAAGTAAGAATATGGCTCGAAAAATACAGAATTATGGATTATTTTACAGGAATTTTGTAACACAAACACTGCTGTTTGTGTTCATTGACAGCCGCCCCGACACATCGTTCTTTTGGTTTACAAATCCCTGCAAGACCATGAAGTTCATAGTTTGGCGCAGGTTCAAGTGGATATTCATTGCAGCGATTCTCCTCCTGCTCGTTATCCTGTTCCTTGGGATCTTGTTCTACTCCTTACCTGTAAGACCTTTGAGTTTATTTGCACTTTTCCCAAAAGAGCTATTGGTTTGTTGCAGAACTGTGGTCAAATTCTGTCTAAAACGTGACTCTTCACATTTTTTTTTTCTGCCTGACCGACGGCGACTCAGTGTTTTAATAAAAAACACTGAGAAATAAAAACTAATAAATATTTAATCTTATTCACAGAATTACATCTCAATGAAGATTGTGAAGCCATTCTCATGAGCAGTGTTAAGAGAGAAGCTGCCTATCTTCCTGCAGAGGGATCTCCAGTCCTCCCAACAATCATTCTTCCACTGATACGCCATCGATTTTTAAATCAGGCACACATTATTCTTTTTTTTAACTGTTTGTTTTATTTCATATTCCATGTCATTTATTCAAATGAAAACATCTGTCATATCGAAATCATGAGAAAAAAAATCAAGAATAATTGCACTGATTATTTGTATATGTATACTGTTTATATATTTAGATTTAGATACTGAGTCTGTGACATTGATTGGGTTTCAGATGAGAAAAAAAAGCACTTCAGACAAGCAGGTGGCTGTAATGATCCCATTTCAAGCGCTATGGTCATAGACATTTATAGATAGACGCCTCATTGACGGTGTTGGGCTGCTGCTGTGACATATCAATGTTTCTGCCACATTTGTGGAAGCAGTAATGCATACATACTTGATAATGCTCATAATAACAAAGACCTGACCCCTCTCGAAGTAAAGTCTGGAAAGAAATTAAGAATGGGTTGTCATAAAAATTGAAGACATCCCAGAGTTTACCATGACCCACACACTGTACTAATTTGATGATCTTGATTGCCAAATATCTGATGTGGTAGATATTATATTCTTGCTTGCAAAGTTTCATATACTTTACTGTAAGTGGAAAGATTCAGCGTTTTAATCTGTTGCTTTGATAAAAAAAAAATCAATTTGAACTTTATTACTCTAAACAAAACCACCAGCATATCTACTTTTCTTCTGTTTAAAACAGTCCATTTCGTTTTTTTAATCTGCGTTACTGTTTCTGCCCCTGTTCACTGTTCCTGTACAGTGATTGCATATTGTTTGTTAAACAATAAAAATAGAATAAAGGGACTTTAATGCACATTTTAATGGAGAATTTTATGTTAATGCTTGACCTTCATTTATTTAACACACATACATTAAAACTTCTATAACTTGGTGGAATATGTCACCAGTAATAACTTCAAGTTACTGGGCTCAATGATGTTTGCCTACATGTGTTTACACACATTTACTGTCACTAATTTTTCACTACGAGCCAATATAGGTGGGCTGTAGGATGGCCACTCTACACAGTCCAACCAACCGGACCTAACAGAAGTGGCTTAGAAGACAGCAATATGATCCATTTGACTGTGATAAAGAGGGCTGATCCATGGGCAGTTGCTGCTAGGAAGTGTGCTGGAGTCTAATCAACCCTAGCAGGGTCACCTGTGTGAGGGTGTCTGATGTAGAAAGGCCTGAAACACCCAATGTCCCAAAACTGGAATTTTCTTCAGATATTTGTTTTTAAATGAGTTGCTTTGCACAGGATCATGGCTGGCTTTCGGCACTGTCCATATTACATGGTTGGGGCTTCAGATGACAGGTGTAGGGTCATAAGAGACAGCTTGCTAAAGATGTCCATGTCAAAAAGCCTTATGGAATCTGATAATGTACAAATTCAAGCTGAAAGATACAATCTTTGAACTGAATTGACATATAAAGATGAAAATACATTTTTTTTACACGGTTCACTCATTTCACTCCAGACCAGTTGGTGGCGGTAATGATCTCATTAACATGCCAACCACCGTCGTAACCAAAGAAGGAACTGAAATGATTTGATTGGTCTGTTTTTCCGCTGTCAAGGTGCAGCAGCTGCACTACAGAAGTGAAAGTATAATAATAAACGAGCGACATCACGTCAAGTGACCTTGTGTATATATCGGGAATATTAAAAAAGATAGTGTAAGTCATCAACGTCTGGGTTCCGAAAGAAAACGAGGCATGCAAGTAAGTCAAAACGAGTTTTTTTGTGTTAATGGAGATAGCACCGCTAGCTTGAACAGGGTGGATTAGGTCAGTGCTGTCCGCACAGCAAATCAAAGCCTACATTTTGATTTTGAAAGCAGTCAAAGCAACGTCAGCTAGTTTGTTATGTACACTAAGAGAAGTATTGGCGTTTGGGCTGACACACTTTTATTTTAATTCACTGTTCCGCAAATGATTCATTACGCATTTGTACGTTGAAGATAATGTTCAGAACAACGATCTCAAATTGGGATAGTTGGCTAACTCTTAATAGCTTTAGTTACTACGAAGGTGCAGCACTTTTAACAGTTTTTTTTAAATAGCATTTATTCAAACAAATCCTTCCTATTTATAAATCTTACGTATTTACATTAAATGCAACAAATGATTGAATACATAAACCGTAGTGTGTAACTTCTTGTCAAGTCGAAACTACGACATGGAGATAAATTTAGCCGTCTGCTTGTGATATGTTGGACATCCATATATAGCGTTTCAGTGAGTCATTGCCTTTATTTATCTGGCAGTTGCATTGGATTCACATCTCATGACCTATCAACAATGGATGAAGCCATGGATTCTCAAAGCAGGTAAAGCATGCATTCACTGTGCTCAAGCTATTTGATCAAGGGAGGACACTTTCATATGTTTAGCTAGATTTGTTCATACTGGCATTATAAAGGAAGCCTGTCCTCACCGTTAATGTATTTTAAGGAGTGCTGTGTTGTTAAATTAGAAATGCAACTGGTTTAACTTTTGCTTCTTAACACTAGTCTCATTAATTTCTGTCTTTTTTTCTTCTGTGCAGCAGTATGGCTGTTGAAGAGACAACGGAGGATGTAAAGAGTATTGTTTGTCAAACACAGCAAACATCCGACAACACAAGTGATTGTGTGCCATCAAAGAACACACATGATTTGCCAGCATCTCAGAACTCGGCAGACTCCAGATCTGCAAGTGACATGGACGACCCTGTTCTCACAGGCAGTGTAAAAAGCCCATCTCAATCTCAGGGCTCTAATGGGCAGAAATCTAAGAGGCCCGTCTCGCCTGGTCCCCACCCAGTTAAAACTGCCTGTGTTGCTCCGTGCACCCCAAATCCAGGGCTAAACATTAGTCTTAGTAATAGTCCCAGTATACACAGTGATGTGGAGATGCTGAGCCCTGACAGCCCAGTCCCTAAAATCATGAGCATAAACAACTCAGCAGAACAGAATAATGATGGAAGTGAACATAATTTTGAAAATTCTCAGTTAATGGAGTCTCAACTGCTTGTCAAAGAGTCTGAGTCTGAGTCTGGAAGTTCAGCTGCAGGAGGTGTACCCCCTGTTGCTGGGGTTTCTGATGATGTTCAGATAGCGGAGTGCAGCTCCTCATCCGAAATGAGCCAGGGCTCAGTTAAAAAGCAGGCAGATGCCAACTCTGAAAGGTACTTGTAGATTTTTGTTTATACCCTATTTGCTTCTGTCCTTCCTGAGTCCTCACTCGATCATACTGACAGACTTGTGCATTTATGCTCAACAGCGTTTCAAAGGCAATCCAGAGCGCACGATGGCTGGGAACTCCCATAGATGAGCTCAACCGATTACCCCAGTGTGCTCCCCCACTGTCACACCTGAAACCAGCACATAATCACTCTGTCATGATCAGAGTGAGTCAACAGCTTCTGGATCTTTTGTGGGTCTTTGTGTGTGGTGGAAAGAAAACTGCAGTCACACCAGGACCCTGCATGGAAATGTGACTGAGCAAAGTGCACTGGGAATACAGTTATTGTTTTAATTGGGCCCGATAAATTGTTAAGAGGAGACTTTATAGATGCAGATAGAGTGAGTGAGATAAAGAGAGATGGCAGTGGACTGAGCAGGGGCATCCTCTGAGATATCCTCAGGGCTTGTTGTCAGTAGTATTCCTATCAGACTGTCTTCCACTGCAAGCCCCACAGGAATGCTGTGCTGCTTCACAGCATACCATCAAAAGCCACTGTCAAACAAACTGGGCGCTCCTCTTCCCTTTGCGTTGGCTTTATATAACATTCTGTTAGCAAACATTACCCATACTAATTTGTGTGACCATACCTTACCATGTCCTAAAATTAGGAAAGGTTTTAAAGCGTTAATACACATTCTTCTAAAAAGAAAGGACAAAGCATGTATTGTATTTTCCTCTGATCTAAAAAATAACACTGACCTGTTCAAAGGCTTTTTTCTGTTTTTGCGATTCTCCGTTACAGACAGATCTCCTCAGAGAGGGCGAGCTCCCAGTTCCATACCCCACCAAGTTCAGAGATGCATGGGATGATGTGTATGTGAAGATGCCCTGTTCAGACAAAAATCTGTTTCCTGTGGAGACTGAGGTACACTGTTTCAGTCCTGCTCTGTATCCGCTTTCTTTCTCAATTCAAACACATTTTGCACAGTAAAGATGTCTTTACACTCTTTACATTTACATTTCCCACTTACCTTACACTTATGTTTTACAGGATGGAGGTCTCCAAAGTCGGTGGGAGCTGATCCGTACTGCTTTGAAGAGAGGGTTCAAAAGTTGTCTGGATGTGAGGGTAAGACAGATGTGTTTGAATGGACTGAATTGTATTTAGCCAATTGTGCAACCCTAAAACCTATAAAATATAAAGAGATAGATAAGGGAGAAACTTTCTCCTTCATCTATCTCTTCATATTTTAAAAGTGAATTGGTCAGAAACAATTTTTCTAGAGTGAAGCCAACTCATTTGCATGTTCAGAAAGAGAAACTATTTACACGTAACTTTGAAACATTGCATCATTGTGGTGCGAAGCTCTCTGTGGACTTTCACATGCTAGAAGGCCATGCTGTTAACATCCACGGGGTGGCAGTGTTCACAACAGTAATGTTTTTGGTTGCTTAAAACTCTGCGTAACCTGACACTGGCTTGCATTCTGGTACCTTGGATCTGAGATAGTTTTTGTGTTATATGGATCTTTTATATTTAAGTCCCATGTTCCTCTTCAGGATGCAATACTGAGGTACAACATAACCCATGCAAAGAAATGGGACTTCACGGCCTTGAATCTGCTTTGTACAGAGGTAAGCTTTTCAAAACATAGTTGTCCCCTACATTTTACTGGTGTGTTTTGCTGTAAAGATGAACATATTTAAAATGTTGTCCTTTGAATTTTATTGACAGTGTTTTCTTATTGCCATGAGATGTTAAATTCTTAAGAGTTTGAACTTAAGAAGAAAAAGTTTTTTCTTTAAATTTTCAGTTAAAGACGATAAACAGTTTATCATCCTCTAAAGGCACCTGAAAGTCTCACAGGAGCAGCATACAGTTAGGACCGATGAGCACAGAGCAGAACGGCAACAGCTGTTTGAGGTGAATCAGGGGAACGGCTGGTTATTTCTTTTATTACCTCATTCCCTTTACCGCTTCTTATCCCCAGTTCACACAGTTGGGACTGTAAATGCATCAGTCTTGTCAGAGAAACTTCAAGAGATCAGGGATTAACATTGGATGTGTTTTCATTTAGATAAAACAGTAAATTGTTTAAAGCAAATTCCAAGTAACTCCTTTGTTATTTGACAGTTATGACATTCTGAAATCCTTTTTCCTTAAAATCTTTTTTATGATGTCGGTCCCTCTTCATACTTACTCAGCAGAATTCAGGCTTTTTTCTTTATTCTTCATTCTTCACAAAATAATTTCTCAGAGTAGCTTAGAGAGCTTGATAGATCAATAGAGCCTTTTGTAGCTTCACTTAATTTAATTAAAAAGCCCCTATTAAATCTGCATGGATGCTATGGAGAGCCAGAAAAACTGTAGCTTTTCCAGGTTTGTATTCTATAAGCCATTCTGTCTGAACACTATAATCTGAGCACCGGGACGACACTGTTTTTTCCTTGACAATGACGGATTTCTGTAAGCAGAATGTTAGCTTACTCTTTATTTTCACATTTTCAGTGATTTTACAAAGGAATGCAGGTTGCATTCCTGGCAGATTAAATCAATTTTCCTCTCACTGAATGTTATTTTTTAAAAATGCATTATTTTTTGCTCCTCTTTCTCGTAAAGGCATGCTATGATGTAGCTGTAGGTAGTTGTATACAGACTCTGTATCAATAAATTGTTCCACAAAGTCGACATTTTGACAAACAAATAAACCAGTCTACACCTCGGCAGACTTTTGCAAAATGTTGTTGGATGGTGCTATGTTGCCAGATTTTGAAGATCAAATCCCAGGTCTTCTGGGCAAACGTAAATGTCTTTGTAGCTCAGAGGTAAAGTGCAATGCAGGAGGATGTGACAACAGGAACGGATCAGTATGTTTTCATCGTTTTTACTGCTGCCTGGTTACATGTGTCATAAACAAAATGTTCTAAATGCTGCAAAATAATGCGAAAATTTAGGTAGTGGCAATTTTTGCATTTTTTTAGAGGGCTGTAGTAGAAAAATACAGGGAAGAACATTTTACTGTATCTTCTTTCTCTTTAGAATGTTCCATGTGGTCACTCTTTTAAGTAACTCTGCTTTAAAGCTATTTGGGTTGAGTTTAAAATCTAAATGCTATACACCTTAATATACATTACACAATTAAACCGTGAGTGACATTTTTGTAACAGATAATTGTAAGGCAGCGCCATCCACCTGAACACATGATTGGCAGTTCCCCTAATGTGTAATAGCCATACTGGGGGGGAAAAAGAGTTATACAAATTAGGGCTTGACTGTAAATTGTCTCAGGTTTTTCTTACTGCAGAATGAAACTTGCACTTAGTCACTTTCTGATGAATGTCTCAAGGCAGAGCAGGGAACCTTTCCAAGGAAACGTACAGCTGGCACCTCCAAAGAGCATGAACAGTACTAATATGACACAACAATCTAATGCTCTCAGTTTTGTCTATTGCCATGATTTAAAAAAAAAAAAAAAAGTATCAAAACATCTGCTTGAAACAGATTTAGAAGGTCTCATATGAAATGTAACACTTTGACTCAAAACAATAAAGCTGGCAAAAATGAAATGCATGTGTCCAATAGATGGAGCGTTAAAGTGTAATTGACCAGTAGCCAGTCCAGCAATAGATCTGATCTTTACCGGCACTCTGTCGTATTAATAACTGTAGAATAGATAGTTTGCGTGTGAAGCCCAACTGTTTGGCCAGCTGCTTTGGCTGCAGGAGAGCAGGGGCGTCATGGCTCTGCCCGGATCCTGCCGCATCACCAACTACCATCTATTAGTCCCGCCGGGGCGCTTTATGATATCTGTCAGCTCATTACTTCTGACAGCATTTAGTCAGACCTGGTCTGCAGCCATATAAACGCCCCAGACCAAATCAGCCGAAGAGGACTTCATGTTGAAAATCATACCAACCTGCCACTCTCCCCTCAATTGGTTATTTGCATTTGCTCCAGAAGGTCCCATTTAATCAGCACAAGCTCCCCTGCTTACCTTGATAGAATAAGGCAAGAGATTGATGACCGTGACATTCGAAGCCAATACACTCATAAATGATTGCGTTGTAAATCTGGGTGCATGATGGAATAACTGGATATTTATTTTAGAGGGAATTGCAGATGGATGCTGAGGTAAGCTACAGTCTGAAGTATGGATACCCTGGCCATAACAGGCTCCTTTAAAGATTGATGGTGGTTTCCTTTGTAACTGGGTCTGTGCTGTGAGCAGATTTGCAGCGCTTCTCTGCAGTTTTTTTTTCTTCCTGAAACATGGGTATTGTTAATATCAAGTATAAGACATCACCGTATAAACTGTCGAAACTCTAGCATAATTGTTTGAGAGAACCTTGGATAGATATTAGTTACTGCTACTCATGACCTCATACTCGCTATGAAAAAGATGCTCTTGGTCCTACTTTACAGCACCTTCCTATTGGTTTATCTCGATGGTGCAGTTCTACACCTTTAAAGAAAGGCTTGCAGTCGCATGCTAAGCTCCTCATTATTTCCTATAGGTGCCAGTTCATGTTCACGTATTTACATTATTGAGGAGGGAATTTTTTTTGGAAGGTTTGAAGAAGATTTTTTCTCAAAACTGGTCTAATCTTGATTTTTTTTTTTTTTACCATGCTAGCCTGTGACTGATGTCTAGCTGATGTTTTCAGCTAGAATTTATGCAATAGACTTTTGCAAACCATTGTGACCTGTTGCTTTTGTCAGCATTTACCATTGGGATGATTCATGATTGATTGATTTGGCTTTTTCTCCCAGTATCTTGAGCATTGTGAGGTACAGAGCCTGTTCGAGCAAGTGCTGCCTGCCATGGTGAACTTGGCCCTCAGTGCTCCCGATGTCTGCACAAAAGTAAGTGTTCATTCTTTAATCATCTACAGTAGCATCATGCCGGGGTCTGTTTTGCTGCCAGTGGAACTTTTAGATTGTTCAAAAGAAAAGGAGGACTAACACATAGGCTCAAGTTACCAGCTGATTTATCCCAAAATATGGATTTTGTTTAAAAGGGAGATGTATACCAAGAAATCAGAAAATGTAATTGAACTGAAGCGGTTCCGCCTAAAGTCGTGGTCTTTCTGCTGATGTGTCACTAAAAGTGTACACAGAAAGAATTTAGCAGCGTATATGTAATCAGAGGGGAGGACAGGCAGTAGGTTAGCCAGGCGGTACAGCTGGTGCAAAATAATGAATTCCTACCATCTATTTCAAGAACTACTTCATTATGGAAGAGCACTGGGTGGAAGGAGGTCCGTGTCATACGCTGTCTTCCATTCCACGTGCAATGCTTGCGCAGTTGAGAAAAGTCCACTCGCCTTTTCTGTTTTACTCTCAGTGCAAGGCGTGAATGTTAAGATTCCATTTTTAATTTCTAATATTTGGGGAAATCCTATTTGCCATGTACCCCGTTAAACACAAAAGGACCTACCTTTTATTCGCTTTACACAGAGCTCAACTATATCATAAATCTTTGAAATGTCATGACCATTTGTCTTTGCTTTCATCCACTGTCATTAGTTACAGCAACAGAGGAATTACAAGATTGGTATTTTTGTAATCATATTACCAATTCCAGTGTTTTCAGTTTAATTGGATTGGCTATAATCTACTCCTACCCTTAGAAGGAAAGGAGACCTGGAGCAGAATGACAGCTGTGCCCCAGTTCGATCACAGCTTGTGCCAGTTTGAATTTCTGGCACAAGTTTTATCTGGTCAAAAAAAGCAGTGAAGCTTTCAGACTCCCTCTGCAGTATTCAGCGTGAAGGTTAATGTTTATGTGCGTCTTATTAGAGCCTGTATTGATCTGCCTACTGGGCAGCCTTGGGAGGCTCTTTAGCTCTAATCAGTTAAGATAGATGTGCCCCGTGTGTGTGCCTGAGCAAACCTGAGGGAGAGCAAGAAAACCGGGTCCTTAATTACAACCACCCATTTACCTAATGGAACCCTGCTTGTCTCCTGTTTGCTCGATCGCTAAACTAATTTTTGCCCTCATCGGCCCTCCAACCTGCACTGCTGCACTCGTAATACATGTGTGTGTTCACAACGCCTGGCCTTGTTTGTCTTGTACATTATCTTAGCTTGTGTCTCGTTGCTCTGACACCTTACCATTAGTTCTCCCAGTTTTGATTAAAATAGTTTCTTGTGCTTTTTTTCTTCTCTTTCCAGCCAATTCCTCTACTCAAGTCACAGAGGCACCATTCTCTGACTTTGTCTCAGGAGCAAATAGCCTGTCTTCTGGCCAATGCCTTCTTCTGCACATTCCCCAGACGCAACAGCCGCAAGGAGTACAGCAATTATCCTGAGATCAATTTCTACAGGTAAAGACGTAATGACACGGGAGCAGCCGTGCACTCCCTCTGGCAGCCATTAGTTGAATTTGGAGACAGAAGGGTGTGGCTAGAATCTGTCGCTGAAACATGCTCAGATTTTCTCCCATTGTGTCCCCTGACTGGGCATCAAATACAGTGAATGAACCATTTCTAAAATAAATGGGTTTGATTTCTGCTTTAAAGGCTGTTAGAACTGCCTGCCAGTCTAACTAAAGTAATTACCATCAGGGGGCACTACTGCCTAAATAAATGTTAATGGATTATTTCCTATGTCTTTACTTGGCTTCCTCTGACAACGTTAATGCCCACAAAGGTCCTTTATTTAGACTTCTTTTTAATTACTGCAGTCATTCATAACATGATATGTTTACTTGTTGAAGAAGTGATAGTTTGGGGCGTCTAATTTGTTTTTGTCAAAAATATAATTTAACAGTTTGTGCTGTGACTGCCTCTGTCTCCAGCCACGCTTAAAGATGGGGCTGTGGGATGGGAGGCTTTCTCCATCTTTCTGTTCTACCCTTTGAGTGGGAGGGAGATCAAAGTGGGAGGGTTAAATTGGTGTTCTCTGTTTCTACCTACTTGGTGTCATTGTTCTGTGGAGAAAGCCTGGGACGGCAAATTGAAACAAATTGTTTTCATGTAGCGTTTTAAAGTGCGCACTTGTCTGCTGGCGTCTGACTTTAAGTGATCCTGAGAGGTCACTTTATTTACAAGAGAGGGTATTAACACATGTACAGTGGGAGCTAAACATTCAGTTGTGATGGCTGTCACATCTAAAGAATGGAAAAGTAGGTAAAGTAAAAATAAAAAACTTTATATTGTTAATTTACATAGACTTTTAAATGCACTTTGACCTTTCTTTCACTTGTGAATTGAGCATTGAATCACTTTTAAAACCCTAGGATCTTCAAAAACCTTTAACTCCACCTTGTCCTCCTGTGTCTCTCAGACCATCACGTGCTAATATCCAGTTGACATGATTTTTCTGAGATATGTCTTTACAAATGCGTCAGCATAGTTATAACCACAAAGTCTATGCACAGATTAAGTGATCAAGTGAAAAAACAAGCCTATCTTTTCTTTTTATTTAGTAATTATCATTGACTGATGCCTGTGCTTACTAAGTCGATTAACAGGTTCATTGGTGGGCACTGCTGTTGCTGTGGAACTGCAGGCACAGAGTTTGAAAACAAACATCAGAACAGCATGTGGCACTGCCCCATGTGTCAAATGTCAAAGAAAAAGCTACAGTTTAAAGTCGTCCGCGGTTTAAGATTATGCTTTAGTTTTCTTATCACTCAAATCGTTATCATCAAATTTATTTTATATACAGTGCTTTTTTTAATACAAAGAAACTTTTGGGTCACTTTTAAACATTGAAAATGAGACAGCTTTATGTAATTTAAGAAACGGTACAATAATTGAATTCCCCTGTCGTTATGAATGTTTCTTCCTCTGGCAACAGAGGACCAATTAAAGCATCTCAAAATGAGTTTAATATTGTGACTATTTTCAGGTTTTGTGTCTCTTTATCAAACACATCAGCTCTGACCAGTTTAGATAAGAGTTTTGGAGACAACTGGAAAAACGTTGTTGTGATTTGCACTGCTCGAGCTCTGATTAGCTTGAAATGTTTTATTCCCCTCTCAGTTCCTCCATCCTGGTTCTTCATTCATAATGGCCAAAAATAAACTGCAGGAAGCCAACCATTTTTCAGTGTGCATATCCACCCTGTTTTTAAAAGGATCTGAATCAGGCAGCTCAGTGAAAGACTGCTGAGGATGGGTAGAAACATAGAGAATGGTTTTTAAAGGTGAGGTGGGGTTGGTACAAGAGCTATAACGAGGTTTGCTTCTGAGCGTCATTACCATGTTTTTGGACCGTAAAAGCCTCATTATAACCCATACATTGTCCAGATATGCCCTCAACTATTTTTTTTTTAGTTCCCGTCAGGCACTTCCTCCTCATTACTGACAATAAGGCTCAGTAAATAAACTTTTAGTTGTTGTCTGGAATTACAAAGTTGTTCGCCTGATAATATCTTGCACAGATTTTACAGACAGATCTTGTATGTGTTTAATGTTTAATTATAAATGATCGGTAAATGATTCTGATTCTTCTCCAGTCTTCACGGGTCAGAACTGCCTCTGCTGTCTCTTGGATGTAAGCCGTGTTATTGTATTAATTCCAACATCTGATCAGTTATCTGTGATTTGTTCCACACTCCTCCCACTCAGTTCCTTTGCTTTATCTGACCCTTAGTTGCAGTTTTAGTATTAACAGGATGTCATCTGTATGAGTGCTGTGATAATGTTAGCATTGATTTAGTGGCAAAGTTAGTTTTTCTGGACCACTTGTGCCAGAATTTCTGCCGACAGCAGAATACAGGAATGGGCGAGAGGGCTAGTGGGAGCTGGGGAGCTTCTGAGAAGATGAAATCAGACAAGACAGTCACTGCAGTCTAAAATGGACCCTGGATCGTTAACCCCCCCCTCCCTTCCATCTCACTATAATTGAGGGAGTGTCCGTCACTTTGCTTATCGGCTACAGTACCGCTCTGTCTTGGGTAAGCAGAGAAGCAAGCAATCTGCTGATTGCTGTTTTGGCAGAAGTGTCAAGGTGTGTCCTCTCTTAAGTGATGGATGGATTCAAGGGGTTGCAAAGAAAGCAGGAGACGTACCACTTAATCTCGTGGTCTCTACCGTTTGAGTTTTTGGTCGGTCAACGAGAAAAGCTCACAGTCTTTTCTTTTCAGATTGTCATATTCATTTTGCGAACATTTTTTCTAAAAGGTAATATCAAAGCTGTCAGACACACAGTCTCCGTGGGAACTTTATATGGTAGATGAGGTTAAAGTGGATAAGAACAAACTCTCTCTCAGTGAAAACTGTAACAAGCAGCACATTTTCCTTGTGTTACTTTTAGTTTAAAGGTTATGGGTAATGTAAGTAGTTGCCCTTTATTCTTCAGTAAGAACTTATCATCCTTCAGCATTCCTAATTCCAAAGTGGCCCTAAGAGAATGGATGTGTTGGAAGTTCAAACCTCACTTGATATGCAGGAATTACATTTGATAAAATAACTTATTTTTTGTTTTGTTTTTGCTCTCTGAAAAGATTTTAGCGCAATAAATTTTTAATTTCATTCGGTCCTGCTGTTTTTATTTCTTTAATGAACTGGGCAGAAATCAGTTGGAGGGGGAGAATAATGCTTAACTGTAATTCTTTATTAGCTTAGGTTGCTTTTAATGGAGGGACGGTAACAGTACGGGGTGGCTTAAGCTGTCCACCATGCACTCTCTCTGATTTTCCACCCTAGAGTTAACTGTAACTCAGACAAACTGACATAGTGCCTCAGGCAGTAACATTGTAGGAAAAATGTTGGTAAAGGAGATATCGTGCCTGTTAGAAAGCCTGACCTCTCTTGTGTTGAAAAATCGTGGTTTAGAAGTGACTTATAGATGACGTGTAATGGGTTGATATTGCTGCATAATGATTTGTCATCATAGATATCGCTTGTATGTGTTTTGTTCAAGTAAAGTACTGAAGATATCAATTTCATGTTGTTTCAGGTTGTTTGAAGGTTCTTCACCAAGGAAAATTGAGAAACTAAAAACTCTTCTATGTTACTTTAGGAGAGTCACACAAACTAGTAAGCCCTGAATATTATTCTTTTTTTCTTGTTTTTTTTGCAGTTGGTTACTTAAAATGCTTTATTGTCCTTTGATTAACGTTTTTCTTCTTATTTGTCTATTCAAGAGCCCAAGGGTCTTGTGACTTTCACAAGGCAAACGCTTACCCATCCACCAGACTGGGAGAGGTAACAGCCACTTTTTTGTTACATAATAGATTTGATTTTCTGATATTAAAGTGACTTCAGTTTTAGGATTTTTGTCCCATTATAATACACTTGCAACCCTAACAATGCTAGACAGATATTTTTCTCTTTACCTGTAACAAATCCATCAGAATGTAGAAAACACGTACAGGACAACATGCAGTAGTTCCATAATGTTTTAGCTTTAGTTTAATAGGAATGACTTATTATGTTTCTATACATGCACATTTGTGTAGTAAGTTGATAAAGACCTCATTTTGTTTCCATGTTTGGTTTTAAACCCCATTCAAAAAGCCTCTTGCTTGCTAGAATGCAATCTGGATGCTCATTTTCTATATTCTATGACAGCCAAAATGTTTTCAATCTGATTTTGTCTAGCTCTCAAACCCAGCTGACACGTCTACATATAACGTGTGATGGGACGATTGAGGATGATGGATATGGGATGCTGCAGGTAAGAATTTCCCTACATGTGTGCTTGAAATGTAACTTATTAACACTCATTGACTGTTTCCTTATCATACTCAAGTGCAACAAAATCAGTGCAGTGGAAGCAGATTTCCGTTGACGTTAAGCAAATGGTTGGTGTCAGTCAGATTATTTTGGGATAAACACTTCATACTTACCAGGACTTTATCTGGAGCAGATTCCATCTCAAAGGTTTTCTTTGCTGCTCTTTTTTTCTTGATCTTATAATGATTTTTTTCAAAGCTGGTCCAATTGCAATGCAATTTTTTAAATACATTTTTTCTCTTTACTTTTAACCATTATGTTCCTCTTGCCTTCAAAAACAGAGAATACATTCTTAGAAAATAACTTTAGCCATTTAACTAATTGGTTATGCATCTGTGTCTATTTATTCACTTTATCCTTTCAAAGTGGTCTGTATTCCTGGGTGGCTGGTGCATTTTACTTTTGGTACTCTAGTTGACAGCTTATGTATACACATGAGTAGCCCAGAGTGGCAAGGGTGGAGGAGAGGACCCTCGGGTGGGAGATGAGGGAAAAGGGAGGCACATGAAGAAGAAGACGACGAGGCTGGGCTATAACACAGGGGTGACTCAGTGGGCTAAGAGCCCTGCTGGCGGATTGATGGCTACCTCAACAGGCCAGACGCTGTCTGTTTGTTAAACTTGGACAGGGCAGAGTGGGCTGTCATCCTGTCAGGACGGAGGATTGAAGTGTACGGGATAGGGCTGGACCAGTGAGGAGTTGGGTGACTGGTTAGAAAACATGCACACATGCATATACAAACACTCTCTGTCACACAGATTGATGTCGCTGTGGTCCACTGAACAGAACCTTCACCCCTGACAGGATGTTTAAGTATCAGCATTGTGATTGAATGGGCAGCTCTTTTATCCGGGCCACAAAAAGTAACAACTGGACCTCCAGGACAAGAAGGTGTAGAATAGCCCCAAAATGTATCATGTACCGAAATGGACGTTTAGAAGTAAGCATCCATAATTTGCCATTGATCCCAGTACTCTTCAATGTGTATGTTCATTTATTTTGAGAATATCACTGGCAATTCTATTGAAAACTTGATATAAATTATTCAATCCAGTTCCAGAATGGTATGATGCACAGTGTAAAACATAAAAACAAAACAAAATGAAAATCAAGACTTATATTTAATGATAAAAAAAGAAAAAACTGAAATAAAAGTAACAACATGTAGAATAGAATTTGGATTATTTTCATTACAGAAATTCAAGATGGAATTTAATGACTGAAAGGTAATCTGCGGTTATTATACTACCATTTCCCCTCAGAGATACGCAAGGAGCATGTTTTATTTCACATAAAGTAGGCACGAATGGAATTCGTGCCTACTTTGCTGTAGTGCTATGCTCTCGGTTGTTTATTTTATTTTCATTCGAAATAATCTCTCTTATTTTTTGTGCTTTGTGTCTTTCTGTGATTTCCTGATTTGATTATTGCAGGCAGGAAACAGTAGAATGACCCTCAGACATTTATTTGTGTTAACTGCCCACAGTAGGTGACAGGTAATGAGACAACAGAGTTTAGTATTTTTGTTAATGTTGTTATTTTATCAAATAATTGCAGTGGGGGGCATATGCCAGGCTTTAACAACTCTGCTCAGATTTTTGACTATCCGGTCAGACATGGGCATTAAAAAAGCAAAAGCCAAAGCAGAGTTATGTCTATGCTTGTTAACAGGTGTTTTCCTGGATGTGTTAAAAAACGGCTCAGAATAATTGACACCTACATACAAGTAGTTATCATAAATTGTAGTATGTTCAGTCAGAAGTCTAGAATTAACTGAAATGGCTAATAAATCTTTTCTTCAAAGTATGTTTTTTTTTTAGGGGGGATGGGGTAATATAGTGTTATTAAGTTCTGTATTCGGGAGCTATTTATGTTCAACACATCTGTATCTTCTTTCAACTAGGTGGACTTTGCAAACAGGTATGTTGGTGGTGGAGTCACAGGGCATGGACTTGTTCAGGAAGAAATCAGGTTCATCATCAACGCAGAGCTCATTGTCTCTCGCCTCTTTACTGAAGCTCTGGACCACAACGAATGCCTCATCATCACAGGTGTGTTGTTCTTCTGTCACACACACTCACACTTTTCTTAGAAAACACAATGTTCAGATAGGCCTCATAAGTTCGATTTCTCGTCTTCATTGGTAAGATCTGGATAACACTTTTGTGTTTATTTTTTTGACTCATTGTCATGAGTACATTTTCAGCTTACCTCTGCCTCTTAGTTTCAGTTGTTCATTTAAAAAACAAAGATACCCTTATCCACATTGGCAATGTCTCTGAAAATCCACCCGCACTGTAAAAATCGACCTCAGTCCCGGTGTAGTGGGTTTTGTGTGACGCCATGTTGTCTTCTCTGAAACTCTCATCTCTTATAAGTGACCTTCATTGGTTAGTCACCGGCTCTCTCCTTGCGTCCCATCATTCGCCGCCCTCCCTCTTCCCTCCTCCTCCTGTGCACTTAACATTATTACATTTGGACAGAAAGGAATTTATAGCCGAACTAAGGTCATTGCTTCACTAATGGAATGGACCAATTGCGCTATAGATGAATTAAAACTGGCAGAAGATTCCTTGCATGCAGTATTTCCTCTGGTCTTGATGTCTGAACTCTCTTTTTCCCTCTGTTTTTCTCTTTTGTGTCAAGTTCTTCATATTTTCTATTCTTTCAAAGTCCCAGCATGAGTCTTAAAAAGCATTTGGAACTTAAACCAAACGTTACTTTAGAGATAAAGGGCTCATTTAAATGCAAGTGTCTGAAGGGAAGGGCATTAGATCGGAAGAGATGCCAGATGTAATCTAGTGATGGAACCTCCATGGCAGGATGCTGTCATGGATATTTGCTAGAGTAAATTGGTTTAAGGTGAAGGAGGAGGTCGGCCTAGTTGATGGATGCAGTGATATGTGTTGTCCGATCTTTGACGTAAGGAGTTGCTGCTGTTGTTTAAAGCACTTAATTCAACTTCCTAGAGTTGCGGGCGCATGTACAATAAATGTTAGTTTGTTGATCCTTCCAAGGTTCTACAAATGGATGAATACTTTCTTTAAATGGGCCCCTCAGGTAGTCAAAGGATAGCATCACAGCTGGCCTCCCTAAGCCCCGATATCCTACCAGTGGATTAGATAGATGAAGCTAATGTGTTGTTAACAATGGTTCATTTCATGCTTTAGACACCAAAAAGGTCGGTTTATTCTTTTCACTCTCTTTCTTCTTAGTATTACGGAAAGCTTTTAATTTCAAACCCCAAAAGCAGATTAGTTATTAAATCAATGGGCCTAATTTATGGCAATTCAATAAAAGCTGATACTCTGTACTCACATGGGGAGCATAGAAAGCACTAAATCAGATTTAGGAAGTAAGGCACTGAGGCAGATTTAAGCCCGCTGTGTGCTCTGACTGCTGAGCGCTGAATAACATCATTTGCGCTCTGACTGTGTTGTCCTACAGGAACAGAGCAGTACAGCAAATACGCTGGCTACGCAGAGAGCTATAAATGGGTGTGTAGCCACAACGACGAGACGCCCAGGTACTTGTTTTTTGTGTTTCCCTTACTCTGATCATTTAAAAAAAAAAAAGTGTGAGAACTGAGTGTGTTTAAATGACCCCCTTTACCGGTTCCTTTCCAGGGACGACTGGCAGAGGAGGTGTACAGAGATTGTTGCCATAGACGCTCTGAAATACAAGCATTTCCTAGAGCAATTTCTCCCTGAGAAGATAACTAGAGAACTCAACAAGGTGAGGCCAAGTGTTGCTGACTAACATCTAGACGTGCAATTCTCATTTTGTTGGAGTGTTTGTTAAAAATGGAAATCCTGCAGATGAAAAATGTTAGTCTTTGTGATGACCTTGTCAGGTACCACTGGCAAAGATAAAAACTCTCTTACCGCATTTCAAAATGCCTGAACTTCTATCGTCATTCAGCTTGAGACATCAGGGTTGTGTCTGTTAACTGATTTGGACATAAATGCATTCATAGAGATCATAGAAAATGATAAGTCTGAGACTTTTCTTCTCCTAATGCACACTCCCCTCCTGACTGTGCGCTCCTCCCAGGCATACTGCGGATTCCATCGAAATAATGCCAACACGAAGCACCTCTCTGCAATAGCAACAGGCAACTGGGGCTGTGGAGCCTTTGGTGGAGACACACGACTTAAAGGTACCTTTGACTGAATTAAATACATTTTTAGCTGATAGAAACTGTGACGTCAACAGGCCTAGTGCCAAGACTGATGCACGGTACTATATGTGAAAAACAGAAGTAGATTCTGGAGCAGCAGGTAAACTTCTCGGTTCTCAAAGCTCCCACTACTTGCTGAAGGAATCCTGCCATGTCTGATGGAAGGCATCTCCAGCCCTTTCAGTCAGTTAGGGGCTCTCCCAGGGTGTCACTCCCTTTCCTTGTCATCATTTATTGATCCGCTAACTCACATTTATGTTTTCCATTAAAATGGCAATTGATTATAGGTAAGGGAGACCGTTAATCATAGCTGATGTATTTGTCTGTGGGCCAGCACAAACATCGCTCTTCATAAGTGGGGGACGCTTACTGTCCACCTGTGTGGACCAGACCAGCCGGCTTCTCCAGCCATTGATGGTACATAACGTAATTCATGTGTGGGAACCATTTGTTGTTAATCAATTGTGTAACACTGTTATATTTACACTCTACAAATGACAAACTAAAGCATTCATTGCCTCTTCACTATGCTGGGAATAGATCAGCTGGTCTCCACTAAGTCCCAGAGGAAAATATTAGCTTCTGGGGCCTTGCCTACAAGCCCTCCAATTTGCATAGCTGGTATTTTTAGGCAGTAATAACTGTATTTTACTTTAAAATCCTGGAGGTGACATGAGATAAGGCAGTTACACAAGATTAAGCTGTTGTATTGTTTTGGAGATTACCGGCCTTGTGCGAATGATTTGGTTTCTTTGTGTGTTCATTAAACAGAAATCTATAACCACTCTGTTGAATATTTAAAAACCTGAAGACTGACTGATGTTTTGCACGGCTTTTTTTTCAGGGGTGTATAATTTACTGTTCTGATACAAATTGCCCCTGTCAGTCTTGTTCCGTTCTGCCAGAAGCTGCACCTCATCTGGCTTGTTGACCAATCACTTAGTTCACTGTTGCTTTCGCTGGTCAATAACACCTTTATACTTTCACTGTGAAACTAATGTTTTTGATACAGTTAAATTGTAGTGCGAGTCTCCATCTTTGTCCTTCAGCTCTGATCCAGTTAATGGCAGCAGCAGAATCTGGGAGAGACGTGGCGTATTTCACTTTCGGAGACCCTCACCTTATGAGGGATGTTCACGAAATGCACTCTTTCCTTACTGGAAGACAAGTCACCGTTGGTAAGAGCCATTAATCATAATTAATTCTCAAAGATAAGGAAAATTAAACGTGGTTACTGAATGTTTTTTATTTGAAATGTAAAGGTTTTGAACACGAATGGCACTCCTTTATGTGTAGGAGTTAAAAACTGAAAGCTCTTTTACCATTATTGGGACCAGTTCCTAATATTTGGTCAAATGATGTTTGCCAGCAAATATTTCTTATTGCCTAATCTATTGCCTGATGACACATTTGCCATGTTTTGTATTGGGCTTTTTCTACCTGCTTATTAACAAGGTGATGCACAGCATTCTGAACAAGTCCTACTGTTGTATATTCAGTCTGACTCCCAAAAAGACTGTGGCTTGTCTGAGTAGTGCTCAGCAGTCAAACCTGTACATAAAGAATAAGAATGATGACATCAGCCACCGTTGGAACAAAAACGTGGGACTCCTCAGGCTTTTACACCACACAGAGGTCGTCCTTGTTAGCGTCACTACAGGGACAGTGCACATATAAATAACGGGACGCAAGTTCTTCCACCTTATGGGACATTGCTTGCTCCTCAGCCCATCCATTCCGCCTCAGCCGCAGAGTGGATTACTGCCTGAACTGACCCCAGCCTCGCCTCTCCCCTCCCCCTCTTTTCATTTTTCTTGCGCTGACATTTATTGTAGCCTTTCAGAGAAATTCCCCCTCAAGCCATCCATTTCCTAAAGTGGAGCTACAGAGAAAGAAAGAAAAAAGCTAACGGCATGTGTGTGTATTAGATTTATAAATGAGCCCATACGAGCATTCCTTTTTATTTTTTCTGCCGTAGTTCCAGTCTTCGTTTCATTCTTTGTGGCGACCTGTTTGTACTCTTTCTCTCCTTTTCTCAAACGCTTTTCTTTTTTTTCCCCCATAAATCTTTGTTGCCTGCCACTGTCTCACTTCCCTGACGCCCTGTCTCCACTGCTCTCTCTTCCCAACCCAGGTCAGCTTTACAGACTTTTGAAGCTCTACTTCAACGAGGAGTGCAGCGACTGCCACACACCCGCGACTAAAGACAGTCTCTACAGTTTCATCCATAAAAAAGTCTCCACCACCTCAACCTCTGAGACCTCAGGCGCCGCTAAGAATTCTGGGATGCCACCTGTGACATCAGATTGTCATTAAAAGGGGGAAGGACTATAATTAATACCCCTCCCTCCTCCTCCTCCTCCACCTTCTGCTGTCTCTCTCTTTCTATGTCTGTAAGGGAGACCCCAGGTTCACAAACTTCAGTGTGCAACAGTCTTACAATCACTTATCTAAAACACAGCCACTCCCTTTAAGTTTGTGATCCAAACACACAAACTACCAAAACACAGTTTTGCCTTTGTCACTGGTGGCATCATAGGAGCCTCATAGTACAAGACTTATAGCAATAGTAAATCCTGGTTGCTGTTAGAGGCCTTTATTTACTCTAAGTACTACGTTGAAGTCTTTTTATTTTAATACACACTATGAATATTGCCAAATATCCATCATATGCATGGTTTTTAACACTTTTCACTGATGATATTCCGGGATCTTATGCTGTCTATTTCATCTTATGCTGTGTTGGGTTTCTTTTTTCTCTTTGGTAAGAGTTGTATTCTCTGTTTACCATGGCAGGCTGTGGAGAGCTTCCTGAATACAGAGAGATGATGAGATGACTGAATATAGTCTATGCATGGAGTGCATTTATTAATCAGTATTCAACAAAAAAATATATGCTGAGCTTTTCTATCTTATAAGACGTGTAGGTTCAACATACATGTCGCCCATAAAAGATGTTTTATTTAGTCAAATAATTTGTCAGTACTATGAGGATAGTCTGAGATGAAACATACAGCAAATGTATGGTCTGTCACATAGGACTTTTATTATGTTTCCAGTAATCTCTACATTTTCAAATATAATCAGTGCTAAGCACAGTATTAATACTGTATATACAAAAAGATGGGGGAGCAGGTGAAGAATTGCATGAAAATCAGTATTTTGGTTTAACCTTTCTCCACATTTCCTTTGAAGATCTGATTATGATTTTCTATTAATTACTGTATTTTCTGACTGTGAGTTTCATTGAATGTTGATATCTAGTCTAGAATAAATGCTGTAAATTGATTGAATAGAACTGTTCCTTAGGGGTTTTAGGTTGTACGGTTTTTATTATAATTTCTTAAATAAAGCATATCCTGTTTAAGAAGATGCATGTCTCTGCTTTAATCAATGAGGTTTACAACCTAAAGCTAAATAAATGTGGGATTTTAGGTCATGTTATGTAACAACCTGAAAGTCATGTGCACTGTTGTTAGCATGCAAAAGGCTGCAGTAAAAATCTTTTCATGCAACCTTTTGTCTTCATCTGAGAAATTTAGATTCTGTTTGTTCTGAAGTCTTGGGGTCACTAATTTATCACTTCCTGTCATGAAATCATAAATTATGTAATCATTACAAATGTGATTGATTCTTGTGATAGCATGTGTACCTAGGGCTCTCAGAAAAATATGAATCCGCCTTCAGACATGCTTTATTAGATGAATTAGGGTTTCTAAATAACCTCATGACGTCTACTTCCATAAATGGTGTGTAGGCTTGGCAGGGGTAAGTGGATTACACATTACCCGCCTCTCTCCTGCTTTGTACTCAGATCTGCATTGACCAAACAAGCTGTGGAGTCATGGAAAAAGTCAGTTCGGCTTGACAGAGCCTATAGCTGAGGTCAGCTTTGGAAATGGCTTGAAGCCTGATGTCCACTTTATTTAGATTAACCGGTTTTGTTAAATGAAAGGCTTATTTGTACATTGCATTGAGTTAACGTGTGATGCATCCTGCAAATGAATTACAGTGATTTGCTACATGGGTGATGCATTTAAACCGTTTTCTGCCTTTTTGTACTTGTGTACGTGTCAACAGAAAGTGATGTAACAACTTTTCACACAGTTAATTTCAGAGAACATACACAACAAAAAGACACAAAACAGCTAATTCCGTTCTGTTCCCCTATAGTGATGTAATCATTCTAAATAGGATGTTTTTCAGCATCTTGCCTGTAATGTTGCCCAGCGGCACAGTTCTTTTTGCCGCTGAACATCATTAATAAAATGCCAAAAAGCAGCTGGTCTTCATTCCATCTTTGTCGATCAGCGAGGCCTCTGCAACAAAGTGGCATTTCAGCTGATAATTGCCTGATTCCTGCATTCTGCAAGTCAGCTGGAGAGCAGCCGGCCCAGATGCAAATGAAAGAGCTGATGGGACAACAGTTTTTGTTGTTTTAAAAAAAGTGACACAGCTATGGTTGATGGGTAAATAACATTGGTATTGTGAATTCTCTTATATTTAAAACTATGCTCCTCTGTATGTGATTTGTGCCGTCTCAGTTTTTAGCCCTCTCATTGATGTCTCTGTCATGATTAATAATTCTCTTCGATATGTGCTTGCAAGTGTGAATGATGAAACCCTAGATGGGGAGTAAAGTAGGGTAGGAGAGGGGGGAGAATAAAGATGCCGGAGGGAGGGGACGGGCAATTATCTTATTGTTTAACCCACTGAAGGTAAAGGCCCATCAATCTGCAAGCACTTGCTCAAATGACTCATGTTCAGCCTCTATAAAAGTTTAATTGGCTCATATAATTAACACTGAAGGCAAAGACATATGTGGGACATGGCTTCGAAGGAAAAACGACCTGTCTCTTTGAAATGTATGTTGCCAGGCGCGTAGATGTGAACATGAGTACTCTTATTATGTGCTGCCAAGCAATGATAGATCATAATTATTCAATGCTTTCATTTTCTTGGATAAGGTATGTTTTCTCAGTTTATGTAGCTGTCAGCCATTCCAACGAAAGGCATCTCTCGCAGATAAGATGAACCTAACTGGACTGGCTATTAACTGGTCAACACCTGCCCCTGTGGATGCAGCGGGCAGCTCAGGACAGCACCACCTGACCTGCGGGGGGCGGGTGGAGCCGTGGCTTGACTTGGATCTTTGCCAACTCCCTCGTTACCTGTCCCGCTTGCGCCTCTCGGCCGGGACAGCGCTAAAGTCCAGAAGCCCTGCTGCTGCTGCTGCTGCTGCCTAAGGTAAATGGAGTTTGCACACACAAAGCTCGAGCGGCATTGTAAACCACGCACTCTATTTTGCACTGTTTGAAACGATGGGGGTGGGGGGGGGGATTATGAGGATTTATGTTGACGTGGAGGGATTAAAGGACCAGAGGGGGGAAAGCTAGGGATGTAGGACGCTGTCATCTTGGCGCTGTAGTTGGAAGAAGACTGCGCAGCATCCCGCGGTAAAAGGTGAGGCGACGTCCCGGCGTCGGTCGGGGTGATTCAGCACCAGCTGCTCCACCCTGACAGCTGGGGGCTCCGCGAGGTTTACGCGCTCCTCCAAAGCTCCCGGCAGCCCCTGGCAGCTGCAGGTTTTGCGCATAAAAACAGACGCACGGGCCTCCAGGCTGCTGTTGGCGAGCTGCGTGGCTCAATGGACGCAACTGCGATGTAGATCCAGTAGAAAGTGTACTGCTGCCCTGTTCCCAGTTGTGTAATGATGACCTCAATAAGTGGGATTTCAAGAGTTCTCCTCAAACAGATCTTTAGCTTGAGCTACTCTGATAGTTTCATTCAGGGTCTTCTTTGTAATAAAAAGACAATCTTCCATTGAAATGAATGATGAATGAATGATGTCTATGGGGTTTTACAGCCATGAGTCAGTTTCGGGTGTTAGTGGGGGTCCTGAGGGGCGGCCGGGCCGGACGGAGCCAGTTGCAGCGGGGATGTGGAGGCGCCCTGGCCAGGCTCCGGGTTGATCCCAGTAGAAGCTGCTCCTCCAGGACTGAGCCCCTCCTCCCAGCAGTGGTCAGCAGCTCCAACTATGTGGAGGAGATGTACTTTGCCTGGCTGGAGGACCATAAAAACGTCCATGAAGTAAGAGAACAGTTAGAGCTTCTTCCCTGTAAAAGACAGTAAGATTCACCCTTAAATGTAGTTAAACTAGCTAGTGATGCATTTCATATATAGTAAGTCATCTATAAGAGCATACTGCATAAATTATATTGTGCTTTTAAGATAATGTTATTTATAGATTTGCTGCCTGAGGCTTGAAGAGATACCCTGTATCTGCAGTGTCCTGGATTCCTCTCCAGCAATCCCCAATCTTGTCTCACAGTCAGCAGAATGGATCCATATTTTCCAACGTGTTTGCCCCTGTCTGGTCCTTCTCTGCGTCTTCTAGTCCTGGGATGGATTCTTCCGCAACATCCAGGCGTCCAGTCCATCTGGCGAGGCAGATGAGACACCTCCCTCCGCTCTTCTACAGGGCCGAGTGCTGTCCCACTCTCCAGACCTGGCACAGAAAGTGGTGGAGGACCACCTGGCTGTGCACTCTCTCATTAGAGCCTACCAGGTACCTCAGCTCCCCCAACCCAGCTGTGAGAAATACACACCCTGCACCCCAGCTTTTGCTTTTAAGGAAAGTTATTATGTTTACTTACCGAAATATGCATTTAAGTATTAATACTATGTCAGCATGCAGAATTAAGATGCCATCTCCCTTCAAACGCAAGTGACTATTTCTGTATATGTGTAAAACGCATCCTCTGAAATCCACTTGCCAAAGCAGATTTAAATGGCACTGAAAGCTGTTTATACGGTGCGTCCTTGAACTAAAAGGAATTTACAGTTTGTTTGTCACTGCAAGAGGTTATGCAAATTGCAAGATTAGCTCTACCTTACCCAGGCAGGCTCTTTTATTAAAACGGAAATATCAAAGAGACTACTTAAACAAAACAGGTGGTAACATTTCCCCTCGCCCTGAAATTAATTCGAGGAACTATCTGAGGGATTTATTAAATTCTGTCCTTTGGCAAGTTTGTCTCTTTTATTCCCAGCCTGCTCCCGTCCTGGTAGAAGTGTTTGTTTGTGTACACATGTAAACATGTAAGCGTTCACAGTAAGAGCGGATTTCTCTCCGAAAGGGTGACCTGATACAACAGCTCTTTGTCCTCTAACGGTTCATACTCAGCTTCCTGATGGATGCCAAATTTCGTCCTCTCACATTTTTCTATGCCCTGTTTTCTCTTCCTAATTCTGGGTGTGGTCTTCTGTACAGATTCGTGGTCACCATGTTGCCCAGTTGGACCCGCTGGGAATCCTTGATGCTGACTTGGACTCTTTTGTTCCCTCTGATCTCATTACAACCATTGACAAATTAGGTGAGACCGTTTTTTTAAAAACAAATTATGTCAACAAAACATACAGATTCAAAACACTAAATGAATTAAAAGAGAATGATTTTAATTATTTCATTCAGGTTCATCACATATAAAAAATAAAAACATTTATTCATAAAAGCAATACTTTTTAAATTGATATCCTTAGTTTTTATTGTTTCTTTGAGATGAAGACTTTGTAAAACAGTTGAGCTTCTAAATTATTACCCATGTAACACTGATACCTTCCTTATTGTTCCAGCAATTTATATATATTTCCACATTAATTCAGTTACATTTGTGAGCCCTTTAAGAGTTCTTGCAGCAGATTCATGCATACACATATTACACACTTATCTTCAGATTGCATAACTCCTCAGACCCAGTAGAAGTGGTATTTCAGTGTAAACCATCCCATCAAATTCTCCACCGAGTGCATATACGGGCAAGTCAGCCTAATGCTGTCATTAATCTCAGGCCCAGCTCTTGTACTTCTCCATTTCATTTAGTGGGCTGAGGGTTGGAGGATGCGGGATGGCCACAGAAAGCGATCGAAGTCTACAGTAATAGCGAGATCTGAGGAGAGAGAGGGAGACATTGTTTCTCTTGGTTTCTGCTATCAGTGATCAGCGTGTCAGGACATAGCATTGCATTATGTATTGTCACCAGGGCTATAGCTTCCTAATGAAAGCTAATGACAGCCTCCGTGGTTCCTTATTTGGTCAGCCGATAGTACACAAGGTTTATTCTTGGCCCTATTTGTCCTCTCCTTGTTCCTAATATGATTTGCACCTGTCTCCTCTTATGCTGTTTTCAATCTTGAGCTTGACCAGCTAGAACATAAACCTACCTGTAGTTGGATTTACTTTAGGCCTTGATTACTTTTTTGAAAAAAAAAATCACCCAAACTTTCTTTTGCCATTTCTCAATGTCATCACATCAATTAAATCAGATTTAGCTCTCGAATTTTAGAAGTTAATTCATTGCAACCCATGTTCTGAGTTTGAGGGGAGTTTAGCGCTGCTAATGATTGTTTTAATTGTCAATCAATCTTTCCGTTATTATGTTTTGATAGATAAGTTAATCATTTATTCTACGTAGTGTGAAAAATAGCCATTCAAATTCCATAGATCCCAAGGGGATATCTTCAGATTGCTAGTGTTTCTGGTATAACCGTCCAAACTGCAAGTGTACATCAATCAGCCATATATAAAAGCACTGACAAGCAAAGTTGATCAAATTAATTATCTCATTAAAAGCAAATATTTAGCCAGAATATCTTGGGTACCCCCTTAGAATCCCAAGCTGTCTCCACCTTACGTGGTCAGAGCAGTCAAATAGAAACCGTTCTCCAGCAGGACATTGAGCACCAAAGCACTTCGAAAGGTGCTCAGGCTTTATTTTTCAGATATCTGTATTTCATTTACAGTGACATAAAAGAGGCAGAATTTGTAGCAATGACAGATGTTACACATATAAGCTTGAGAAATTGCTTAGATAATTAGACATTTGTTCTTTATCTGACTGAAAAAATCAATAAATTATACAATAAAGAAGTGCTCAAATAAATCTTTCCTTGTTATTGGTAATATTGAGAATTCTTTCTATCATTTCTACTGACTTTACTGGATCTAGTCGATTAGTAAGTTTAAGATTACTAAAGATAGACTGAGGTGTTTTTTTTATAAAAAATATTTGATTGCAAGACATAAATCATGACAAATTACACTAAACACTGTTTCGTGTTGAGAATGTTTTCAAACTCTAATCGGATCATGCCCTCATGCCATGTCATTGCAGGCTTCTATGGTCTTGATGAGTCTGACTTGGATAGAAGTTTCCAGCTGCCCCCCACCAGCTTTATTGGTGGGCAACACACTACCCTTCCCCTCAAAGAAATCATACGCAGACTAGAGGTATTTGTCTCTTTACATGTATCGCATGATGAGGAATAACGATTCAATTCCAAAGGATCTTATTAATAGTTATTCAACTGTTTCTTCGTCAGACATCCTATTGTGGTCACATTGGGGTTGAGTTTATGTTTATTAACAATGTGGACCAGTGTCAGTGGATCCGTCAGAGGTTTGAGACCCCTGGAATCATGCAGTTCACCAATGCTGAGAAGAGGACGCTGCTCGCCCGCCTGATCAGATCAACACGGTCAGCATGAATGAACATCTACCGACTTATACATTTTATAAACAAAACTCTTTGGAATTAACATGCCTCCTGGGAATAATTTGTCTACTGTCTTTTGCACTTCATTACTGAATTCCCGTTTGTTTAATGCCATTAAATTATACTCATGCATAAGTCAAGGAATACGTTTACTATATGCAAGGGCACATGCTTCATTTTCATGCCATGGGACATTTATTACAGCAAAACTATCTGTTATTAATTTCAGGTTTGAGGATTTTTTGGCCAGAAAATGGTCCTCAGAGAAACGATTCGGCCTGGAGGGTTGTGAAGTTCTCATCCCTGCTCTTAAAACTATCATCGACACATCGAGTGCTGCAGGCATCGATAGTGTGATCATGGGGATGCCCCATCGGTATTATCCTGTAGACTTTCTCGCCACTCAGTTCTTCTTGTGCATATTTGTTCCTGCCTTCTTATACTCATATAGATCTGTGAACTCTTTTCAGTGGGAGGCTTAATGTCTTGGCCAATGTGATTCGCAAAGACCTCGACCAGATTTTCTGTCAGTTTGACCCCAAACTAGAGGCTGCTGATGAGGTGAGGGAGCTTTTGTGGCTTCATGAAACACCTAATACACGCAATGTTTGACTCTCTCTCTTAATGTTTATTTATATGTGTTCAGGGTTCAGGTGATGTCAAATACCACCTTGGAATGTGCCACGAGAGGATTAACCGTGGGACAGATAAGAGCATCACTCTGTCCCTCATGGCAAACCCCTCCCACCTGGAGGCAGTTGATCCAGTGGTCCAGGGTAAGACCAAAGCTGAGCAGTTCTACAGAGGGGATACTCAGGGAAAGAAGGTATGCGACCTGTTTTGTGTTAAAAAACAAATTGCTCTTATCTCCAACTTCCCACATATGGTCAACAGTAAAAATTTTGAATGTGCAGGGTATTGAAAGGTTTTTCATTTAGTTGAGTGTGTGATGTCATTTTAAGGTGATGTCCATCTTGATGCATGGAGACGCTGCTTTTGCCGGACAAGGAATTGTGTATGAGACCTTTCACCTGAGCGAGCTTCCCTCTTACACCACATATGGTACAATCCATGTGGTGGTCAATAACCAGGTACTGAATAGTTAGGTTATGGGGTTCACACAGTTATGCTGTGGATTATATATCAAGAAAACTGATGAACATTTTATTTGTGCACATGTGGATTCATGGCCGAAAATGTTGTGTCACAGATTGGCTTCACTACAGATCCCCGAGTGGCCCGCTCCTCTCCTTACCCCACCGATGTGGCCCGGGTTGTCAATGCGCCCATCTTCCACGCCAATGCAGACGACCCGGAGGCTGTCATGTACGTGTGTCGAGTGGCTGCAGAATGGAGGACCACCTTCAACAAGGATGTCGTCATTGACTTGGTCAGTCACTCTCTGCCAAGTTTTATCTTGGTTCACAGCAGCGTGTCGCCTGTTTTTTTTTTTAAAGATTTGCATTTGAACAGGTTTGTTACAGACGTTTCGGCCACAATGAAATGGATGAGCCCATGTTCACCCAGCCGCTGATGTACAAGCAGATCCGTCGGCAAGAGCATGTACTGAAAAAATACTCTGACAAGCTGATTGCAGATGGAGTGGTGACACTGCAGGAATTTGAGGTCTGTGATCTAATACTGTTTCTTTTCTGGTAGATGTACTGTCCAGCTCATGCTACTGTTTTATCTGTTATATCATCATGTGCTGGGTCGCGTCCATTAAATCACACTTTGATATTATCCAAGCCTTCAAGAAAAAATATGTTGTGCCGGCACTGCTGTGTTTGAGTTTCAGTTTACTGCCTCACCTCAATCATCTAGCCATGCACTCCCTCATATACAGTGTATATTGTGCAGTGAAGTTGAAATACGCTTCCAATTTAGCTGCCATTCAATGAAACTGCTAATGGTCTTCATCCAAAATTAGAAACTTTGACCACATCCATTTGGAGACCTTTTTTTATCCTAAGTGTCAGAAAGCAACTCTGGTGTGCTACACACCCCTCAGCTTTTGATGGATACTGTTTTTTGTTGCGTGCCCAGCTGCTTTGACTCTTTCAGAAGTCCCATTTGTATAATAGCACAACAATTACTGCTACTGCAGACAGATTTCCCTCTTTTTTATGTCTCTCTCTGTCAGGATTTAATTACAATATCAGAAAATAATGCCTTTTCTCTACCTGTTTACATTCTTTATTGACTCTCACAAAATTGTCTGCAGGAAGAAGTTGCCAAATATGACAAGATATGTGAGGAGGCATATACCAGCTCAAAGGATGAAAAGATCATGCACATCCGACACTGGCTTGACTCCCCCTGGCCAGGTTAATCCTTCTGTTACAATGAAAAAAAACATTCTACTTTAAATAAAAACCAAAAAACAAATTGCAACCAAACACAATTGTTTCTGTTTTGTTTCTGATGTATTTTTCTTGCTGTTTCCGTCTACTCTCTGCAGATTTCTTCACAGCTGACGGAGAACCAAAGAGCATGAGTTCCCCCCCCACAGGACTTGAAGAGGAGGTTCTGCAGCACATTGGCCAGACCGCAAGCTCAGTGCCACTGGAAGATTTCAAGATCCACCCTGGTGAGTGTGGTTTGATATTTTAAAAATTGCTTTACTTGTGCCATATTAGTTGTACATATCTAAATCTGTATATATTAGGATGGGTTTGCTATACCCTGCTGATTTGGATCATACAGCAATATTTAAGGTTGTCAGGATGTGTTTTTTTGTTTAATATTGTTTAGGTTAATTACAGCCAGCTCAATGTGCTTTGCAAAAACTCAGCGTGCCTCTGCTTGTGTTTTCCAGGTGTGTCTCGTATCCTCCGTGGTCGAGCGGATCTGGTGAAGAATCGTCTGATGGACTGGGCTCTGGGAGAATACATGGCCTTTGGCTCGCTTCTCAAAGAAGGCATACATGTAAGACTCAGTGGTCAAGACGTCGAAAGAGGAACCTTTAGGTGAGTCTGTGAGCTCAGAGTGGGCTCAACAATGGTGTGAATCTGTTTCAGGGACGTCTTCATTAATGTTTGATTTTTTTGCCTTTCACCAAGCCTGTTAACAAAATTGATAAAGTTAACTGTTAGCTTGTTAACTGTGGTGTTTATCACAGAAGGGGACTGAAGATCAACCATCCGATATGTATTTGTTTATTTGCATTTTATATTAAATATCACACACATGAAAATATATTCAACACATGCATCCTTTAATTTATTTAAAGTAAGGAGAGAGCACAGTTCTTTTTCAAAAGTGAATATTGCTAAGCCAAAAACACACCCAGACTTCCATTGTCCCCAGTGCTCTAGCACCTGAGCTACAGGTGGCTGTTTTGTCAGGCCGTTACACCTAAAAATCTTAATTATGCTTAGGAATACCTAATGAGGGATATTCTTCCAACTATTCATTCTGAAATAGACCACGGAGGCCAGACCCCGAATAAAAAGATAACAGGCAGCCTCTTAAGATATTGAATTAAGTAACTGGGGTGTGTTGAGAATGGCACAGTGCATCTGACAGATAGAAGACGTCAGCACAGTCTCCTGGGAGCTGTGAAGCCCACATGGTGTTGTCATGGTATAGAGGGAACAAGTGACACATGAATAAAACCAGCCTCCTTTTTTCAGTGCCTGTCTCATCTGTCCCCTATCATTTCTCCAGCAGCCCATCTCCACTGACAACAAGCAACCCCCAGTTCGCAGTGACAACATGCATCATACTAACTAACCACAGGCTACAGGGCTTTTCCTCTCCCTTTACATTTACAGATGACTTGTACCTCTCTCCCTTTCATCTTATCTCTTCAGCAGGGTGAATCACCCAAATAAAAAGATGACAGGATCTCAGCATCACCTGTTGTTTTAGTGTAATACTCATTATTTGCTGTCTTTCCCTTCACATTTGCACTCTACCCCTCTTACCTCCCCTCAGAGTGTTTTCTTTCTTCTATCTACCTACAATTCTTTCACTCCCCATCACTCTGCTTCCCTTCATAGTTCCTTGGAGCTGAGCATATTGGCATGTTACAGTTGAGTGGGCATGCTTGCGTTTCTGTGATGTACGTTACAGCATAGACTAATGGATTCAGTCGTCGAATTTGGAAGGGGTGCATGTGCTGCGCTGTGCACCCCTTTCCCTGACTAATGGGGCCCCCTGGCAGAGTAAGAGTGTGTGTTTTTATGTGTGTACATGGACAAATAAAGGAAAGCCAGATAGGCATGCAGTTTAGGGGCTTTTTTAATTCTTTTTTTTTTTTAGATGAACCCATGTTTTCCTTTAATTCTTTTCTCTTTTGAAACAAACTGTAATTGAAACTTTCTGCTAAAATGCTATCAATAATGTTTATTCATAAAAGCTTTGCTTAGTGAGCGACAATTTTTCTTATAATCAGCCTAAACATTATGTGCTTTCATTACTTCCAAATTATAAATTATATTATTTGAAGGTGTCAGATCCTGACAATCGTCATCTTGGATATGATTGTCACTTTCTGTTTGATCATTTCGATTATCTCCTACAATTCCTCTTCCTTAGCATTACATAAACCACAGAAGTGTGTGTGTGTGTTTGAATAAATGCATGTGTGTAGATGTGAAGTTAAAGGAGTGAAAGTGATTGTCTGATCCGGTTGGTTTTGAAGCCTGAATCCCTCCTCGGAGTAAGTGCAACAGCAGAGCTTCTTACTGCCAGGCTCTTTGCTCCCAGCCACTCTTGTTGAGCCTCACACTGACTGAGGAACAAAAGAGAGGAGAGCACATTAAGTGTATTCACGAGCTTCAGTGTGTGCAGCAGCGGGGAGCACAGACCTTTTGTTTTCACCTTCAGCATGAGAGCAGCTTAGAGTTTGAACAGTCTTGTTCTATGGCGCTGTCAGTCCAAAGTTATACACACCACTATTTGTCAGATCAGAAAACTTTTTTTCAGTAAAAGAAATTCAGGTGTCTTTGAGAAAACCACCATCAAAATTACATGTTTTTTTTTAATGATGCATAGCTTCGTTGTGGTCCTTTTATCAGGCAATCTTGATTGGTTGAATGTTACACACCTGAATATGTTATTTTTATAATTATAATGAGTGTGAAAGTTACAGAATATGGAAAGCTTTAGAAACTTCGAGTTGGAACTCTTGGTCAAACTTAATCTATTAAATTTCCTTGATATATCTCAGTAATAAATTATAATTGATTTATCTTTTAACTTGAAAATCCCGTAACGATCCTTGCACAAATTTTTTGGAGGTCTCAGTTATTGTCTGTACCTGCCTCAAAGATGTTCAGGGTTCTCTTTTAAAAAGCCTGGTGAATGGTCCCTGAAGACTACTTAAACAGAAAAGAAAACTAATGCTGAGAACATGGTAACTTTAGACATTCCTCATAGCAGTACTGTGTTGTGTAAAGTATCTCAGAGCAGGAGGCAAGGCTGCAATGTAATCCGTCATTTCTGTGCCAGTGCTCAGTGCCACTTCCTGTCTTGTGGTTTGCAGTCACCGTCACCATATTCTTCATGATCAAGAGGTGGACAAACGTACCTGTGTTCCTATGAACCACCTGTGGGCCAACCAGGCTCCTTACACTGTGTGCAACAGCTCCTTATCAGAGTATGGAGTTTTAGGTAAGCCTGATGGACCTTTGGATTCTTCACTGTCTTATCTTCTTGCGTGGTGTGATGATGATCAATGTGATGTTAGGTTTTGAGCTTGGATTTGCCATGGCCAATCCAAATGCCCTAATACTATGGGAGGCCCAATTTGGAGACTTCCACAACACAGCTCAGTGCATCATCGACCAGTTCATCAGCTCGGGCCAGGCCAAGTGGGTTCGCAACAATGGCATTGTCCTACTCCTCCCCCACGGAATGGAGGGAATGGTGAGAACCTAACAACAGTCAAGTTTCTCACAACCACTATCACTCACATGGGATTAAATTGTTCAGTTACATCTTTCATTTAATCATCATCTTACTTTTTGTCCTCAGGGTCCAGAGCATTCCTCAGCTCGGCCTGAACGCTTCCTGCAGATGAGTAAAGACGATCCAGATCACTTTCCTGTATGTTCACATGTACAGTTTACTTTATGGGTCAAATGATTATAGAGATGTTTTTTCTAATGATTCCTGTCACAGGTGAGGTCATTACAGAGCGTTCAGTCCAAAGTGGACTGTAGCTAAGATCCAGTAGCGTCTTGATATATTGTCTATGCAGATGTCATGACCACTTAAGTAACAGCTTGATTTGTGAATGCCAATTCGTTTTGATCTGAAAATCAGCTTAATCAGAGTAAATTGAAGTGTTCAGCTGCAACACATATTCCCAAAAGTCACCTTTTAGGTGGGAAGATCAAAGGAAGCTGCAACCATAATGGGCCAAATCAGCAGAAGCTCAGCAGATCTGAATTTGAACTGGGAATTATGGATCAAACTATTAGTTTGTGCATGTTAGGGGACAGAGAATGATTCAGTGCACTGAGGCGTTGACCTGTGCATACTCAGTAACACTTTCAAATCTGTTTTTTTGAAGGAGCTCAGTGGAGATTTTGAGGTAAAGCAGCTGCATGACTGTAACTGGATTGTGGTCAACTGCTCCACGCCTGCTAACTTCTGTCATGTGCTCAGACGGCAGATTCTGCTGCCATTCAGAAAACCGGTAAACTGTGACATCATCATTTCTTCAATATATTGTCTCACGTACACAGCTCCAGTTTGAAGCTTTCATGTAATGGTTGTTTTTTTTATTTAAATGGTTACTTTGATTGCTTTTAAATGACAGATCTAAGTCTAACTGTGGCAGTACTTTAATAAGTTGCACATCAGCACTAGATCATCTGAATTTTTTTTTTCCTCCTATTATGATTTGAAAAATGTCTGAAATGTGTAAAACCTAGCCTTATATGTATTTTGATAGCTGTGTTTTATCAAGTAGACACAGCTGTGGGTTGAAAAAAGAATAATGGTTTGGAAAGCCAGACACAGATCAACAAAATGCATTGTCTTTATTCTTCAGTGCCTCCTAAGCATAACTTGTTTGGATATAAAGTTTGGAAGTGTGAAGCATTTAGTTTTTTCTTCGTACATGCACAGCTCTATTTCAGTTTCACAGTTTTCTGCCAGTCTTAACTGATCCCTAGCTGCTCATAAATACAATGCTTTACTAAGCATGAGAAAATTACTCCAGAGCAAATTAGTGATTGGGCCAAGAGGGAATGATATTGTTGTTTTTTTCCATAAAATCCTGTGAAATTCTCTACTTGGTTGACTGAGCACAAACAGATTTATTTATTTGTCTGTTAAAGCAATGCTCTGCTGTCCCAGTGCTGACGGGGCTTGCTATATGTTTCCAACAAATTAGCGTGAAAAGACATTAAAAAAAAGTTTTATCTCTAGAGTTTTTTCTGTGCACACAATGAAGATGCGGATGACAGGATCAATCTGTTGTTTGTCACTTACTCAAAGTTTCTTTTCTTTCAAACAGCTAATTATTTTCACTCCGAAATCTCTGCTGAGGCACCCTGATGCAAGGTCAAGTTTTGATGACCTCGCAGAAGGTCTAGCTTTACACTTTTCCCTATAACTGACATAACAATAGTTAATGAGTATTTTCTTTTGCAAAGTTACCATATTCCTTTTCTGCAGGCACAAGATTCAAGAGATTAATTCCTGATAATGGCCCTGCCAGTCAAAGCCCAGGTCATGTGAAGAGGGTCATCTTTTGCACCGGAAAAGTGTTCTATGAACTGGTGAAAGAGAGGAAACAGCAAGGCCTGGAGAGAAATGTTGCCATCGTCAGACTAGAGCAGGTTTTTAAAGAATCTTTTGTCTTTCTCAACTCATCAAACATTGTTGAAATTCTGTATTCTGGTAATAAAATGAACTCCTCTCCATAAGATATCTCCATTCCCATTTGACCTGGTCAAAGAGGAGGTAGAGAAATACACCGATGCTGAGCTGGTATGGTGTCAAGAGGAACACAAGAACATGGGTTATTATGATTATGTCCGACCACGTTTCCTCACCGTGGTAGCCAACAGGAGGCCCATTTGGTAAGTGCTATTCTTCTGTACATAGAACCACGGAAATGATTTAAGATCTTATGAGTGAAGACAAACAAGGTGTTTGTTTCAGGTACGTGGGACGAGACCCTGCAGCTGCACCTGCAACAGGAAACAAGTCCACCCACTTCACTGAGCTGAAGAGGTTTATGGACGCTGCTTTCAACCTGAACAATTTCCAAAATAAGAATATCTAATCTAAAGATCACTTTTACAGTCCGTTTAGTCATCTGGTTTAGAGTGGTAGGATAGTTCACTTACAATCTCACTCCAGAAGTGAGTTTTGAGGCTGTCACTGAGAAATTCAAGTGTACTTTAGATGGATCCAATACTTCTATTCTAAATATCCATAAAGATTTACTATGTTTGGATAGAATTTTGCAGAACCTACAAGAGGCATATCTCACGTACGAAAATAGTAATAATATTGGATCACATCAGTAGGTTTATTGCCTGCATTTGCCTGCTACCTTTGCTGTTAGAAAAGGACTGTATTTATTGTCACACCTCACTTCACCGGCAGACATCAGCCAGCTGGCACAGAGACTTCCAGCCATGTTTTCTTCTTGGGACATATTGCTTAGTTTCGTCTGTGGAGGCTCACAGCAAACACAAACAAGCACACAGCTTAGCCTTGGACGCTTTGAGAAGCGTACTGATGCTTGGTTGTCATATTCAAATCCCCAGGTATTAACAGAATTGATAGTGGTTACCATTGTGCTTAGGAAGCCCCATAGGATTATACCTCCTGTTGAACTATGCAGTAACTTACCTTATAGCTGGAGATTTAAAGGGAAGTGTTAAAAACATAAGTATGCATATTTAAATACTCCAAAATGTTTTAATTTAGATATTTGAATATTTTTAGAAGCTTGTTAATGGAATAAATACTGTCTTATATTGAAAAGGGTACATAAACATCTGTAGAACTTTGTAGATTTGCACAATCATGAAATATTAAAACAATAAAATATTAAATTAAACTGTTTGAACGGTTTTGTTTAAATACTTCACTGCAGTGAACATTTAATTTTTTTAATGTATTATTAGAATAAATGCATACAGAAAGAAAAAAGACCAGGTCAATATGACGAAGCCTTTACACAACACATTTCCTCCCCAAGCTGCTTCAACCGGGTTTAACATCCATCTCATGATATATCTTCCCAACCGGTGACATGTCAGGTGGAAGGCCTACTGCATGCTACTCAAGATTAATATGTATTTCTTAGATGGTCTTCCACCTTGTACTTTTTTTTAAGCTGCCCTTTCCTTGTTAAACTAACTTGAAAGGGTCCCTGTAAAATCAGTCCCTACACATTCTTCCTCCTTTTCCTAAAATATTTGGCCATTCTGATTACAGCTAGTCTGCTTCTCAATTCTTCTTGTAAAACAGTAGATCCCTTCCTCTGTAGCTCCTCTCCAGTGCTTTCTTAGATTTCTTCTTTCATTCACCAATTTCTCAATTTCTGCTTGCCAGGTAGACTTAATGAAATGTACTCTCTCAACCATCTTTCGGTCTTGAACCCCAGATCCTTCTATCTACACCATAGGAGTAAATTATATCCCCCATGCTCTGGCTGACCCAAATGTAAAATGCATTTATTTATTATTGATTAAAAAACATGTAAACAGGTTGCACTTGGCCAACACATACATACATACATACATGGACTTAGAGGTGTACAAAAAAAATCCAAACTCATTTATTTTTCTCATTTTTATTTTGAACATTGAATCTGCAGAAAACAACATGACAACAGCAATCAACACAGTTCACCAAAATACAACAGTTGGTTTTCCTGGCTGGGATGTGGAAAATCATTCCTGTCATGAATCTCCACAATGGATCAGTCCTGAGTGATTGCTTAATATTCTCCACTGTTGCAGTGATGCTCTGAAGCCCGCATCATGATGAAGTCCTCTGCAGCATCATGTTCCATGAACTGAAAAAGTCTTACTGTGGCATCTACACGCAATACTTGATTTATACCAAACCATCTCAGCAAATGCTGAGATACACGGCAATGTATTTGACAGGATTTGACAATTAAGGGCCAACGTTGTGTGCATGGGTGGGACTGTGTGTAGATGCATACCTATCAAGAACTTTGTGGACACAGTCCTTGGTGTTCCTACCTAAATATCTGTCCATTGGCAGCAGCTGTTGGAATAAAGCCTTGCTACAGTTGACTGACACTCCTTCTGTTCTGTTCTCCAGAACAGAAGAGAATAGAAAATAATACTCCATGCATTACCCATGGGCAAGATTCAGATTATTTGGCAGATCACAATTCATATATTTACAGACCTGTGTATATAAAACAAACAGAAATGTGATTAAGAACATGGCAGCACCGTCTTTGGTGTCTTTGGTGTCTTTGGTGTCTTTGGTGTCTTTGTCTCCTGTCAGCTGTCTTTAACGTGGTCTTTTCCTTGTTGTCAAATATCCTATTCACAGCAGTTAGGCTGTGAATAGGATATCTTAGGTGCCTAAGACAGGCTAGGCTAAATTTTAATTGAAAAGCCCCCATAGCACCAGATATATCTGGTTTAATTTGGGCCATACGGAACATAACAGAACAGAATAGAACGGAACAGAACAGAATTTAAACAGAACAGAACAGAACAGAACTGAACTGAACAGAACTGAACAGAATAGAACAGAATAGAACAGAATAGAATAGAATAGAATAGAATAGAATAGAATAGAATAGACACCCGTGGTTCTTTCTCCTCATCCATGGCAGCACCTTTGGTGTCTTTGGACTTCTGATTACCCCAGAAGAACCTAGAGTGATGCAGGTGCATGAAAAAAATGTCAATGTATTAAAAATGTAACTTGTGGATAATCACATGTCTTTTCATTTGATGGTGGTACTTGTTTTGTTGTTAGTTTGTTGTTGATTGTCTTGTCTTCTCTGAAAAAATGTTCTGGGTTCCTGTGGCTTAAATCTTCCATTGGGGTGAGTCAGTGAAAGAGTAAACCAGGAAAGGCGCATTTAAATGCTTGTTGCGCAGCTGCTGGTGTTCTGGTGGAAGGTTCATCATGCATCTCTCACTGTAACGCCTTGATAGAAGTCCAATGTTCTCTTGACGGTGTTTAATTAAACGGGTCTCATTGGTGGACATTCTGGGCAATCGCTCATTTGTGACCATGCAGTTATAACCACCACCCATTTCATACTGAAGAGGGCAAAGTTTTCCTGTGCACTTGCCCAAGATGTAATTCCTATTCCTCTCCTTGGCGCTTACATCTAAGACACACTTGGTCTCAATGGTGGTCTGTAGCTTTCTTTTTTCTTCTGCTTCTCTTGCAGCCTTCAAAGCAGCTTGCTGTGCATCCCTCTTCTTCTTCTCCTCAGCAGCTTCTCGTTTCTTTGCTGCTTCGGCTGCACTGGAGTTTTGAACTGCAATGCTGACTTCCTTCAATTTAAGGGCCTTTTCCTTTTCTTTGACCAGTTTAGTCTTTTCCAAGGGATTCAGGACTATGAATGGCCCATTTAAATGTTTTTTGTGCTGCTGATGGTGTATTGGTGGAAGGTTCAACCTGCTTTTCTCGCTGCAACGCCCCGTCAGGAGTCCACTTTTCTCTTGACGCCGTTTAATTAAACGGGTCTCCTTGGTGGACATTCTGGGCAATGGTTCGTTCGTTTGACAGTCGTTGTAACCATCATCCATCCTATCCATAAGAAGACCAGGACCTGCTGTGCTTTTAGCCAAAATTTTATCCACTTTCTTCTCCCTGAGCCCTTCATCTAGCAGACATCTCCTCTGAATGGTTCTCTGTATCTTGCGGTTCTCTTCAGCTTCTTTGGCAGCCTTCAGAACAGCTAGCTGTTCATACCTCTTCTTCTGCTCTTCAACTTTTCGTTTCTTAGCTGCTGCAATTACATTGAAGTTGTGAACTGCAATGCTTTCTTCCTTCTTTTCAAGAGCCATTTCCTTTTGTTTGACATATTTAATCTTCTCAAAGGCCTTCTGGGCCACAATCCATTCACGTTCTTTCATTTTTTCTTCGACCTCCTCCTTCATTCTATTTTTTGCCTGAATTTTTCTAAATGCCATCAAGGATTGGAGGTCTGCCACCTCTTTTTCCCTCTTCTCTCTCTTCTGATTTTCAATCTTAGTTCTATATGTTCTCAGATTAATCAGTTCTTGCTGTTTTTTTACAGCTTGCATGGCAGCTTGCTCCTTCTGCATAATTTCCAGTTTGCGGGACACTAGCTCTGTTCTCATTTGACGGAGTCTCACCACTTCATGGGGCGATTTTGGCCTCAATTGCGCTTCCATTTCTCTAATCTGTTCTGCAGATTGGACTTCCAATTCTTTTTTTGTTTCTTGGTCACGGGTGTTCTGAAATCCACTCGTTAATCCTTTCTTCTTTTGTTTAGGTATTATCATGTCTTGTTCAGTTTTGTCCTCGCGATGTTGCTGGAACACAACTTTTCCTCTTTTATCTCTTCTTTTCTCCTCTCCCTTCCTAATTTCAGCAATCTCATTTTTTCCCCGGCTTTGTTCACTCAGCTGCAGAGCGCGACCTTGAATGTGAACTTTATTCGGCCTAACTTTTTCCACCTGTCTACCTGTTTCTGAACATTCTGACAGAATTCTTTCTTTCTGTCTTTTCAGTTCCATCATGGCGTAGTTAGTCTGTTGAACCTGCGCCGCGTGGTATGCATGGGCAAATTTTCTGCCACATCGAAGAACTCTGTCATATTCCCCCTGTTCTTTCTTTAAATCCATCATTTCTTTAGAAAAATTGTTGATACAATCATCAACTTTCTTAACAGAATGCCAGTTTGTCAGCTTTGGTGCTCTAATGTGATCCATGTCAAAAACAGAAGTTCGGGGCTTTGATACCAGACTGTGAAAATGCAGACTGAAAATGAGCTCTATACCTATAACTATTAAAGGTAGAATGTGACATCAATGGAATGTAATCTGTGACATCATAGACTATAATGGGGTGGGCGGGGCTATTGATGTCATCTGGGCGTGGCTAATGTTTTTTCAGAAAACCCTTATTTGGAGGTGGAGTATCTCTGCTGGTGTGGGGGGAGGGGCAGGTGGGGTGGTGCTGACCCCGGAGCAGCCCACCACGTTTCACCTGCGGGGTGAATTATTATTATTTTCTTATGAACTAATAAATGTATTCATTTGTTTGATTAATTTGTAATTTTCATTTATTTCCTTTTTTAAGGGGGAAGGTGTAGTTGAAGTGTGTGATGTGTGTCTATTTATTCATTTATTTACTTATTTATTCATTTACGTACGTATTTATTTGTTTACTTTTTTAATGTGTGTGTGTCTGATCTGAATGACTGTGACTTTGGTTTGTTCTGGTTCGGGGTTTGCTGTGCTCGCCATGGCTCCCGGGCCACCGTGTCAGTGGCGATGGGGTGTGTGCTGGCTAGCTGCCTTTGGCCGTCTGGAGTGCCTGACCGTCTTGAATGCTGTGAGGGCCTATGCCCTACAGTTTTGGGGGGTTCTTTTGGGGGGCTTCCTCAGTGGTCTTCTGCATAATGAAACAACATTTTCACTTGATTGTATCTTTTAATCTTCAATAACATAACCACAATATTTTGACAGTTATTAACACAGTGATCATCTCTTTTAAATGTCTTTTTTTTTCAAAGTTACAGATAATTCCTATTACATTTGGTTATCATACAAAAATAAATAACTTAATTTGTATATACTTTGCTTATACATTTAAGAACACACACTACCTGAATAGAAAAGTATCCATTTTGGAATCCTTATTCACTAAGGTTTTTTTTATCCATTATGTCCACAAATACATTGTGAGTTCCAGTATGTGGAAAACAACACAGTGTGATTAGGATGTTTTCGAGTGGACAGTTTTACATAATGATAAACATTGTTGGCACTGTATATCGTTTAGGACGTTGAATATTTAAAGAAAATTGCTATTTCACAATCTTAAGAAAATCATACATTAGCAACATGCATTTTTGCTCAGTCAAACATGATACATGTACAACATGATGCAGACTTGCAAATAATTTCTAAGCTTTCCTCAGCACTGGTCACCTGGTGAATAATATACTAACTTCTTTGGCTGTTGCATCTCAGTTTTGTGCAATAAAACAATGAAAACCATACATTTAGTTCAAATGATTTACCAACAATCTTTGTCATTATTTCTCATTTGCTGCTGCATATTGGCTCCATTCTGTGATGACAGCCATATATTTGCTCTATAAGAAGAAATAATGTGAGTATTATCTAATTCGATTAGATTTTAGCCACAAATTTTACATTCAGGAACGCAATACTACAACACAACATTTCGTATCACAGTTACATTGTGCATTTTGGGAGTAACCAAGGGGGAGGAACCTATTGCAGCACAGAAACAGACAAAGTAGCACCACTGCTAAAAGCATTGGCACAGAGTTTCTAATTATTTTTTCCCTATGCTTAAAGCTGCTCCCTGCGCTGGGATCTCCGCTTGGGCCTCTGCAGGATTCTTGTCTGGACTTCTCACCAGAACCTGCGGGAGTGTTTGCGGACTCTCCTTGGGGTCAGAGGGTCTCTGCTGCGTGGTGTGATTAACTTTTTGCTTGGCCTGATTAGAGCCAGAGTTGATTTTTTTGCACAGATCCCTCATGTCCAGGAGGCCCTGCACCAAGCAGTTTACAAATTCTGCTGAAGATGTCTGCGAGCTCTCACAGAAACTTGACACTGAGAAGATGATGTGGTCTGACTGAGGGTTGTAGCACGCACCGTATCCATTGGGCACCACAGGTCCATAGCAGCAGAACATCTCAGTGGTGGATGGAACCTAAGAAAGGGTAAAGAGTGCTAAATAACATTTTATTGCTATGGTCAAATATTCAGATAAGGCTAATAATGAAGAGGTGTGGTGTAACTTTGACTTTCTATTATATAATGCTTTTTGTTAACATTAAGTATTATTTAATTATTAAGTATTAAGACAGTCTAATGTTTCATGTTTCTTTTAAACCAAACTTTGTTAAACTATATATTGTAACACATCTAAACTTAGAGAAAGATTGCTCTTTGGATAATTACCAAGATCCAAATTTTCATATGTGTTGGGTTTTAAATGTTTTTTCTTGTTTTTGTCAAACGGTTGAAGAATACAATCAAGAGCATTGCGAGTGTCTGAAACTGTTTTAAAATCACCTGACTTGTAGAGAGAATGAACTGATTACTGATGAGATAGGCTTGGTCTTTGAAGATTTCTGGCTTCTCCATCTTCAGTTCGTGTGCAATTTCACGTAGTCCTAGTAAGTGATTGTCAATTGCCATCCCTGTAATTGCCTGACAGACAGATATATTTTCTATTTGTTCAGTATGTAAAAATTACAACAGAGCTCTGGAAGTTGAGAAAGGTTACCAGAATAGTGTATTTTGTCTGTGCGGTTATGGCACCTTGAAACAACTCCATCTTCTCTGCATCCTGCAAAATTCATATACCTACAGTTAATTCTGGACAATTCTGGACAATTTAACTTAGTTTATAAGCAGGTCTTAAACAGCTGTAAAAAGAAAATCCAGTCTCATTACGTAATTCAGATGCATTCTCCTTAAACGTTCATTTAACAGTGTCAGCATGTGTGTGACATCCATGTTCGAATATCTTACACTGGAGGTGTGTTTTTCATCAGTCATTGCTTTAACAAAGGCAAGAGCCTCATGTGTGGCTGAGCGAATGTTTTCCACTCGGCCTTGCTTAAAGCGACGTATGGAAGCACTCTCATAGGTTGACACCGGTCTGCCATGACACCTGCAACAGAGATAAAGCTTTTTATGGGATGCTAATCAGAAACGCTGCAGTTTTTTTTTTTTTTTTTTAACTTACCGATAGAATGCTAACTGTAGAGCTACTTGAATGTAGGCATCTGGACTCATCTTCTGCCTCTTGATAAACTCTTGTCCATAGTCTTGGAACTTGTGAACATTCATGTCTAGATTTGTCGCTAGTCTGGCCACATAGAGATAGATTTTTCCATGTGTTGAATATCATTCATTTGGTGTACTTCAGAGACTTCACAGTGAGAACAAACCTCTGGAGGTTGTCAGCAGATGAAGCGATGAGTTTGTGTATCTCTGGAGTACATTTCCAGCGAAGCCTGCGCGGTGCAGGCAGCTCGCTCACACTTGCAGCCCTGACCAGCTTTGATGGGCTGCCAGTCCTGATATCACATTGGGACGTTACACACATCCCAATGAAAAGGAAAGTACTGCCACTTCCAGTGAAATTATCGACACAAACTAGGCATTAGATAAGTTAAACTTTACTTAACAAACACAGAGACAAATTGCATAGGGAATATTTGAAAATTAAGGACTCCACATTTGACAATATCCATTAAATGTATTTTTATGCAATAGAATAAAAAAATATTGCACTTCATTTCAAGACCTGGATTTGAGGATTTTCATTATATGCTAATACATAAAACATTTAAATATTTTTTGGCTTCACATCACATGTCCAAACTTGCTCTTTCTCACATGTATTTGAGGAGATACTCTGAACACTTCACAAGGACAATTCCTTCAAAAGGCGAGTGTTCACACACAACTCCACAACAGCCATCAGCTCCTACAACAAACTGACAAAGAAAAGCTTATTTGAGTGGGATAAATCAATTAAAATGTCAGTGTTGCATAATTAAATATGATTTGATTTGCTTTATTTGAGTTTTTGAGAGACCTTTAAGCTGAAAACACAATTCAATAACCACTGTAAAATACTTAAACTAGGTTAAAAGCATCACCCTTGAAGCAGATTCAGAATAATTAGCTAAAAGCAGGATCTCTGCCTGGAATATCTGCTCTTTATTTGAAATCGCTTCCACCAAAAGTAGACACATAAAGATGATCCAGTAAAACATCTAATCTTACCCAATTCTACCATCTTTGAGTACTTATCTCTTGTTTCTTGTCAGCAAAGATACATTAAACTTAAAGTTCTTGTACACGCTATGAAAAATGCTAAAGAGACGAACAGTGCTCACTGACCTGCATTGGCTTATCATACCAGCGGTTGCCCCCATTCTTGTTTGCTCCTCCTCCATGGAGCATCAATGTGGAACGTGTGGTGTCACTAAGCTCGAGTCCGCTTGCGTCATCCAGACAGACCAGACAAAGGCAACGCTCAATCATGTCCAGGGAGTCCCTGTTGGTTGACTCTATAGGAACATAAATGGTTAAAGACACTGAGGGCCACCTGATGTTCATGAGAAAAAAGCAGATTTGTTTTCTGAGGGCACCTCTCATTAACTCTCTGCGAGACTCGGCCCATTCTGTCCGTCCATCTGAGGTGAGCAGGCCTACAGGGGGGAGACGCTCCTCCTCACTGTTGGCCATCTTGACAATCTTCTCCAGCTGCATAAGCAAGTCTCCTTCGTTCAGTCGACGAAAGTTGATCACCACGTCCAGAACAAAGAACTGGAAAGGGTTCAGGGTGGAAACAAGCCATTTTTTGTTGCACTGGATCTTTTATTTTCTTTCCAACATCTTCAAGGAATCTGAATTGCCGAAAAACATTTAAATTACAGATAAGTATTGTGTTGTTTTAAAGTATCATGGACTGTTTTGGTTAGGACTGTTTAACAGCCTAACATCAGAGAGCCATTTGGTCTCTCCTAAATCCATTCAGCATCATGAAATGTGGAACTGGTTTGTCACCTTTTCAATATGAATAATTCCGATTCTGTTCATTTTAATTTTTCATAAGCATGAGGTGTCCTGCATTTACTAAACCGACATGTCACATGTTTGATCACCATGGCAACATTCTCAACTGGTTAGTGAAGAGTGTAATTTTCTTTAAATCCCTCGAAGAAGTTTTGATTTGAGCTTTTTTTCCCCCTGAATATTTTGCTGCACGTTTGGTTTTGTGTTTCTTCAATACTGACCTGGTTTTTACAAGCCACAATGATGTGTTCAGGCTCCGGCATCACACTGCTCTCCTGGGCCACTAGGGTGTCCCTCTCAGGCCCCGGCAGTCGGTAAGATGTGAAGAGGCGATAGTACTGCTCCATACAGAGAGGGGTTCCAGCAAGCTGGCCCCGGGCGTACTCCACAGGTAAGGCACGGCTACACACAAACACAGCACCGGCAGTCATGTCAATGTGATCAAACTTACACAGTTTCCTTCATTACTGTTTAAATTCTGTCTCTACTTACGCATCAATAAGAGTCTTATACTCTAAAACCCCTGAAATTAAGTGTGCAGCAAATCTAGGAAAAAAGAAAAACACACCAAATGCAGTTATTCAATCGTTTGGGTACGCTTGTTTATGATTTGATTACAGTTAACAGGACCTGGTCTCTCAGTCCTCAGAGTGCCATGCGTAATGATCTATTTTTTCAAGATTGCATAAGGATCTGATCAGTTTTCCTATTGTCAATCAAAGTTGGACTTCATGAATATAATTTGTTATTTTAGTGAACTCCTACTGAAATAATCACAAGCTGAGTAAGAAATTAGAATACTGTCTATCAAATATGGCTTACTTTATGAGATTAGTAGAGGAACAGTGTTAAATTAAAAAAGACTGAGAGAAGGCTCTATAGTTCTGATATTGAAGTAAGTAATGGTTTCTGTCATGGCTAACACTTAAACACTACAAAGGGGCCACTGATTTGCTTCTGTAATTTTTAGCTAATACATAATGGTTTGGTGCATTGATTAATGCTGAGTATATCACAAATTCCCTTTGCATCTATTACTTCCAAAGAGTTAATTTATCAGTTTATAATGATTTATTCCCTGTTACTTGAAACATGAAATGTTTCCTCAAATTAACTTTAGATTCATGACACTGAAGAGTTATCCAAAAGAGGAAACAGTGTCACAGTTTAAGAAAAAAGGGAGGCCCTCAGTCTAACCAGTGAGTAATAGGCATGTAAAGCTCTGCTTCTGATGGAGGCAAACATTGATAAGCAATAAGAGATACAGATGATCTCATCAAACCATAAATCAACCATTAAGCAGCTAATCATGACATGCTCATTTTCACTGTGGTCTCATACCTTAATGAGTCAATGGGGGCCCTGAAGTTCTGCTGTGGAAATACTATTGCAGGACTTGAGTTGACTGGCAGAGCCAATCTGTTGTTTAGGTACATGTCATTTAGCCAGTATTCATACAACTGCAAGAGAAAACAAATGCATTTATGCTTTACACAATTTTATTGTTAGAAGCACAGCCTAATAATGAAATAAAGCAGGAGTAAAACTGGGGGGCTAAATGTACAATTAAAAAGGTTCCTTGAATCTGAATAAAACTCACACAGACTAAAGCTTTTTTTGCATTATGGACCCAGATTCTACAATTAAATAAACATCTATTTATTCTATTTTATTAAATCTTTACAGAAAAATAATAGGGATTACTTTTCATAAAAAAAAGAAATGTTGTCACCCAGTTTGCCTTTTGTTCCCTCCTCTCCTCCAGTTTGTTCTGCAGTAGCTCCCCCACTCCTCCTTCAGCTCCAAAGTGCTTCACTATTTTTTGAGTCTTGTTGAATTGTTCATCAGTGAGCAGGTGCTTCACGCACCTCAGATACATTTCCAGTGTGTCTTTCAGACTGGGAAGTGGTAGCTTCGGCAGACCCTTGTACAGCATTAAAAAAAAAAACATCAACATAATAACTACCCTTACATTTACTGTTGATCCACACCAATATGTAGAACTTCAGTTTTTATTAATCACATAATTATGTCAAAAAGGCAATCAAATTAAATAATTACCGTATCTAGATGCACCTGGCAAATATGTTATTCATCTAAACTTGACTTGAATTAAGTGTACATTTCTAGGAAATTGTTGTCTTTGAAGTGTTTTCTAATTCCTAAAAATACAGTAAGGTGTATTTCTGAATATCCTCAAATCTATTTGATTTGACAGCCTATAATTGCAAGAGTTGATTTCTTTCATGCAGATAAACAATAAATGCGAGAAAATGGAAGATATTCACATCATTGTTGTCTAAAGTGTCTTGGTCCAGAACTGGCATGGTGGCAGCACAGTGGGGCTGTTAAGCAGGTTGGTTCATAAGCCAAACTCTGTGTCCACAAAGAAAATGGGATGCCCTTAGTGTATAGAAATTCTGCAAAAAAGCTTTCATATAAATCAGTTGTTACATTCTATCTGAGAGCTAATGTATAGATGGAGATTTTAACATAAAGATAAAAAACTGTCATTGAAAAGAGATTACTGCTGTCACTGAAAAATAAAAATACACATGGCAACATTTCCATAAGCATTATCATTTCTTAAGACTGCAGTCTGACACCGGGTATTACATTCCTTAAAGTGTTCAGCCTATATTTATCATTGAAAGTGACAAACTATCCATCAGAGAAAACAAAAAAAGAATGGTTTTACTCACCAGAGAGAGAAGAGGAAAACACTGCATCTGGTCTTTAAGCAAAATGTATGTACTGGTCCATCTTTACATCAATCTTGCAGACTTTCTCTAAAATCGCACCACTTCCATCTTGTATCATTTTCTTAATCTTTCAATACCCTGCAAAGCATGAGCACAACTCTCTCACTGGCTCCAGAGAGATGCTGAGATGGTACCTCAGACTCCTACAAGCTCCTCCCAGAAGTCCTTCTATTCGCCAAGAAGTTTATTTGGCATCTCGCATCTACACTTCACTTTATTTAGACACGGACGCCTGAGACGTGTAGGTGCGTCTGATAACAAAAAGGAGGGATTGTGCGCGATCTTGCGATGGTTTCTCAACTCGCAACAGTTTTTTTCTTATCGAACAGTAATCACAAACATTTCCTCTGACTCAGTCCACCCTTTTAAAAAAAATGTGCTGACAGAATTTGCTTATTGGATATTATTTGAACATATTTGTATTTCAGACAAGAGAACATGCTTCTCCAAATTATTTTTACATTCATTATCAGTAACAGGATCCTTTCAAATGTTGTTAATCTATTTTACAAGGGCTTGCCTGCTTTAAAAAAATCATATAGGAATTTACTTTCACCATAATGACAAGGTTGTTTTTCTTCTATTGAGAATAATGATTACGTAAATACTTCTGCTTATAATAATCTTTGTTTTGTATTGTGCACTGTTTTCGGTATTGTATGTAGAGACAAACTAATTATTGACCTCTTTAGGGAAATGAATGAACCACCGACAAAATAAATATTGCCAAGAAAAGGTATAGTTCACATGATAATGATTTAATTGTTTACATGAATAAACTATACATATCTGTACATTTGCAGATAATGATTAGGCTTTGCATTCCACAAGCACATCATTCAAACAAATAAAATAAACGGTCGAAAGGACGCAAATTCCAAGTCATTTCCACTTTTCTTAAAATGGTGTATGGCACACAATGTTGCATAAGCAATTAGCAGCAAAATGAATACTGATTACATTGACTTTACAAACGTTCAAATTTTTTTTTCAAACATTTGCACACTATTCCCTGAATAGGTTATTAGCTTCTGATACCGTGATATATAGGCTACTGTTAATGAACACAAATCTTTCACTTTACTCACACTTTAAAACAGAGACGCACCTTTCTGCAACAGAAGCCTTTGATGTTAAAACCCTTAAGAATTATCCCACTGAGTTGGGAATGATTTATTTTATTACAGAATTCTGATCATGTTATGCAGTGAATTAAATCGGACAAGATAAACACATCTCTACACGGGCACTTGGTTTTACACACAGTCTTTTACGCGTACTCTCCTCCTGAGGATTCCTCCTCCGAGTACGAGCGTTGAGCAAAAGTCTCAATGCCGTTGTCGTCAATCGTTGTGCACAAGCCCTTTTTCTTCTTCTCACGTTGCTCCATCTTGATCGTGTCGTATAGCCCCGTGGGACCATCTTCCAGGAGCATGTTTCGCTCGGAGTAGGAAGGCTTCATCTGAGTCACGTTCTTCAGCAGAAGGAGCGCCGGTGCGTAAAGTACGTTGGCGAGCCCCATGCCCAAGTTCAGCTGAACGAAGCCCAGGTCGTGCACTATCTGCCCAGCCACCACGGGCCCCATCGCATAGGCCAAGCAGTAAGAAATGTCCGCGATTGCGTACACACTGCCGTACACTGACACGTGCCGCACATCGACGAGGAACCCCAGCGTGGGCAGGAGTGCCGTGTCCACGAAGGCGATGCCAAAGCAGATTCCGCACAGCGGGATCATGAGCTGGCCAAAGTTTTTACAGGCTGGCACAGTGCACGAACTCGCGCCTATAAACACCATCCCTATTGCACCGTAAAACCACTGGAGATGAGGGTACTTGGCCGCTAATTTCACAGTGAGATATACGCCTAAGACGTGAGGGAAAAAAGCGGGGAACCATGTCAGGCCGATCTCCCACTCAGTGGCATCCATGGTTTCCTCCATCCATTTAGCGATCGTGGGCTCAAGGAAAGCGAGGGGGATGTTACAGATGGTCAGTGCCCCGGCCACTACGGCTATGTATGGATCAATCATAAGTTTGTACATTGGTGTGCCCACAGGCATGTTTTCTCTCTCTCGATTTGAGAAGGGCTTCAGCACGATCAGGCACAACACGCCGTCAACAAGACAGGTGCAGGCCAGTATCAGAAAGGGCACCCGCTTCCCTGCAAACTCGTAAAGGATCCCTCCAAAGGGGGGCGCCACGAGGCTTCCGAACGAGATGAAAGCCAGGGCGATGCCCAACGCCTTGCTCCTCTCGGCCTCCTCCGTGTATCTGTCAGCGATCAGAGCGATCCCTGACGTGTCCGCGAAAGCCGAGCCCAGGCCCTGCATGCTGCGCGCCACGAACAGAGTCACGTAGTTCTCAGCAAAGGCAAACGTAAGCGTGGACAGGAACATGATGCTGAGCCCGATCACCAGCGGGAGTTCATAGCCTACTCTGTCTATAAACGTGCCACTTAGAGGATTCACTAAGAGCTGCAGGATGGCTTTGGATGCAAAAAGAATTCCTATCTGCAGGTCAAAGTTCCCTTTAGGTACTTTGTGGATGGTACTGTTGGTGAGGTTGGTGTGCGGCAGAGCAGCTTGGGCATTATCTGCTGTTTTTTGTAGCCCTGCGAGGTAGTCAGGTATAATTGGCACAATGACCATGTAAAGCATGTTGTCTAACAAAAGTACCACGCAGACTATGACCAGAATGATCCGTTTCTGCTGCTCTGGCTCTTGTATTGCGTTGCCCAGTTGTTTAGTTCTTTCACCCATCTGGGACAGTTTGGAAGCGGCAGATTGTGCCATACTTGGTGCTTCGGTAATCCCCTCTGGCTCCATGATTTCCCTCCCTTTCCCTCAAAAGTCTTATTCTTTGAAAAGTACAATTCACTTCCCCGAGATCATTCACAGATTTACGAAAGCTTGGCACATCTGTTCTGTTCTTGTTCTCGTGTCCAGCACGCGGGAGTCTGACCAGCTAGATAACTTTCTGCTGCTTTACCTCTTCCGTGCCCCCTGCGTTGTCCGTCATTGCACGCGCTTTTCCACTTTGGTGACTCGGGCTCGTTTTATCCCATGTCTCTCCTGCTGCTTCATCGTCTCATATCCCGTCACTGGAGGTGACGTGCCGGTCCCGGACAGCGCGCTCACAGGTTAGGGGGATTCGCCTCCAGCTCCCGGCACCGCGGCTCCATCAGGGTGCGCACGCCGTCTGAGGTCCGTCTGCTGCTCCTCAGGCTCCCAGGCGCACTCAGCTGTCTCCAATCACCTGTAACGCTGCGCGTTAAGTCATCATTTCACATCAGCCCGACTGGTTTTTGTCGGCCGTGGAAGGAATACACATTGCAGTTTGTTGACTCCCATAGGTATCCCCCCCTTCCCCCCTCCCATCTTCTCTGATGGCTCTGACGCACAACCCCTCTAGCTCACTTTTAATACTAATTAAACACTAAATCCCGAGTGCACACTGCTGTCCTGTCAGTTGCGTCGAAGTATAGCCGAAGACGTTTGACTAAGATGGTTTCACATGCAGTAAGACTTTCTTTTCTGTCATGGCAAACTTTGGGCAGATTTTATTAGGTGTAGTTGGAGGCATTAGTGCTCCTCGGATGATTCACACAACTTCTTATTTGGTTCCAATGTGGAGTGAACAAAAAAAGAATGATTGTAATGTTTGGATGAGCCGAAACGCGCACTGCTTTGGCTGTTGGACGTTTTTCAGCAAGCTCAAAAAAGACTGAGATCGTATCAAGGAGTTTTTTTCCCCTTTCAAAATTGATAAATGTTTCACATGTGAAAGCAAATGTGCAAATAAGCTATGGTTTGGCAGGTCTTATCATGAAATAAACCTGATAGTATATCCTCCTTCCTAATCACCTTTAAAATAAATTTTCCCTCTCTCTCCCGAAAAAAGTTGTTTTTTTTTAACTCTAATAATACAAAATGTTCTGAACTGAACACGCTACACAGTTTCCTGAATTGTCTGGTATTTGAGCCGTTGCTTGAAGCTCATTTTTGCTGAACATCTACCTGAGAGGAGTTTATATGAGGGATGAGAGAACCAATGCAAATCCAAAATGTTGACTGAAAATAAAGACAGATGCTGCCATCTACCGGTGCAGACGAGCTGCTAAACAAACATCCAGCTGTCAACGTAAGCACATGAGGAACAGTGGAAACAAATGCTAGCTTTTAAAAGTAAACTATTGGTTCGTGTAACATAAGACGGACCAGCACTGACATCTAGTGGAGGAGAGATGGACTGAACTGGGAAACCACCCATCCATCACCTGTGGCAGTCTTACCAGGAAAGAAAGGCAGGAAACCAGAGAAAGTGAAATGTGTAGCTCTACACTGGTCTGGTCAACAGTGATATTATAAGTACCTGCCTATTTGAGTAAGTCCTCCATATGTTAGCGCTGACCGTTCTGGTTGATGTAAATCTTAGGATTCTGACTTTTCCCAGTGGGACATTATTTCCCATACCAGAAAGTAACACAGCATGTTCCATCTTAGCACATAGCCACATGTGACATGTCTGCACGAAAGAGGGCTACCTGACTTAATTCAGTCAGCAAGATAATTTCACTCAAACTATTTGTAATCACATATAATGTGATCAACTTGTGGTCTTGAGATCCCTTTGTTTCCTTTATTTTCCACATCACAATCCAAAGTGACATATTCGGTTTTAGTTGTCTCCAAATGTTAAGGGTACCAACCCAAAGGAACACTGCATGACTTTATTAATTTATTTAATCATTCTGGCATGTGATACACAAAAACAATGTATTTCTCAGCTAAAGTAAGAACACACCTAGAATAGTAAAACCACATTAGCCACAAAAATGTAATTTCATCAGTAACACATCTTCATGTCATTATTCATCCAGCAGATGTCCTCGTATCCCTTCATATTACCACTCAAGAACTTAAAAGGAACTTAAAGCGATTCTGAATTGAAGAAAAATAGAAACATGTGTGTTGACATTTTATTGAAATCGACAGCAGAGAAAGTCCTCCACAAAGTGTTATGAGCGTTATCTTTTATTCCAAACAGTACATTTTCAGCCTACATTCTCATTTAGTCTTTCTGAATAAACTATGGTAGTGCCATAGTAGTTTTATGTAGTTATTTCAGAAATGTGAAATATGGGGGCAGCAGCTCTTTTCTCACACCAAAACAAAAGTGAAGTGTTGATGGATATGTAGCTGAGCTGAGTGGTGTTGAATATTTGTGGGGTAGCCAAGCATACAGGTAAAGCTGTGGATAAGAAGTGCAGCACAGCGTACATTTATCATTAAACACACTGAAAGCCTTTCCTTATTTAACTTTTTTTTGTCAGATAATTTACGTGATGTGAACAAGTGAAACTGGCTAATAAATCCCTGGAGTCTCACCAAAAGGGGGGGTTTATGATTTATTTTTAGATAAAATGTTATGTCACCATATAAAGTAGCTCTGATAATCACATTTATTTCCCTCAGTGAACATAATGTGGCTGGAAAGCTTAGGCAGAGTCATGATGGCCGGAACTGTGGGTTGGCTTCTCATTCACCCAAGAGACTGTGCTTTTCTTAATCTTTTCTCTCTTATGTGCACTTCACAGACATACACACGCACACACACACACTCACTCACACACATGCAGCACAGTAACACTGGGATAACTGGGCTGACTGTGTAAGGGGGTGGACTTTGTTGTTTTTTCAGGGACTTTGCTTTGATTGGACACTAGTTCAGGAGATTCAAGATAACTACATAATCTTTAGAATTTGCAGAGGTTTCGATTTCTAGCAGCCACAGAAACTCCCAGGCCAGTAAAGCCAAATGGAAATAGCCTAAATTCTAATTAAATCAGAGCAATCCCGATGATCTCGGTGTCAATGTTTTTGATACACTCAAATCTGTAATTGGATCTTTTCAAATGGAGGACAGTATGCAAGCAATTAGCATGCTGCCCTGATCAAACTTGGACTTTTAAAATCAAAATCAAACATGTCCAGACAAACAAAGTGTATTAAAATGGCTATAACCTTTAATATGTGGCAGTGCCATGGCTGAACAAACAACATGCTTATATGAACTAAAGCCTTTCAATCTATAGTTATCTTTTTGTAAGTGTGCTGTGTGAAAACAAAATGCTGCATGTGCATTTGGAAAGAAACATTGACTGAAAGCACAATGTATGCAGCTAAGTGGATTAAAAAAAACATTAATGACTTGCATGGAATCCATTCTTTTAATCAAAGCATCTTCTGCTGATGCTGAATACAGGGGAGAACAAACAATGGTATTTCACTTTATTTTAGTGATGCAGCAGCATTGTAGGGAAATACTTAATCTTCTTGCATTTTACTGAAGAGACAATTGATTCAACATCAGCTGTGTTTTGGGGTCATACTCTACCACCAGTACAGTATGTCTGATAGAGTCACATGACCTAACATCATGACTATAAGAAAAGAAAGACGATCAGGCTCTTCTCGAGTTCACAAGGATGTTAAACATGTGAAGAAGTCACTGTATTTTCTAATGTATTCTGGTCCTACTGTCTGTTTTCATGATTTAAAACAGCGATTTCCAAAGAGCAGTGACGCACTACTTTAATCCAGATTACATTCAACCACTAATCCTGTAAAAACATTGTTTTCTTCTAAACAAATATGTTTTCTGTATTATGCAACATGTTAGGTGAGTATTGTTTTAATGTTAACAGTGTGTATAGAGTTGTCACATATCTTTTTTTTTTCTTGTAAAACACCCTGCACATATGGCAGGATTTCTCAAATTCATTGAACTGATTGGAAGAGCAGCTGTGCTCAGCATTAGCATTGATTGTCATGTGGCTGTTCGACAAGAATGTGTGGGTCGCTGTGCATGTGTGTGCTGTCTTGTAGTGTCAGGATTATATAATCGGCTTCACATCAGACAGTGAGAATTATCAAAACAGAGTGTGGTTGGCCTGGAGAAACAAACTGACATTTTATCCCATTTTTCATGTGCGTGGCTAGCCAGCAGGTTGGTCAAAAGACGTTGCAATCAAAGTGTATTACTACCAAAGAAGGTGATGGAAGAACTGGCTCTGACCTGAAACAGTTATGCAGACCATGTTAGGAAAAATTCTTTCACCCTTTCTTAAAGGGATACAAAAAGATTCATCACAGTGGAAGTATCAAAGACATCAGCATTTAGAAAAAAAGGTCACTTACTCAGTCATACAACTTTTAAGTTCCTCTCCAACAGTCCAGACTCTCTTTGATTCATTCTTTCAGCATATTGCTGTGTAATCCTAAAAAAATCCCAAATGCAAAACATGTGAAAACTTCATTGGTTGACCAGACATAATCCTCAGTGAACTCTAAGTACCTGAATATGTTTGATTGTAAAAGAGGGAAACCGCAAAAAAAAGAGGCTAACTGCTCTTTCCTGCCAGACATTCGGATTCCAAGTATAACACAATACAGCACTCGTTTGATGTAGAATCTTGAACCAGTGTCCTTTATATAATTAATCTGTGGACAAGTATGAGAAAAAAAAATTACCTAACTAATTGCCTCTTTTAAAAGAGACTTTCATCATATGCATCTTTCAAAGTCTCATTGTGTAAAGGAACAGTTTATTTGTACTGAATCCCAAAGAAACACTTTTTATTCTTGTACCTTTCGATTTTCCTATTGGAAATTTTTATTTTTATACTTAGCAAAACTGGACAAATGCTGAGGGGTCCAGATGCATAGGTTTACATCTACTTAAGCAGCGCTGGATAGTTTCTATTAACTTCTTACACAATGTTCTTTGAATCCCAAACAACCCTTTTGCAGTTGATCATGGCCTTCCGGAAGTGGGTTTAAACTAACCCTTGTCTCCATCTGACCAGTCCATATGTCCACCAGAATCTGTAGACCTTCATGTGCACGTCAATAGTGCTCTAATGGAACAAGTAAATCACATGTTTTGCTGGCGTGCCAAATTTTAAACACATTTTTGTTGATTTAAATAGTCTCATCCATAGTGTTTACATATCAGTTGAAATGAACTGAAAACATAGGTTCTGGGTTTTCCCATTTGTCATTAACAAATAATTATGCAATGCCCATCCCTGCAGACAGGCTGTTGTCAATTAATCTGCTTAGAAACTCCAACTGGGAGCTCCATGGCATGCTGCAACCTCGGGGTGTTATCTCCATCATGCAGGGCGAACACACACTTCCCTTTAATTGCACATCAGCTGGTGAAGTAGGCATTCAGATTTAACTATACTGTACACAGCAACACTACCCAACAAAACTACCATTGCCAAATGTTATCCATTCAAAATTTCTTCAGCATTGAAAGTGTCCAAAATGTTTATCATTACATCTTATAAAAGTATGCAGTGAATCAATGATTTCTAACAATCTTTGCGAAGATATTTTATAAGAATAAATAACATAAGCTAGAAATGATGAAATGATACATAACTGTGTTCAATTATTTTATTTGAGTATACACAGGATTTTGTAGCCTCACCTATTGACGATAGCATGTGGTACGTGAACACAGTGTTTAGATCAAAATAAAAACTAAAATTGACAAAAATGATTATTTTGTTATTCTTTATTAAATTTGCAGGTTTGGATAGATCTTCTCATGGTGCTTTTTTATTCAATTTAAACATTCTGTGTTGAATCACTTTTTGTACATTGAAAACAGAAAGCATTCCAACAGCTGACAGAAGATCAGTTCCGACCAGTGCATACAGCATTTCATACAGAGCAATAACTACACCAAACCCACCAATACATATATGTAATTACACTGAACAGAACAGGATCATCGTCGCTCGGCTGCCCAACATTAGAAGCACAGATGTTACCGCTTAGTAAAGATTTCAAGGGACTTAAAACTTTTAAGCCATTTACATTGGAGTCAGAGGGTGGATGAGTTTGTAGTGATGAGGATTTATGTTGTGTGATGAAAGATGTGAGTTACACCAAACAGAAATGACATCCATTTCAGTGTATCATGTGTTCAAAGTATATCCAATTTAAGGTCAAAAGGTCTTACAAAGATGTAGTTTATCTCAGAAACACTGCAGCTTTCACACAATGATTTCATTCCTAAATATATGTCAGAAAGAGAGGGACACTTGGTTTTTTAAACCTACTTTAAAATCTATGATTATATAATAACCAGATAAATACCAGTAAATTACTGTGTAAGTTTGTGGTTTTAAAATACAAGTAAAATCAATATCAGAGCATTCATCCTGTTTCTAAAGTAAGGTTTGTAAACAGCGTCAGATGTAAAAAAAAATCTACTTCTTTTACACAATGACTTGCAAAAGTTCCATCCATCCATTATCAATGCCGCTTATTCCCTCATGGGGTCGCGGGGGGAACTGGAGCCTATCCCAGTGGTCAACGGGCGAGAGGCAGGGTACACCCTGGACAGTACTTGCAAAAGTTAAAAGGGTAAATTAAAATGTGTCTGTTTTATAGTTCTTGTGAAGACTCTGGAAGAACCATCAAATCTATATAAACCTGGAATTTGCTAACTTGATTTTTCTTTATTGAATAATAGTAATGAATTCTAAGTTATCAAATTTGGTTTTATTGTCACACTGACTCCTGTCCTTATACTTGGATTGCAAAAGCTGAGCTGAGAAGCATGCTCCGTTAATCTACAGCCACTGACTAATCTCTAACTTGTCATGGGGGCAGTGTATTGAAGAATGGTCCTCTTGTTTAGAGGATTATTGCAGTTTTTCCTGGGATACAGAGAGCACTCAAAGTGCATAGAGAGATATCAGTTGCTTGTATGAACTTTTGCATTTCAATGGTAGGAATAACAACTGATAAGGAATGCATTGATGTTGGTTTCTAAGGCCGAGGGCCAAAACGTCCTAACTCGTTAAACTGAATTATGGTATTTCCAGCGATTCCTTCCTTGATCTGACGCAAATGTTGAGAAAAAATTGCAGGACGAACTGTGAAAATGACACAAAAACAATCAATGTATCTTGGCTACAGACCTGTTAGCATGAGGACTACTCTTAAACTGACAAAAGCCTGAGTTCCATCGATGTTTCCATGGAGACTTAATGATACTTATATCTTCTGATTTGGTTTAAAGCCCTATGTTTTGCATGATTGTATTTGGACATAGTGAATGAAAGCTGTTTACTGCTGACAGAATTGTGCGATGAACTCAAAATGAAAGTCATTCCTCACTTACTAGAGGAAATTACATTAAACGGAAAAACAAATGCATCACGTGTTGGTTACAAAAACAGCCACATCCAGTGTTTCGTTGTATTTACTAGATGAGGAAACGAACCAGGAGTCCGTTTGGACATGTTGAATCGAGTCCATTTTTCGCAGGTTGACAATTACAATTTTTTTCCTAACACTGTTTTTAAGCAGCCATGTTCTTTTTGTTACACAACTCCAGAAACACGGGGGGGAGGGGGGGGGTCAAATACAGGACAGGTGTAAACAAGGGACATGGTTATCACTGCTTGAGACACACCACACGCACCAACACTCACAGACAGAAACATCAAGGACAGTAAGTGTGTGTCATTATTGCATGCTTGTTTTATTTAGACTTGTTATCAATTTGAGGAGCATCAATCTTTTCCCCTGTGAGAAGCTGCCAAATGCCACCTCTGTAGTTCTCATTTCCTAAAGCGTACAAGAGTGGATTGAAAGTGGGTGAGGTTTTAGCCAGGATAGGTGCGATCTGTGAAATCAGGCAGAAGAAGGATGTAAGAGTATTGAATACCAGCTGGAATGTTTACACTTTTCATGCAGAACATTTAGTATAATTGCACTCATTTTCAGGAAAACCCCAGTCCCAGTTAGAAGAAAATGACAAAAGTGTTCTCTAATAGGGTTCAATTCTTTTTTTTCTTTCTTTTTTTTAAACCACCACAGGTGGCGCCAACCTTACAGTTGTTTTAAACCAGACGTTTGGGTTTTAATCCACCCACCCATTTTCTAAATCTGTTTAATCCAATTCAGGGTCGCTTGGAATTTAACATTTAAGGAATAACAGATGTAACTACATAAGGTTAGCATATATTAGATGCAGTAGATAGCAGTTCAAACATCTATAACTTAAAATGAAGTTACATAGGAGAGTATTTGTGTGAGAAAATGCACTGCTCTCTCACCATCCTGAGCTTAGGGGAGACCAGGTTGGCATTCTCCACTGCAGCATAGAAAGCCAGGACGCCATACGGACTCCAGCAGAATAGCAACGTCTTGAGAGGCGTGCTGGGGTTGAACTGAAAAGTAGAAAAGACACACAAAATGTACAACAGGATGCAGAATTTAAGTAATAAGATGTTAAGAAATAAAAGGGTCAAAGCTTGAGTGATTTGTCTGCTGCTGACCATGACCAAGTGAGACAAAAATGCCTTTTGTCATGAGGTTTTCTGCTTTGGGTAAAATCACATGCCTGGAATAATGTCTGGGAGAACAAGTGTGTGTTTTAAGATTATTAATGCTAAGCTAGAACTTAGAAAGATAAGTGAATGAGGGGGCAGGTTGTTGTGATCCACGGTTCAAAGTAGACTTTACCTCTGTAAAGTTACAGAACTCAATGAAACAGATGTTTTACCCTATTTTTTCAGAAACAATTCTTTATTTTATAGTCTTCTTTTTATTCCGAGTCAAACAGGCCTTATTAAAGTTTTCAGAGTTTGGAAAAAATTCTGGCTATGATGACTGTTTTTAGACTGACTGACCTTCTGATGAGTGTTAAGCAACAAACATTCATTCATCTCACAACTTTTAGAGACACAAATTTGAACTATTATTCCTTTGAAGTGAGTTCCATAACGTAAAGTCTGTAATGATAAGCTGTCTGACTATTAGACAATTGCACTGTTCTGGCAGAGTCCTTGGCATCTCTGCCTGGCACACTTTGTTTGTAATGAGAGCATCCCAGGCCAACACAGTTGATTGTTAGTAATGGGCTTATGTAACATCATGTGGAGCCATCTGACTCAATCCCAGCAGAGCTCTACTACTGAACCTGCCATTTGCAGATACATTGTTCCTGTTAACGCACAACAGCCATATCATGTCTGCATTCTCCATGGAAACACTCAATTGTCCCCCTGTGGCAATGACCCACATTAGCAGCACTGGGAGAGTCACAGTTTTGTGACTTTGAAAAGGGCTTTTTAATTGCATATTTGTGATAATTCGTGTATCAGGCGTAACAAATAGGTTATGCTATTTCAAATGTCAGTTTACAACAAACCAAACTTCTTTGCATCAGACGTTGAGTCATGGTTTGGCTTTAAATTAATTAGACAGAGATGTTTGTGTGGTGAGGCTTAGTTGAATCTGAAATCTGAAATCTCAGGAATTTTTATATGGAATTCTCCCTGGCTTTGGTGGCTAGTGCTTTGCTCCACAACTTACCCTTGGGTTTCCAGTCTTCTTAAACTTTTGTGCAATGGACTGGTAAGAGGACATGACAACAAAAACCTGAAGGCCCATGTTGAATATGCTCATTGGGATCAAGTAGGACACATAGTTCCTGTCAGGAGATACACATTGCAAGTTTTGTTAGTTTATTCTATCTTTCTTGTCAGTATAGTGAGAGGCGTGAGCGTATACAATACCTGTCTCCCTTGCTGTAGTCCAATGTGCAACAAGTCCTGAGAGGCTCATAATCATATTCTCCCCAGCCAATCAAGGGCATGGCTGCCCAGAAGGCAGTGAAAAGCCAGACAAAAACAGCCAGAGTTATGGCGCTGCTCCACTGGAGCTTTGTTCCTGAAAGAATAAGATTCATTTATGTGTTTTGTATACCTTCAGTTACAAAAATATTTATTTAGAACATGTCTTTTTTATTGGATTAAAAAAAAAATCATGCCAGTTAACAACTACAACAATACTCCTGTATCATTACAAATGTAAAACTTTATAATTTACTAGTAGCAGTAAAAGCAGACGTGCATCCTGCTAGTCAAAAGAAGAAAACAAATATTCTTTTTAAAAATTTGATATTAGTATCCTGGTTATCATGTGGTTCCCAGCATGCAAATGTTGCCCTCCTTTGGTATTAGAAACTAAATGATCTGTGATAATCGTAAATGTTGATTACTTGGTCTTTTTAGGCCATGTATGAATCCTTTGCACTGTTAGTGAAAGGTTTACAACAGACTACATTACCTCATAGGTATCAACTTACTTGTGCAGTACTGATGATATCTGTCCCAGGCAATGGCTGCTATGAAGTGAATACTGGCAAGAGCTGTCATGAAGCCCTGAAAGCCATGAGTCTGGCATCCGTCTGAGCCGTAGGGCCAGTACCTGAAGGCGAAAGGTGTGTTAATAGACAAGCTTGTCACAGCTGGATGTGCCAAAATAGTCTTTTAGCTTCTGAGCAGCTTTCAGTTTTCATATTTCAACCCTGAGGACGCTGTCACCTAATTACAGTTTGAAAAGCTCTGCCCTGCAGAATATTGACAGCTCCCCACTTCACACTGTGGCCTCACGGCTTCATTATTGCCCCGGGAATGTATGATGAATCTAAACGACATCTGGACTCTACTATCAATGCCAATGACTCCTCATTAGATTCCTCGTGAGGCCATTTCATGATTTATAAAGCCACGGTGACATCACTCACCTCAGGAAGCTGGAGAAAGCAGCCACGGTCGCGTTCATAGAGATGCCGATATCAGCCATCGCTAAACTGAACACTAGAAAATTGCTGGGGGTTCTCAGCTCTCTCACTTTGAGGAACGCAACGATTGTCACCGCATTTAGAAAGAAGCCCAACAGACCTTTGGCAGAAAAAAAAACAACAACCCAGATTAATACCCTTTTTTTTTTGGGTTAGAAACGAATGACAGTCGGTGCGCACAGCGGCGCTTATTACGCCACAAGCAACCAAACAAGACGCAGCAAAACACGCTCTGGATACGCGTCCCGTTTATTGCTTTGGTTTAATATTCATAGTTTAAATGGAGGTTAATGTATGATATTAAAAGGCAAATAATTACGAGCCCCCACGCTCATTCACATCGGGATCAGTGACTGGGTATGGCCAGGTCCTGTCATAGGCTAATGCTGCACGCAGCAGGCGCAGCCCTCGTAGTAGCCTGTCTGGCCGAATTCCAAAACAAAACACTCACCCTCCACCAGCAGACACGATCCCAGGGAAAACACATCGAACTCGGAGAAGCCCTCCGGTAAAGGGTAAGACGAGACCATCCCGGCGCCGATTTGACACAACAAATTGCAGCTGTCACGCGACTTCTCACTCCTCTCAGTCCGTGCGTTTACGATGAGCCTCTATGTGACTGTACAGAGCCCGCTTTTAAAGGGGTATTTCACGTGAAAAGCATGCAGTTTATTATGTAAAGCCCCCTCTCACTGTCGCCCCAATCCCCGCAGGAATGTCTTAATGAACATAACCACACAAACCGTAACCCTTAATGCGCATTTGCCCGCCGCAACAATAAAGCCCCTCAGTTAGTTACACAACAAGCCTTTGTGTGTTGATGCCCCGGTGAGGATGCAGGCGCTGCTGATGACACGGCGCGATGCATGCAGCCCTGCGTGGCTTTAAGGGAGCACAACAGGTGTCGAGGAGGGTGCATCCCTCTGCCAATCAACAACAGCATCCTATAAAGAAACAGGCTCAAACCCTCAAACGCCTGAAGACCTCTTCGTCATTCAGCATATTAATAGCCTCATTATCGTTGTGGGGGATTAACACCTTCTAGCCAAATATAGTGCGTTGAATCAAGGTTACACCTACGGGCTAAAACATTAAAAGATGCATTTTTAAGTTAATTAAAGTGTGTAATTAAGTGTACTGTTTCAATGTTTAAGGCTTTGATATGTTCCAGTGCTCTCCAGCATTGACTCGTTTTAGTTGGAGTTTTATATATCAGATATTTCAGGTCACATCAGTCCATTTACTGATTCATACATAGTAATCTGTCTCAATATACCCAGTAGTGTTTTTTCATATTGCTCCTTAGTCCCATGTGGCAGAACCCTCTGACACTGAACTCGACTGACTTTATTTTTGTTTACATCTTTTCTTACAGAGCTGAGCATCTGACAGACACACTGACCTTTAGAGATTAAACCAACAGTGTTACTGTTTGAAATGACAGAGGATTGAAGAAGAGTAGGCTTTAGGATCTGCAGATGCTTAAATAAAAGCTCGGTTCACCATGAGGTTTGTGTGCCATAACAGCAAAAATTGATATACAAAATAAATCTGTTTTAGTTCAATTTTGGTCAGTCAGTATCAGTATGAATTGAATTAAGTCCTCCCGTCACCCCCTGCCTTTCCTGGACTTCTCACGTTTCAGCTGTAAAAGCATTTGCAGCTTTTCATGCCATTGGGTTGGGGGGGAAACAAACATGACATTGTGTGGTTCTCAGGATTATATGATCAGAAATCTTGTGAAACATAGGTGAAAATGTATGAGGGACTTAATCACATAAAAATGCTTAATATTATTTTCCCTTTTTCAAGACACATATTTGATACAACAGAGACTTGATCGTTCATTAGAGTAATTCGAGCAGGATAATTGCTGTGGTCAAAGCAAGCAGAATTGTATGTCAACCTGTGGATGTGTAAATATCATCATAGTTTAAGAGGGGCAATAGTTCAAGACCATATGCTAAATTAGTCTCAACTCTGTTCAAATGAGTAACCATGAGTATCCAAATTCCAAATCTCTCACATCATGTACATATATACATATATATAAAATTATATATAAAATTGGAGTACCTTGTGCATTTTGTTTTTACTGACAGTTGTGCTGTTAATATACTCTCATTTGAATAGTTACTTTTACTTTATTTTAGAAAAGACTTGTGATATTGTAATAATCTCTTACTTATTCTATAATATACTTGTATTTTAAGAATGACGTCACATTTCAAATCTTTAAAGGACCTCTTTATTGGCTTCAGTAAATGAGATTAACTACAGTACTTGCTCTGACCTATAGAATGTTATAATTTTTCAGCTTGAAGGAAAATGGTTGCTCAACATGCTTGGAGCCTCTGTGTTGAAGTATAATATGCTCTGTAATGCCTGTGAATAAGATGGATTTCAGTGTGTGGTACACAAACCACGGCTGTTTAAACACACATATTACAGGAATGAAGATACTTTAATTTAGTAAACAAAATGTCTGTAAATAGTAAAACCACGTTTTGTGTACAGATGAGATGGAGATCTGACCTATCACATTTTCTTTGCGTCCTCATTTTTATCCCTACACTGATTTCTGTTCTATGGGTGTTTTATGTCATGAATGAGCCTCCATTTTCCAAGTCTTGTTCATTTCTACTTTTCCATAAGTAAGGGTGGTGCAGAGAGGCAGAAAGGATAGCGGCCCTGTCTTGACCTTTTATCACTCTGAATGCTTTTACGAGGTGCAACTCTGACCAACATTTGAAGGGAATGAAAGCCACTTCACTTCATGGCAGCTTCAGGAAAGTCTACACAACATGGTGGGTGAAACAGAAGATTTGATTTGACAGAGGGAGTGAAGTCTATAGAAACCTTTAAATCACCATTGCATGTCTGTTGTCATTCCTTTTGACACATTTTTCAGCTTGGAGACGCCAGCCCGTAAGTTGAAATGCAGAGGGAAATACAACAAGGAGGAGATGCCAAGTTTTCCATGTGGTTATTGCTTTGTAAAAGCTTTACAACTGGAGGTATTTCCCTGGTGTTGTGGGACTCTGTCCAAAAAGGTTAGTGAGGTGAATTTGAAAGTTAATCTCTTTCTTTACAATGATGCAATGTGCTTTCACTTCTCATTTTTTCTATGTGTTTCCCAACCTTTTTTTGTTAATGATGATGATGGAATATGTGTTAATCAATGACGGAGAAGGAATTACTGTGATGGAAGTGAAACAGCCTGAGTAGAATGGTAATTGAGCTTAAGCACTCAGAAGAATGTTTTAGCTGTCATATTCACTGCCAAACAGTCGCATTCGTCTTGCTGTATGTCCACTCGTTTGGAAACAATATTTAAAACGTTGGTTGGATGTTTCTGTTTAATTTAAGTCAGTTCTAAATGTTTGCTTTGGAGGAGCTATCTGCAGGGGCCCTGTGGTTGATGTTTTAGGGGCCACCTTGTGGTATAATGGAGTGCTGTTCTCCTACAGCTTAGCAGTCACGATAGGGATGAAATGAACATGCAACATTTAAGTGAGAGAGTGTGAGGGCAAGAAAAAAAACATCACAGTGGATTATGACTATTTCGGAAGTGTTTTCTGTGATAATAAATAGGGACGTCTCTGCACAGCCTATCGGATTCCGGGATGCAATACGCATCCAAATGAAACGAACGCCAGTCCTTTCGCTAATCCTTGTCTATCCTTTTTTATCTCGGGACTCATAGCAGACAGATCACTATGGGACAGCGAAGCGGTGGGACAAAGCCATGCGGATGATAGTTCTGTAAAAGAGAAAAAACTGTCTGTTTGACTTCAGTGGGCGCAAACTGGGCGCATGTAAGCAAACTGCGTATGCGTAAAAGTGGGCCAAAATGTTCTTCGTCCTGCTCCTGGGGCTCTGCGTGGCCACAGGTGAGCTTTTCTCCACAGTCAGCTCCTGCCCTCCGCAGTGCAGCTGTTTTTACCACAACTTGAGTGATGGATCAAAAGCCAGGTAAGAAGGATGGCAACATCAATAATGTCTCTTGAAAAGTGTATTTTCATGGGTTTTGGTGATCAGAGCGCATGTTTTGAGTGTGTCTGGTCTCAGACAGATGTTTGAGGTGAGCACGTGTACAAATGATAATTCAGAGAGTGGTCGTCGATCCAATTTTATTTAATGCAGGATTATCTCCCAAAGGCACTTTCAGCTTTGCCATCTCTGTCTTTTATGTATTTCGCTGTCCAGAAGAATGAATATTAAAAAAATGACTTTTTATAAGATTCTTGCTGCATACAATAAAACCTTTTTTTTCAGTTTTTTCCATAACTTGACAGTCTGTCGATAGTAATAATTAATACATAAATAAATAATAATGTGTATAATAATAATGTAATAAATTGTTGCCAACCATCGTAAGAACTATTTGCCATTGTAAAACTATTTCACAAAGTTTACCAAAACATAATTGATAATCGGAATGTTCAAATTAACTTTCCCTCCCATTTCAGGAGCGTGATATGCAATGACCCCGATACATCTCTCGTGCCTGTCGGGTTCCCTGTTGACACATCCAAGTTACGGATTGAGAAAACCTCCATCAAGCTAATACCAAGTGACGCCTTCAACTACCTCTCCAGTCTGGAGTTCCTGTGGATGTCTTTCAACACGCTGTCCGATTTGAGCGCAGATAGTTTTCGGGGACTGTTCAACCTAGAAGAGCTTCGTCTGGACGGGAATTCCCTAACAGCCTTTCCTTGGGAATCTCTCATGGATATGTCCAGTCTCAGACTACTGGATTTGCACAACAACCAGCTCACCTCGCTGCCCGCTGAAGCCACCACTTATATTAAAAACCTCACCTACCTGGACCTGTCCAGCAACAACTTGATGACCTTGCCTGCAGAGGTGCTGTCCACTTGGCTGGCTGCAAAACCCACACAAGGTCCAGAGAGCTCCAAGATGATCCTTGGTAAGAGATAGGGTTCATCCTACCATCCAGCCTCAATTAGTTACATCTAAGTCACTTTAGCCAGACTCCTGTACCTTATCTGTGCCTGATTCAGAGCTGGCAGAATAATATTATTAACAGCTGCTTAGCAAAATCTCAAGAAAGCAGCACAACATCTCATGACAGTTGTTCTGATTAGTTGAATTAATAATGGAATCAAAAAAGTCTATTGGAAAAATTAAATGTTTAAAAAAAATCAATAGTAAGACTTTTTATTGTAATTTTATTTCCAAAGTATTTAGCTTGAGTCAATTTTCTGTTTTCCTCCAGAATTAGTCAAAAGCTGTAAGTAATCATTTGAAAAACTTAAGTGGTGATTATGGTTTAAATGACTTGTTTTATCGTTGAATGAGAAGATATATATATATTGCAGATAAAACACTTAGATTAAATAGTTGAAGAGAAAAATATTATTTTAAGTAGGGTATTTGAACTTTACTTTTAGAACAATGAGAAGGTGCGCTTACAATTGAAAGCATATCCAAATCCAGTTCTACAAGTATCTTTTTTGTTTGTTTCAAGAGCAGGAGGGTGAAGTTACTAGACTGACCTTAGTCAGCGGACCACCTCTACCATCACCATTACCATTATCATCATTACCATCATCATGGCCATGATGTAGTTTATTAATTAAATGTCAATCCTCTTAAAGGATTAGCATCATAGCACCATCATCACACCACCCATCTGCTGGCCGGGCTTTCATTTTGTATACAGCTGGACACTCGCTTCCTCTTAACCTCTCTTGTACTCTCGCCCTCAGGTCTCCATGACAACCCCTGGGTTTGTGACTGCAGACTCTATGACCTGGTCCAGTTTCAGAAGTCTCCTACATTTTCGGTGGCATTTATCGACACAAGACTCCGTTGTTCAGCGCCGGAGAGTCTGTCGGGTGTGCTGTTCAGTGATGCAGAGCTGCGACAGTGTCAGCTCCCACGGATCCACACTGCTGTGGCCCGAGTCCGGAGTGCAGCTGGAAACAACGTGCTCCTTCGCTGTGGCACCATCGGAGTCCCCATACCAGATCTGACCTGGCGCAAGGCAGATGGACGAGCCCTCAACGGGACAGGTAAGGTGCTACTCAGAAAAGGTTGTTTTGTTGTCTATTTTGTAGTGCAGTTGTTAATTAAATAGAGTGCTTTCATGAGAAAAAGTATGACTGCACGTTTGATTGACAGCTGTGGATATTACAGGCCGTTATGCAACATGGATGATAATCGATGCAACATTTCATAATCACCTGGTCACAGTTTATTTGCACGGTTATCCACACAGATATTTTTCAGATATTCAAATCATACTTTGATCTGTAAAGTTGTTTTTGTTATTTTTTATTTCTGTCATTCTTTAATGAATTCTTAATTAAGAGTCATTTTTCTTGTGTTTCCATTGTCACAGTGCAGCAAGAAACATCCAAGGAGGGGATTACCTGGTCCATCCTCAGTGTACCAGCTGTGTCCTTTCAGGATTCAGGGAAATACATCTGTAAGGCCACTAACTACGCAGGGAATGCCGAGGCTGTCATTTCTCTTATTGTGTCTAACGCACCAAAAGCAGAGGCAAACCAAACCGTCAGTGATAAGAAGGCCAAAATCAAGCAACCAAACCAGCTGGGCAAAGCCGCCTATCAGGAGAGGCTGGTGGCCAGATATGTAGCTTCAACCTCCACTCCGCCATCCTTGCTCACTGTAGGTCCTGGCCTCATGCCTAATCCTGACTCCGGACTGGCCAGTTCCAGTAGTACTGACAGAGCCAGCCAAGGACCTCCTACGTCCCCCAACCCAGACGCACTCCTGGATCTGGAGAAGACCAACTTAAGCAACCTGGCAGCAAATACCTCATCACTGCAGCAGGACCCAGACAGGGTTGTCCGTTCGGTGAAGGTGGTGGGGGACACAGACAATACAATCTCTCTGAACTGGAGAGCCCCTAAAGCCAAAAACACAACAGCATTCAGTGTGCTCTATGCAGTGTTTGGAGAGAGAGACATGAGAAAGATCAATGTCGGAGCGGGCCAGAACCGTGTAACCATAGACGGGTTGGTGCCCAAAACTAAATACATTGCCTGTGTTTGTGTGAGGGGGCTGATCCCCAGGAAGGAGCAGTGTGTCATATTTTCCACCGATGAAGCAGCTAGTGCCACAGGTACGCAGAGGCTAATTAATGTGATTGTCATTACTGTAGCCTGTGTCATTGCAGTCCCACTGACTGTCATTGTATGCTGTGGGGCACTGAAAAGACGCATCCAAAAGTACTGGGGAAAAAAATCAAAGGACATCCAAGATTCTTACGTGACCTTTGAAACATTGTCGCCTGCCACAAAGGCTAAAGGGCTTGAGGGCGAGTATTTAAACAGGATGAATCCAGAGGAGTCCAACAGGCTGCTGTCAGCTCGCTCCAGCCTGGACTCTGAGTCCACGGCTAAGATAGAGGGACAGCCTAACGAGTACTTCTGCTGACGTCATGCTCCAGCTCCGGCTCCTGCTCCACATCGTTGCCCTCGCACTCACCAGCAATCGCGCAACGGTCCGTACCCCAACGCCCACTCCCGCTCCCATCAACGCTCACATCTGCACCACCACCCGCATCCATATCCACATCACTACCTGCCTTCTCACCCTACACAGCATCCTGATGTCACTCCCCCTCCCACACGCTCCCATACACCCAAAAAACATGATTCCCCCCCACCAGTCCCTCCTCGCTGGATAATGCCACCCACGCCACCACCACAGAGAGCTAACTTCTATCAAAGGACATTTGCACGCTGCACTATAATGGAAATATCAGTTTAAAGAAATTGGTTTGTTCTAGAAAAATCTCTTCCTTCTTGCAGGAGGGAACTCATTGGACTGTTTATTGTACCCTCATTCAACTATTGAGACTAATACTTGCTTTTATGTGTGAAAGAATGTTTTTATCACTAAGCCTGTAAGAAAAAGAACTGTCAGAGCAAAAAACATTGTAAATTATTTTCATCTCACTTGCATGACCCAGCGAAGAAACCTTTTCAACCCAATCTGATTTAAAGGGAACTAAGTGGTACATAACCCATTGTTTATATCCGCATATGTATGTGTATGATTTGTAAATATTTATTGGATGATGTACACTTACATATACAGTTATATCTGTGCCTCTGTATATATCTGTCATATGTTCACAGAGAAGATATACACAAAGGCATGGTTCAACACTGCTAAATGGAGAGAAGCTGGAGCTGGAGAGAAGTACAGAAAGGACTGAACTATGACAAAATGTAAATAAGTCAGAAATTATTACTAAGATTAAATGTTTAATAATTGATATTCCCAGCAAAGATAAACTAAAATTTAGGTACCCATTTATGCCACTTAGAGGCAATATTACTTGCAATTAATGTAGATCCATTCATTCCAGTCATTCCAAGTATTTAAGTATAAATTAAATAAAGTTTTATATGAATTTACCATGTATGTGATACTCTCTGTTCCTACAACTGTACTTCACCTGACCATGATGATTTTATTCGATTTTTGTTCAGTGTGAGCAAGAATTGATACTCAGTTAATTTACAGATAGTTTGTACATATGGAAGTAGCAAGAGTATCCATTCAATTCTTTCAAATTGAATATATGAACAGGGTGCCTTCATAATTCAAACA